AAATAAAAGTGCATATTCAAATTTGTATAGTGCATTTGTAAAAGTGCTTCACATATAAACCATGAATAAAAATAAAAACAGTCAGTTTAGTACTCAGTACCCTTTTTGATTCAACACTCCGACTGGTTTTAACTCGTCCAGTACATATAACACAGTAATCAACACGTGCAACTTAGCAAGAGAGAATCCTGCTATTTTGTCATAGTTTAGTAACTCACCGGAGTTTCCAAGAAAACAACCACTCTCCACTCAATCAGAATTGGGAGTAAGACACTCTAAATGCTCTGTAAAGTACACAACCTTAAATTAGAACTGGTTTAAAGTACATTTTTTACACTTTTCAGACTGTTTGACTCACTGTATATCTTGTTCACATGCTCTCTGTGTCTCACTGCCGTCTCTAGCTAGGTGCAAGCCGCATGTGCACATGATACATTCAAAGAGACTTAGGAAAAGAGTGGTGTGTTCAAGGAGCGTCCGAAATGAAAGTTTTACGCGATGAAATATTAGAAACCATATGTTTACATGGGTTACACAACCTTTAAAGCAGAACTGAACATTACCCTTGTTAACTTCTCCATTGAATGTGTGAAATAAAAGTCGAACTTATGGTTTGATATCGTGACAAAAACGAAAAGAGGAAGCCTCTTTATAGCATCAGAGGTTCGATTTTGTATTGTAAACTTACACTGGATCACCACTCCATCTTGGAATTCCTACTTAGGTGATGAACCCCCAGCTGAAAAGTTACATAGTCCACCTTTAAACATTGCTATTTTTGCATAAGAGTTTATACTTTTAAATACCTGAGTCAGTACTGATAAAACTATATTTTGGTATTGATCTGTCCATCACTAGATGGAGCTGTGTGTGTATATGCTTATTGTTGTTTTGTTTATTATTTCACTTCATGCATAAATGTAATCATCTTTAACATAGAGGCAAACCAGGGTGTGTGTGCTTTTCTCTTATGAAGTGAGTCACCAGCTCCATGTTACTGTCATCTTCTCACTTCTTCTTTCAGAGAAAAGTCTGCAACCATCCAGGAACCATACCCTCACTGGTCTTCCTGTAAGCACCATGTTATTGTACAAACCAGTGAGATATAATAAAGGGGACTAGAGGAACCGCAAAGATGGTAACTTATAGTAAAGAATGCATATCAAGTGGAAATAGTGTACTGCTACAAGTACCTTGGTGTCTATGTGAACTACAGGCTGGACTGGAGGGACAACTAATGCTGTGTACAAGAAGAGCATGAGTCTACTTTCTGATAAAGCTCAGGTCTTTCATTATGTGCAGGAAATTACTGGATATCTTTTGGTCAACAGACTAAACTCTGAAGTTTGTCCTTACCTGATGGTTTTACTCTATCTTAACAAACAGATTGGTGGCCAGTGTCGTGCACTTCGCTGTGGTGTGCTGGGGGAGCAGCACCAGTAAAAGGGACATTGGGCTAACTGACAAAGTGATCCTAAAAATGGACACATGATTGACTGTGAGCTGGAGAAATTTGTTACAGTGAGGGACAGGAGGACACTGGACAAACTGCTCTTTACCATGGACACAACTGCAGATGGACAACGACTCACCTTTATGTAACAAATAATACTCCCTATAACAGTGCAACAACTCACCCTTATGTAACAGATAATACTCCCTACAACTGTACAACAACTCACCCTTATGTAACAGATGCTATGCTAGCCCTTTGTTGACAGCGCTGCCAATCCATGGCCTTCTCTCAATGATCTTCATGATGAAGTCTTCTGAAATGGTTTTCTATTCGTCAGGGTTAAGTTCAAAGCAGTGATCAAAGCAAAGGGTGGCTATTTTCAACTAGTTTTTGAGTTTATTTTGGTTTACTATATATATATATATATACCAGTCATGAGTCTATGCTAGTGCAGCCTCTGCAGCTCAGGGAGGGAATTCTGGAGTCATGAGGCATGATGTGTTCATTTTGATACTTTGCAGTGACACCACGCTGGGGGTATTCTATAATGCAATTCTATTCTGCCCTACAAAGAACAAATAAAATTAACTACATATTTTGTCAAAAGTGAGTTAAAATACAGACTTGAAAATACAGACTCAGAAACTAAAACACTAATGATTTTGGCAGAGAAAGATTTCTCCAAATACATTACCTCAGACCACATAATTTCTGTATTTTAACTGTGTACTCAGAGGTCAAAGGTCAAATCAGTGGTGATGATTTTGAAGGATAAATACTGACTCATCATACTGTAACACAAACACATTATCATAGGTGTTCCTCTGACACACAAGAGGGACAGCGTCTAAACTTTAAAGCCATTCTTCTCGGTTTCACTGTCAGTGCAGATCTTGTGTTTTTCATTACTTTACATTAGGTTACTTTTAAAATGTATTCCCCTACAGATTACAGATTACATACCCCAAAATGTAGTTTGCAATGGAAACCATTAAGTTACTTAAAGTGAGTAACGTAATCTGAAAACTTTGGATTACTTGATTTGATGTAGAGAAGCAAAGACGAGAAAATCTTCACATAAGATGTTTTGTTTGCTAAAAGAAAATGAAAAGCCCAGACTTTACTTTATTGTATTAAAAATAGTATTGATAGAAGAGGAGACATGGTCCACGCTGCATGATTTAGTCCTGTTAAATCCTGTTTGAGACATAGTTTAGACCTGGTTTTAGTCCTGGTTTAGACCTGGTTTTAGTCCTGGTTTAGACCTGGTTTTAGTCTTGATTTAGTCTTGGTTTAGTCTTGGTTTAGTCCTGGTTTAGATCTGGTTTTAGTCCTGGTTTAGACCTGGTTTTAGACCTAGTTTAGACCTGGTTTAGTGTCGGGCAATGAGTGGAATTACTGAAGAAAAAAAAAAAGGGGATATAGCCCAAAATGTGAAAACAGGAAAATACCTCTGTGTAATCAATTTATTTCAACAAAGTAACTGTAATCTAATTACCACTCACTGAAACAGTAACTGTAACTGAATACAGTTACTCATAATTTGTACTCTGATTACGTAACTCCGGTACATGTAATCTGTTACTCCCCAACACTGTGTGCAGGGCAATATTTGTGGAATGTTCATCCGTTTCCATGGTGACAATGTAAAAAATTAGTAAAAAAAAAAAAAAAAAAGTTTTAAGATGGTCTAAAAACTCAAGAAAAAATACAAAATGGATTTAAACAACACATTTCCAGGAGCCAGGAGTGATTAAGACAGATGTTTAGATGTTTAGGATCTTGTTTAGGTGTTTGATTTTCAGCAGGAAAGTAAGTTAGGATAAGATAGCTTGAGACTGTAATTTTATGTGTGAGAGACTTGTTTAAACCCACAAATCATCTTGCCTTGCTGTAGTTCCAACGAAATCAGCTCTTTCTGGTCAGATTGTACTAAAATAAAGATCAGGTTAAGTCTATTTTGAATAACAGAACTTCTAACATTAGTGCTTTCAGTTAATATTACAGCCGCAGAGAATGTTGATGACATCAGCTGCAAAGTATCAATGCTGAGAATCTGTTGTTCCTTTTTGAAACCAGTACAAGCACAGCCATACATACCCCACCCTTAAAGGGCCCATATTACACTGTTTTTGGATCTATGCTATAATGTAGTTTCCTCATCAAAAACATACCTGGAGTTTTGTTTTGTTTCATTCACACATGTTTATTAACACACAAACCCTGCATATATATATATATATATATATATATATATATATATATATATATATATATATATATATATATATATATATATATATATATATATATATATATATACACACACAACTCTAGGTCTGTCTTTGAGGAGGTAACACATTCTGGGAAAATCAAGTACATCACCATGGAAACAATTACACCATCATTGACTTTATAAAAAATGCTTTCAGTAGAAACTGGTGACGTGAGCTGTGTGCATATAAGCAGACAGTGGTTTGGAGTTATTTACTGTTCGAGTTTGTGGGTTTTTTATTATTATTATATTATTATTATATTTGTGAAATTTTTGTTTTGTAAATTAAACCAGAGATGTTTTTAAGATCAGTAACAATAAAAAGGCATAACATAGAACTGGGTAAAGGAACTTGTTAAAGGTCCTATATTATCCAAAATTGACTCTTGTGAGATTTAAACAATGTTGTCACCTCATCAAAAACATACCCAGAGTTGTGTTTTGTTTCATTCACGCATGTTTGAGTAACTCTTTAATATTAGGCCAGTGATGTTCATTTTGTCTTCTTATCTACTTTAACTTCTTAGGTTCTTTTTAAAGACAATGCGGTAAAGTGTATTTACCTTGTTGACATGTTTCGGCTGCTAGCTGCAAGCCATCAGTTCTGAAGATGGCTTGCCGAAACATGTCAACAAGGTAAATACACTTTACTGCATTGTCTTTAAAAAGAACCTAAGAAGTTAAAGTCTTTAATATTAGTCTATCTACATCTCCAAAGCTCAAAATGCTCTGTTCCACCATGTGATGTCATGTAGTTATAGTTTTCAACCTTTTACCTTCAGTTCAGTAGAGACTGGCAATTCCAGGGCTGAAATGATCCAAATGATTCTAGTGAAGGTGTATGGAGTTTAAAAACACAACGGGGCACTTCATGTTTTATCATAAGACATCACAAGGTGGAATAGAGTGTTTTCTGTTTGAGAGAAGAACTCAGGCTAAATATGCTGGATTTGTGTGTTAAACAGGTGTGAATGAAACAAAACACAACTCCAGGTCTGTTTTTGATGAGAAAACAACATTATAACTCTATAAGAAAATAGTGTAATATGGTCCCTTTAATAGACCAGAATGCATATACTGTAACAGCGTTCACAGCCTCAGTGAAAAACTTGTCTTAGCTATGATCATGTAACAGGATGTGGCTGAATTATAGTTTGAGTTCAAGGGTTTCACATAAAGACTCTGGGCATAATTCTGAAATATTTAAGCCTATATAGGAACTCTAACCTAATCTCCTTAATATAAAGCGCTATCATGGGTTAGCAGGCGGTTTTGACACCTCCCATGTCGTATGTGGTTGATTTGCAAAGCTCTGGCTCACATAGAAGAGGAAACTGTACAGATGCAGACATGCTCGGAGTTAGGTCAGCTTATTTCATAGTTTTATTTTCCTGTAATGCTCTTCTGCTACTTGGAATCTACAGTCATGGTTAGTGCACTTTTTATGCAAATTAATATCCTTAAAAATTAATGATAAATAACGTAGTTTTTGTAGTTCTTATAGTTTGTGTAGTTTTTTCTTCTTCTTTACACCACAACAGTAGATGCAAATTGTGGTCTGAGTTGTTTTGCATGCAATTTATGCTTTTATAATGTTTAAAAAAATTAAAAATCATGTATTTAAAGTTCATTGCACTTGTATTTGTCAGCAAAAAAAGGAAAGTGTGTGTTCACTGTCTGCTCGTGCTTGCAGTTTTAGACTTCCTCTTTTGTTTAAAGGTGCACTGTGTAACTTTCCTGGAGAAAGGTCTTTCGCAAAAATGCTAAAAATACGTGTAATTTTGTAGAACTATCTAAACTAAACATGGACCTAAAAATTACTTAGTATAGCTTTAAACTGTGTCTAAATCTATTACTGTTTTACATTGACACTAGATCCTCCTAAAAACTATGCATATACTCCTCTGTCATGCAATTTTCACACTTTATTTATAAGTAGCTAAAGTGGATAGACAAAGATATAGATATAGATAAAGATAGACATAAATAGATAGAAAATTGAAAAAGAGGCACTTTAATGATATGTTCCTTATATAGATAGCGATCTTGTCAGTCACTCAGTAATATTTTTTCTTTTTGCGTTTTACTTAATGCACTATGTAACTTTTTTGTTCAAACGTCCACAGTCTGTATCTGTGGAGATGTTTCAGAGTATGGCATTAAATGTTCTGTACTACTCAAAATTGCCTATTGTGAGCTTTAAGCCTTGTTAGAATGTTGTTACATCTACAAAAACATATCTGGAGTTGTGTTTTGTTTCATTCGTTCACATTTTATGACGTTTGAGTAATCCTTTATTATTAGTCTGTCCACATCTCCAAAGATCAAAATGCTCTGTTCCACCTTGTGATGTCATGAAGCCGTAGTTAATAGCTACCCTTTACATTTTGTTCAGTAGAGATTGCCAATTCCAGAGCTGAAATCACCCAAATGATTCTAGTGAAGGTGTATGGCGTTTAAAAATATATTGGAGCTCTTCCTGTATTATCCCATGACATCACAAAGTGGAACAGAGTGTTTTCTGTTTGAGAGAAGAACTCAGCCTAAATATGCAGGGTTGTGTGTTAATTATGTGTGAATGAAACAAAACACAACTCCAGGTATGTTTGTGATGAGGAAACAACATTATAACATAGATCAAAATAGCGTACAGTAATATGGGCAATTTAAACTTGTCTATCTTCATGAAGACAAAAAGGCAGTGCCAGCAGGCTAAGGTACGGGTGAGATCTGTGGAGAGATGATCTTTGTCAGGGTATTTCCACACTGGTAGTGGTAACAATTGGAAAATATGTATGTTTAATGCCACACTGTGTAACATGTCTGACAAAGCAATAATGTCTCGATGGACCCCTTTCATCTTAACCAAGCCTATTTCAGTTTTGTAATGTTTAATGTATTTTTTGTTTCAGCTCTTGAGGTTTCCAGTTGTCAAACAGAGTATGGACGAGAGGGAGGAACTATTGTGCTGTCTCCAGAAACAATCAACGAAACAATCACTAAGGGGCAATGGAAATATAATGAAAAAAAAATTGCAGACTCAAAAGCAGATATTACTGGACATCAGTTTTCTGGCCGAGAGACAATGGACAAAACAAATTACAGTTTAACATTAAAAGAGCTGAAGACCACAGACTCTGGGGATTTTACTTTTATCTCACAGGGAACATCAAGACAAAGACCCACATACTGCATCAAACTAGTGGTACAAGGTGAGACTATAGCTTTTTATCTGCTGTACTTGAGTACTATAAACTATAATACATAAATATGCTGTTTCAGGTCTTTAGCATCAAACTATAACATATAATGGTTTAATGTTCATTGTAAACCACAATGTTGCTCTAAAACATGGCAGGAGAATCAAGTCAAAATTATTTACATGTGTGCAAAAGAGTTAGTGCATGGCTTAAAAGTAGTTAAAAGTATTGTAATAGTCACAAGTGTAATATTTTGATCTGTCTGTGTGGCCTAAATGGAGCTGCTCGTCCATATTTCCGGTTCTCTCAAAAAGTGCAGATCCAGTCCCTCTGCTCCATTCATCCTTTATGAGGATTTAGTTGAGTCTTTCTAAAATTAATGCATATTTAAATATCAGGCATGATGACAGCATGAGAAGGAAACTTGTGTGTTTAGAAAAGTACGTATTTGTGCCTTGAAGCTAATGCTAATGCTAATGCTAATCTGAATGAAGAGAAAACCTCACTGGAGGACTCTTCTGTGTTTAAAAAGGGAGTATTGATGCTAGTGCTAATGCTAATTGATGCTAGTGCTAATGCCTAATAAATACTTAAATAACAGCATATGCTGACATACTCTACACCAATAAATAATAAAGCCATGTTTTCTACAAATTTTATTTTGTTATGTTAGGTATAACATTTTAATTAAAGTTAGCATTAGCATTGAGACACAAAGTCACACATCTCTAAAACAAAAAAGGTCACGTAGCCATTTTTAACAGTAAAAATAAGTAACTGAAAAGCCACTGCATGCTATGGTGAGACTGAGATACCACTGGACAGGAAGACAATGAACCTGTTTTTTTTTTAAATTATTATTACGCTGTCTTAGATCAAGCTTGAGATTTATAAATAACTAAATGTAAAATCATTTTGAGCTCTGTTACAGTTTAATATTTAATTCATAGATAAAGCATGTCTGTTTTCTTTAAACTGGGCTGAGTCTACTGATTTATACTGATGATAAAGAGTATATTTAATCATATTGATTTTAAAGTAAAGAGCTACTTTTGCAGTTTGGTCTTAAATGAGCATTTGGATATTTTCTGTGGAGTTATGTTTTGTGGGTTTTCTGTCAGATATTGACAGAAAGGGTTGTCAGAGGTATTGAAAGTCAGACACTAATCAATAATAAATTTTGTATCAAAACTAGATATTTGAGCAGTTATTGATACTAAAAACAGTCACATTCACAGGACAGAAATGAACCTTTGCTAAACAGCTTTAGAATGATCTTGAGCTGTATCAGAACAGTATAAGGCTGCATAGACCAGTATATGCCCATGGACCATTATGAACCTACCTGGACGTCTGAAGGATTACACAGACACAGTACAAGACTGCAGAGTAGGCCTAATATAAAAGAAAGTACTATTATTTAATGCTGAAAATCACATTCTACTGTTTAAATAAAGACTCCATTCCTTAGTATTGAAACTGAGTTAGAGGTTTTAGTTTCCTAACAGCACTTTGGTCAGATAAGGACATGCAATTCTGTAGACGTGACAAAGATAAAAAGATAAAATCAAGATTGCTGTTTGAAACTAAGTAAGATCCATCTGATAAATAAACAAACATTAAAAAAAAAACATATGTAAGTTTTGAAGAGGCATGAGTGCATTTGTTATTGTCTTTGTGTGCATAATGTGTGGAACAGTGAACAGTCATCATTTCCTTTCTGTTCTTCTTTGTTTCATTTTAGGTCAGTTATTTCTGGGGGAGGTGTTTTCCATATTCTAACTTAGGGTTTATTTGTATAGCTCAGTCCATACAGAAAGTAATTCAAAGTGTTTTACAGAATAAGAAAAACATTAAAACTCAATTCAAACAAGTCAAAACCGCATACAATTTACATTAAAAGAGAAGGGCACAGAATAAAAATTTTACTGGGACTAAACTGGGACTAAACCACAACTAAACCAGGAATAAACCAGAACTAAACCTAGGACTAAACTAAAGACTAAATCAGGGACTAAACCAGGACCAAACCAGAACTAAACCTGGAGTAACCAAGGACTAAAATAAGGACTAATTCAGGACCAAATCCAGGACTAAACCAGGATTAAACCAGAACTAAACCAGGAGTAACCAAGGACTAAACCAGGAATAAACCAAGGACCAAATCAAGGACTAAACCAGGACCAAACCAGAACTAAACCAGGAGTAACCAAGGACTAAACGATGAATAAACAGCAACTAAACCAGAACTAAACCAAGGACTAAACCAAGGATTAATCCAGGATTAAACCAGAACTAAACCAGAAGTAACCAAGCACTAAACCAGGACTAAACTGGGAATAAACTAGAAGTAGCCCAGGAGTAGGTCAGTAGTAATCAAAAAACTAAATCAGGACTAAAAAAAAGACTAAACCAGAAGTAACCAAGGACTAAACCAGGACCAAACCAGGACTAAACCAAGACTATATCAGAAGCCTGGTCTCTGAGGTCCCTAGAGTGTGAGATGGTTCATATGTCACTAACATGGGGCTAGGCCATGGAGAGACTTGTACACAAAATTGAACCCCAACACAATACATACAATGCACACAATACATTTTAATACATTATTATTATCAGCCTATTATTAATGTTTTATGTATATGTATGTTGTGTGCTGCACTTTGGTTGGCTGGGTTGTTGTAGAACATGATACACCAAAAGGTCACAGAAGTTAAAACCCTGAATGTGTTTTTTTTTTTTTTTTGTCTCTGCAGAAGTCCTGACGTCGACACCCACTGTGGCTGTCATCAACACCACCCAAACCACAAACAGCTCCTGTGTAGTTCTGACACAGTGCAGCTCAGAATTTCACAAAGACGTGAGCTACAGGTGGACAGTGAACAACAGGAACTACAATGGACCCATGCTGGAGTACCCTCTTACATCACAAGATGGCACCATTACCGTTAAATGTATTGTTTCTAATAAGGTCAGTGAGGTGTCAGAGAGCAAGAGCATCAACTGCCAATCAACTAATGATAAGAAAGGTGCGTAGAGTAAAGGTCTTTTCTGTCATACAAATTATTATACTATATTTCTGTTAACAAAGATGTTCAAATAATGTTCAAAGGCCAAAGTGGGACATTCCTGGGTTGTACTTGAAACCAGACAGTTTTTGTGTCCTTAGGCAAGACACTTCACCCACCTTGCCAATATGAATGTGATATGTGTGTGAGTGTTAGTGGTGGTTTGAGTGACTGATGGTTCTTCTATCAGAGGAGCTGTGGCTACAACAGTATTTGACCAGCACTGAGTGTGGAGAGACTGCGTAATAGCACAGTGTAGCACTTTGAGAAGAGGTGGGGACTTGTAAGTAGTGATTGGACTTGAGTCAGATTCTATTCTGAGGACATGAGACTTCATAAAATAGACTCAGACTCAATTTAGATTTGAGACTTGTGATATCATCAAATGTCCTGCAGTAATATCAGGGGCTCTCGCAATTACATTCATTAGCCTAAATGCATTGTTGTGTTGCAGCAATAGTTAAAAAGCAGAGGGAATTTCCTAGACCATAGTCCTTTCATTTCAGTGCAGAGTAGACAAAACTTTTAAATCATAATTCTGACTGTAATGATTTGGACTAAGGTCTTGTCAAGACATTTAAAAAAAGAAAATGTGGATTTTCTACAACTCTCCAAAATATTGCATATATAAATGTAACAACAATATAGTTTAAAAATCATAAATTCCAAAAATACAAGCTGTATTTGGTACTTCAGTTTAAAGACTTGAAGCTCAAAGCAGAGGACTTGAACTTGACTCGGACTTGACGTCAAAGACTTGAGATTTGTTACACTACTCCTTGGTCTCACCTCTTTGAGAGGCTTTGAGAAGTTTGGCGTGGCATTATTCATATGTCTACTTAAGAGCAAAGGTGGGGATATTACTACATTATCACCAGTGAGTGAATGAATAATGTAAAATGCTTTGGGTGTCTGGGAAGGAAATATAAACCCAATAAATTATAAAGTTGGTGTGAAAATTTCCAAAGGCACAATCCAAGAATAACTATTATACTAGTACGAAACCAGGACAAAAAACAGTTAAAACAGACCTACTGAAATGCATCGTATTTGCAGGCTCACAGACATGGCAAAAGGCTGACACCCACAAATACAGGGATTATGACTATTACACTGCTCTGTTCAAAAATAGGTATTAACAGTAGGCCAGTGAGTTATTTTGGCAAACAACCAAAATTCTTTTTTATTTTTTTATTTTTTTACCATTCTACCATGATGTCTGCAATGCCTTTTAAATATTGACCTCCTTTTAAGGTTCTCCTCTTAAAGATTCATTACTGATCGTGGTGGCAGCAGGATTGGGCTGTGTTATACTTGTCAGCGCCATTGCTTCGGTGGTTTACTGTCGAAACAGGAAAAAACAAGCTGGTAAAAAAAATAATAATAGTAATAATAATTCGTTCTTCTTCTTGGCTTCCTGTGTAATTTGTCTCTCAATGTTTTTCAGAATTGGATGAAGTCACAGTATATGCAGAGATCGATGATGTTACAAGCAGTAAGGTGAGTGTTACAGTTTGCAACGATATTGTAATGATAAACAAGACCAGAATCAGTCTAAAAATCAGGACCAAAACCAGTACTAAACCAGGGCCATAACTAGTCTAAACTAGGACCAAAATCAGTAAAAAAAACTTTTAAATCTTTTTTAGATTGATTTTGGTATTAATGTAAACATGTTAAACATGTTAATGTAAAACAAAAGGGAGTAGAACACAATACATTTTTTAAACTTCAACCTACTCCTTTTGAGCACCAGCAACGATACCAACGAATGTACAAGTACATATACCTTTGTGATTTTAATGTACCTTATACAGGCATGTCATACAGGCAAACAAATAAAAATGAAATGGAATTTAAATGGTTGTGTGTAACTATTTTCTATCCCTGGTCAGGTTATGAAGCCCTGTTCACTTTATGACTCTGTGGATATGAAAATGAGCACTGCAAAACATAAAGTAAGATCTCTAATAAACCATTTATGCAACATTATAATATTTTATGACATTTAACATGTTTACTTTATTTTATTTTATTTACTCTAGCCGCAGACGGTATACGACCAGATTCAGTTCAATCGAATGCAGAAGTGAATCATTGGATCAACACAATTATAATGTTAAGTGATGATGTCACTTCCGGGTCTGACCAGAAACTTCATAGTTGATTTCTAGGTTTGTTTTTGTTTCTTATTCATCAAACAAAAGACACTTACCTTTCAAAAGTGTATGTTTAGCCACAAATTGTATCAACTGTGTAAATAATATAGTAATAATCTATACAGTATAGAAGATATTACATGTGCCCAGCCTATCTTTTTACCTCAACCTCCCTCGTACACTTTCTGTCACAGTTGTAAACAAGATCCATGCTTATAACATTGATAGCTTTAAATGACTGCAGTTTTTTTTTTTAACATGAGATGTGATGTTGCTTTAAAAAAAAAAAAAAAAAAAGTCAACATTTGTTTTCAATCTGCTGATGGACAGGAAACACACTAAACAACTCTATAGAAAATGAACTTCTTCATTCTGTTTATGGCCCAAAATGTGATGCCAAAAAGATAATTTAATATATGCATTAACACAGATGATTGTATATTATGTAAACAAGATTAAAATATTAAAAGTGTAAAGATATACTCTATGATATACTTTCAAGAACTGCATAAAATGGCTTAAAAATACTGTTTGCATTATCATATTGCACAGCAGTTTATTTTCACTGCACTCCTGTCAAAGTCATATTTTGTGCAAATTTTTGAACACCTTAGCATTGTTTTATGCAGTGATATATGATTGATACTTTGCAGAAACATCACGCAGGCGGTGTTGTACATGTGTATCTATGGTGGAATGTTTATCAGTTACTATGGTGACTCAATGCATACATTAGCAAACACAGCCAGAAAAATCTGAAGATAGTCTTAAAAATACAAGATGGATTTAAACAGCACATTTTCAGGAGCCTGTGATCAATACGAGTGTTCATGGTCATGTTAAGGAGTTTGATTTTCAACTAAAAGGTGTGAGTATCTGAGAAATTGTTGGCTAATGCAAGCTAGCTGATGTCTGTAATATTATTTGAGAGGGACTTGTTTAAGAGCACAGATCAGCTCTTCTGTTGCAGTTCCAGCAAAGTCAGCTCTTTCTGGTCAGATTGTGTTAAAATAAAGCACAGCAGTGGCTTCATTTACCACCACATGCTCAAGGGAATTTGATTACATCAGCTGTAGCAAAAGAAAAAATAAATTCTATCATCTGGACAAAAGTTTTTTATGCGAAGATGTTTTGCAGCTCATCCAAGAGGCCTCTTCAGTTCTGGTCAAATTGACAGTTTTATTTATTGTATATTTTGTATATTAAATTATGTATTTTACTGTATATTTTGTATTGTATATCAAATCAATCTATTTTTTTAACCTTATTTTAATGCATGCCTCCATTTTTATTATATCATAGTTTATAGTATTACTCTTTGCTTAATGTTGCACCTTAATGCTGCAGCAAGTTCCTAGTATGTGACTTTTTTCACTGATAAGGGCAATAAAACTTATTCTGATGTAAGGTAATCGGCCTCTATTTTACCCGTAAGTATTCACATATGCACTTTTATTCCCTTTGTGTAATTTAATACCTTATTACATTTACATTTCACTTTAACAGGAACACTTACAACATATGCTCATTTGCCCATGTTTGTATGGTTCTACAGTTGTTTATTAAAACTTTGTGTTTATTTTAAATTTGTGGTGCCTTGAATGTGTCCACGTGTGTGTATAGTTTATGTTTTTAAAGTGTGAATATGGCATGCGTGTGTATGTGGTGAATATTGTTGTGCTTTTACCATGAATCTATTAAATTAGTTTGGTTTTTACCCATATCTTTTGTCCAGGTGTCTGGCCAAAAGATTCCCAGGGCTCCGTATGAGTTCCAGTCCTGTTCTATGCATTGGACATCGGGGAGAGTAGCACTGGATTTTAACTGGGATTTAGGTTATATTTTCTTAGGTGGTTGGATTCAGATTTTATTTTTGTAATTGGTATTGGTTATTTTTGTTAGAGAAGTTTAACTAGCTAACAGCTAATGTTAATCTTGCATCCTTGGAGTTTTTAGTAGTTTTACCTAGTGGTATATATAGGGCATCATGCTTGTTCAGTGATGCACTGTTTGAAACCTCAGGAATCAGTACAGGATAGCTCTATCTGCTGGCTCTCTGCCATAACTGCATGTGATAGAAATACATTAGCACAGCCAAAACAAGGCTTCATTTGCAGAGGTCATGTGATCTGAAACAGTGCTTCTACATTTTGCAACTCTCTTAAACAATTCACTTCAAATCACTGAAGCCCATATCAAGCTGTGGATGAACTTAAGGGGCCCATATTATCTTCTTTTCTTCATCAAAAACATACCTGGAGTTGTGTTTTGTTTCATTCACACTTGTTTAACACATAAACCCTGCATATTTAGGCTGAGTCCTTCTCTCAGACTGGAAACACTCCACCTTGTGTTGTTATGCGGCAGTACAGGAAGTGCTCCACTGTGTTTTTAAACTCCACCTTCACTAAAATCATTTGAATGACTTCAGCCCTGGAGCTGCCAATCTCTGCTGAACGAAAGGTAAAAGGTAGCTGTTAACTTGAAAACTACTGCTTCATTAAATTAAAAGATCTAAGCATTTTGAGCTTTGGAGATGCAGAGAGCGATGTAGATATAAAGCGTGATTACTCAGACATGTGTGAATGAAACAAAACACAACTCCAGGCATGTTATTTGGACCGTTTAATCACCAAGCAAAACACCAGAGCGAGTAAGAGTAAGGCCTTCCTTTTGCGTTCACCTGGCGCCCCCTGGAGGCTGCTGTGATACTGCAGGACACAGAGGAGGGGCACTTCTGGCTCTTCCTCTCCTCAAACTGCCCTGACACAGATCTGCTGACCCTACCTGGCCAGTCCTCCTGTGAAACTGCACTGAGACCTTTGACTGAGAAAGGTAACTGAGATGTGCAGTGGAAATGTTGCAGTGTCTCTCTCTCTTTCTTTTCTCTCCATGCTGTTGACTTGTGGAACAAAGAGGCTGTAGCTCTGCACACAGGACATGCAGGATGTTGTGGTTTCCATAGTGACCTTTACAGCTTCCTGTTTTGCAGCTTGCAAACTGCTAACCACATAGACTAGTGAAATGTGAAAAAAATACTTAAATTGAACTTTACAATGAAATGGGGTTTCCAAAAATATCAAAAATCCGGAACTAATCAATCTTAAGACTAATATCAAAAATTTGAACCTACCTGGAAGATTGACATATTACACACATATAAGGCCACATAGTCATACAAAAAAAGTACTATTTTTAATGTTTAAAATTGCATTCTATTGTCTAATAAAGAGTGAAGGATCAGTATTGAGTGTATTCCTTAGTATCGAAATTGAGTTTTATTATCGTGACAACACTACAAAGCCCTTCACAAAGTAGGCCTATATATAGAATCAGGTTTACGCTACTTGCATCCACCCAATACTCGAAGTAAAATAAAGTTACTCAAGGAAACTTACTTTAAAATATATCTCTTCAGTAACTGTGCAGTGCAGTAGTAAAAATACAGTTCATTATAATAACATACTAGTAAATTGTTGAAAAAAAACAAAAAAAACAAAATGGATTTAAGCTACACATTTTCAGGAGGCTGTGATCAATAGCTAGCTTGTGACTGCAATGTTATGTGTGAGAGACTTGTTTAACCACACAATTCAGATCAAATGTTGTAGTTTCAAACAAGTGAGTTCAGATTGTGAATAAATGTCAGATTAAAGTCCAATCTGAGTAACAGACCTTCAGGCGGAGTAGTACATTCAGTTAGCATCACACCTCCAGGAAATTTTGATGACATTAGCTGCAAAATATCAGTTGTTGACTGTTAAAGAAAATAAGAGTTGTCCTAGCGAGAGTTGTAAAGAGTTGTACCATCAATCTGGGGCTAAAATACTCGACACTGTGCATTAGTATTGGCTGTTCAAGCCTCACTATGCTTCCACACAAGGAGGTTTAAACAGGGCAGGTTGGAGGACAGGTTGGAGACAGGCTGGAGACAGGCTGGCCGAGATAAAATGAGAAGTGCATAAGCATACTACTTTAGAGAGATGAGTTGACCAAGGAAACTGATAATTAATCGTTACATTTAAATAGCACCTTTCAAGACACCCAAATAATAATGTTAAAGACAAGACCAATTGTGTATTAGTTGGATGACACCAGAGCTAACCACAGAAAAATGTCAACAATGAGCAGGCAGTGTCCTTGCAGTGTACTATGCAGGGGATACAAAATTTCACAACATTGACCATATTGGAATCATCCAAAAATACATAAAGCAAAAACCAATATTTTATCCAACTGATCCACAAATGTGAAAAAATATAATATTTATTGATAATAAATAAACATTTCAATGTCACAGTGCTGTAAAACTTCCAATGTCTGTTGGAGAAAAAAAAATAAACATTTATATTTTCTAAATTTTTATTTTTATTTTTATTTTTTTTAGAAAAGTGGAAGTTTTTACCTTAAAGGTTACAACTTAGTATTGCTTCCTTCTGGTGAACAGGAACCCAAACGTCCTCTAAAAAGTGCACCTTGATTAGCATTGATTAGTTTGGTAACTTGATCTATGATGTGTTTAAATAGCTCATACACTATTTTGTTATAATGTTGTTCCTTCATCAGGACTTTGCATATTTAGGTCGTTTTTCTCTCAAACAGGAGACACTGTGATGCCATATGGTAATACAGAAAGCCATCAACTGTGTTTTTTTCTGTGTGTGTTGTTATGCCTTCACTAGGGGCATCATTTGATCCCTGGATTTGCCAATCTCTACTGAACAAAAAGGTAAAAGGTAGCTGCTAACTTGAAAACTACTGCTTCATGACTTCATAAAGTGAAACAGAGCATTTTGAGCTTTGGAGATATAAACAGATTAATCATAAAGATTTATTCAAACACATGTTTCTGATGAGGTAAGAACATTATAAGAGAGCTAAAAGCTCACAGAAATCAAGTTTGCACAGTACAGTCCCTTAAATATGAATGGTAAGAAGAAAGGTGTCAGTTTATACCATAGACTGTACAGGTATAACAGAACCGGATTGAGGGACGTAAGTAAGTAAGTTTTTATTTACATAGCGTTTTTCACAGACATATGTCACAAAGATGCTTTTTTACAGATCATTATTCATTCACTCTATACCCAGTGGTGGTAAGCTACTACTGTAGCCACAGCTGCCCTGGGGCAATCTCCCAATCTGTGCCATTTGCCCCTCTGACCAACACCATCACTCATGCACACAACACTTTCATACTAGGCAATGTGAGTGAAGTGCCTTGCCTAAGGACATAACAACAGTTTTTGTCACTGGCGCCCCATTGTGGCACTTGATTTTCCCAGTGATCCAAGTACTAACCAGACCCGGCCTTGCTTAGCTTCTAAGAGATCAGGCTTTGACAAGCTGGCATGGCCGCATGTGATGTCACCCAGAGCGTTCGGTTACAAAAAATGAAGCTCATTGAGGACAGCAGTTATAGCAGCTAATCTGCATGTTCTATCTTGATTAAGGACATAGGGAAAAAATTTGAAATAAAAACCCCAGGATCATGTAGGGCATGTATAAATGAACATTTTAAGACCAAAATGAGAAGTCTGACAGCGGCAGTTACAGGGAGAGAGGCCTCTATTTTTAAGTCAAGTGGAGCAGAGCTTGCTTACTTCCTATTTAGATTACCGTGTCTAGAATATTATTTACTTCCATTTTTATACAGTCTATGGTTTTGATTCACCAGATCAAGCGAACTGTATTGAAAAATTATGTCAAAGATGCACTATGTAACTTTTCTGGTGGAGGGTATGTCACCTGCATCACCTCCATGGATATTTTCTAGCTTTACCTGGAATGTTCCACAGTATGCCATTAAACCTACACATCCCCATGAAAAGAAGCAGGTGACTAACTGTTACAGGTCAGATCTGTGGAAAGGCTTTTCAAGGTATTTATAGCAACAAAATCACCAGTAACTGAATGAATGAAAGACAGAGACGTTTAAAGCCTTATATTGAAACATCCCAAGCAAAGCATTAACATCTACACATGAGCCAGAGGTGACCTCCACCAGAAATGTTACACAGTGCACCTTTAGTTCATGCAACAGTGAAAGAAACTCCTTCTCTTTCCCCAAATGCAAACCTATGTAGTATTTAGCACATCTTACCTTCGTTTAGTTACAAAAAAAAATAATGTGCACAAAATAACAAAAACTGCCACAGCATTAATTGCCAGTATATGATCTCTGATTCCTTGGGGTGTGAGAGTAGGGGAAGTAACAGTGGTGCATGGAGGAGGTGAGCCTGAAATCATAAAAAAAAACAGTTCAGTAAATGCAACAGAGAGGTGTGGAGCAGGAGCAGCTGTCTGTAGTTTTTGAATGTACAAACTGCACGTGTGTGTGTGTGGCATGTGCCCAGAGCCATTGTCCTACTTTCATTACTGCTGTAATCTTAAAATGAATCAACAGCTGAAAGACAAGTGGAACAGATCTTGTATAACTCAACTACACATCCATTATTATTATCACGCTAATATTTACTGTTTGAATTTGTTCCTGTGTTAGTTACTTTGTAACTTATTTAGTGGAGGGTCCACCACCTGCTTTCAAGATTCATAGATTAACTTTATTGTCCTTAGGCTATCCACCATGCTGCCATCAATGCTGTGCAAAAAGTATAGTTCATAAATGCAGAACATAGTAAAAGCACAAAGAGTTCATCAGTCCACAACAAAGTGCCGTGTGCAGGATCACATTCAGCAGCCTGATAGGCAATGGCACAAACAAGACTCACTTACAAGACTCGTACTCTCAGTACAGAGCAGAAGGTCAAACAGGATCAGAGTGGACTGCTTATAGATTTCATTTTATTTATTTATTTATTTATTTATTTATTTTTGTTTGTTTGTCTCCATGTAGAATGAATCTTCTTGAAAATAAGCAGGAGATGACACCAGGCCAAGTAACATGACAGATATATGGAGACATGTCCCTGCTCACAATAGCATTGTATGTTTTTCAAGGTATTCGAATTTTAATGAGTTTTAATTGAATAAATGCAAGATAAGCTTGTTTAATGCTCTACTGTGGAAAATTACAGGAAAAGTAATAACATCCATCTCCATGGAGACAAGCAGCTGGCAAACACTCCACCAGATACATTAATGTATTTACATTCATAAATATTCAGGGTGAGGGTTAGGATTTAAAATGATAAAATAAAATCCTGAAAATAAACGTGGACTAAAAGAGTACTAAACCAGGACCTTAGTCTATATCAGGACTAAATTGGGATCAAACCAGGACTACAGCAGGAAATGTGAACACAGACAAGACAAGACAAGGTCAGAGGTGGGTAGTATTAATTTACATTTACTTGAGCAACTCTTTAAAGAAATTGTACTTTTTAGGGTACTTTTCTAGCAGCAACTTTTACTCCTTCCCGAGTAATATTTTTTATTACAGTACAGTACTCTTACTTGAGTCAAAGTTTTTGTGACTCTTCCCACTGTGAGTAAGTCTACAAGTGACAAAAGCTTTATGTAACAATATGAAATGAACATTGAACATTTGTGTTTCTTGTAGCGCTCCTTCAGATATTATTTCGTTTTTTTTTCTCATTTTTGTGTGTATCCTTTAAAAAGATTTTGTACATTATTTAACCTTTTGTCTGTTAAATTACATTAATTTGAATTTATAAATCTCCTAAATACTCCTACTTGAATAGTTTTACCAAATACTTTTTTACTCTTACTGAAAGGTGCACTGAGTAACTTTTCTAGTAGAGGATCGGCTACTTGTTTGTCTCCATGGAGATGTTATTTCTTCAAATGGAATATTCCACAGTATAGCATTAAACATATCTACCTTGCATTTGTTCAACTGCAGGTGTTTTATAGCTCAAAAATACCTTAAAAAAACATGAATTTTAGCCATGTGCAGGCTTGCTTCTCCATAGATCTGACCATTAACCTGTCTCCTTTGTGATTCCCAAATTTATTTTGATATTATGGAATAATCAAGGCAAAATGGTAATATTTCCATGGATGCACCTTGAAGTAATGTCTTGGACCACTAGTTTGTACTTCTACTTGAGTAATATTATTTTGAAGTATTGCTTGTTAGCAAACTTTCTGGCTACTCTACCCACCTCTGGACAAGATTATATATACTGTAATATACCAACTTTTCTCACTGCATTTCACATGGATGGTGCGTGTATTGTTATCCATGTTTTTTGTGGCGATGCAAGTGATGTCTATGGTTCTCTGAGTATCGAGAATGGCCAGGAAAATGTTGCTATTGAATCCAGTGATCCACTCCATTTGGAGTCGAGGGTTCGATCTCCAGGACAGAGAGACCCCAGTGTTTGAAGAGGAGCAGTTCAGGGTCACTACACAGCTGTCTTTTATTGGCTTTTGAATTATTTCAATGACAGGCTCCAGCAGTTGCTCTAAGAGAGAAGAAATGACACAGAAAATTTTACTTTTACATTTCCAGACACAAGTGAAACGATAAGTTACCAAATAAGAAATCCATTTACAGTAATTCAGTGTGTTTCTTGCAGACTAAATTGTATAGAACATAATTTCTTTCTTCCTTTTTATTTTATTTTCATTTTCAAATAAGAGTAATGGATTTGATACATGTAATTTACAGTGATGCAAAATGAGTTAAAAGACACATAAAAGCAGTGTTTTGTGCGAAGCTTTTGATATCCGGAAAAAACAAAGCAGTCTTGGTTAAATGTATGCAATTTCAGCATTAAAGGAGCTCTATGTAGCCAGAGGAACTAAAGTCACAACTGAACCTGTGTTGCCAGTGCCTAAACCTGTAGATAAAGGATTAATTCTCAGTATTTAAACAGGCCTCATGTGAAAGCTCAAATGGTGTTCTCTGACTGGCTGTTGCCTCAGTGATATCGTTCTGCTTTGCCTATGTTGACTTCAGTTCAACTTCCAGCTTTATGGTGTGAGTACAGTGTCATGTGAGGCTCATTCTGCATTCTGACTGGATAAATATCTTGATGCTTGGTGTTATGGTTCTAATCATGCTATTATTATTAGACTTCCTGTTCTCATGGGGGTTATAAAAGTAACAATAATTTACAGTAAATGTGGTGAATACTTACGTTTTATGTTGAGTTTGATTTTGTTAACTTGATTACGTCCATCAGAGCTGTAGAAATCAACAGTGTATTCCAGCTCATCTGCACTGGTCACATTTTTTATCATCAAATCCCCTGAGAACAAAATTAAAAACTATTGTTGATGTCTTTATTACAACTGTGAATTTTGGTTTTAAAGCTACACTGTGTAACATTTTGGTTGGGGGTCCATCACTTGCTTGTCTCTATGGATATGTCATTGCTCTGCCTGGAATTTTCTACACCATGACATTACAGAGCTCTACCTTAAATTTGTTCACGTATGTAGTTTTAAAGCTCAAAAATACCTTGAAAAACAGGCATTCAGACTGTAAACGGGATTGCCTCCACAGATCTGACCTGTAACTTGATCTGGTTTGGTTTCCATGAGAAAGGTTAAATACCATACTGTGATTGTGACTAGGGATGGGCATTTGATTAAATTTTCTTAATCGATCGTCGGGAGAATTAACGATCAATTATCGATTAATCATTAACGTTTTTATATTAAAATGTATCATCATTATTATTACTATCTGCACTACTAATCTGCATAAATAAATTCAACTTTACGACATATAAACCGTAACCACTCTATCAGCCATTTTGAGATTATAAGATTTGCGCAATTTACGAAAACGAAACTTAACCGCATGGCTCATTTGCATAAACTAAGCGAAGGAAAAAAAAACTGCTCTTGTGCACTGATGCGGCATGACTCAGTGGAATACAGTAAAACCACAGATGTGCGGAGACACAATGCTGAGCCGCTTCTGTGTCCGCGCATGCGCAGTCTGCCAGATTCCGGCAAATCGGCTCGTGGAACAACTTCAACAGAGCGAAATCCTCACGAGAGGCGACTGGATTTCAAACAAGTTTGATTTTCTTGCGACCTACGAATGTCGATCGGGAGCTGGTCGTGAGTCATTAATCGGTTCTCTTTACCCCATGTAAACTACACGAAGCACGACACACGATGAAGCCAAAACTCGGCCCGATCCCCAAAACAATCGCACAAGCGAAAAATCGGCTCAAAAAGGGTCAAAAATCGCACAGTGTACGCCCGGCCTTTAGTGTGACCATATTTGCGTTTGTCAAAACCAGGACAGCGTACGGGGGTGGGAGGTGGAGACTCGTCATCTACATTGCGCTACTCTCACCTGGCAAAGATTTATCATGTTTTCGGTGTCCTAGTGCTTTTTCCCACTGGACACCAAAACTAATTTCTTGCTTTGTGCTCTATGCACATGGCCTCACACTTGTCCCGAACGCAACAGAAAGCATGGAATTCTTTTGTACAAATCATCGTTAAATACGCATTTGTACTTCAACACGTTGCAAACTGACCGACTGTTTGTGTCTCGCTCCTTCTGAGTGCAGAGAGCTCCATGTACGGACCCCTGTTTGGTCACCCTACGCTACACACAGCAACCTACATTCGGTTTGTCGATTAAAATGAACGTAATCAACGAAATTCTTAATGATCAATTATCGATTAATCGACTAATCAGGCCCATCCCTAATTGTGACATTCCAGACAAAGCAATTAGCAATTTTTAATCAATGGTGAGTGTAAAGACAATTTTAGACCTAACCTTTTGTCATTTCTGGATGCAGGGGATCCAGGCCTAACGCACTACCAGGTTGGCACATTACATTATAGAGCAGAAAGGAGTAGAATGGGTGGATAGATGTTCAATAATATTAAAGACCATTAATTAACCACTCTTTACCCACCAGCCAGAAAGAGAGCGGTAAAAAACATGTGACCTCCTGTCACCCATACACCCAGTACACTGGCACCTGTGTGATCATATAGGGCTTGACTCCACCCTGACCCTTTGTGGGCAAGGCAAATATAGGTCACCCTGTGCCCAGACATAAACAGTGACCCAAATTAACCCCAGGCTAAATGAAAGAAGAATGGCTTTATGGATTTATTTTAGCACAAATCAACTAATTCCCAATCACAGACTGTATATATAAATGGACATACGTAGCTATTGTGCTAGCCGCCTCTTTCGGCTCCTACTGATCCTGGCTCCCATTGACTTATATTGTTGCCCCTCTTTCTGTAACTACTGCAGTGATTCTTGTCATTTTGGTCTTAAAATGTTCATCAACATTCAAAAACATCATATTCACAATAAAGAACCTGGCTCCAAATTAGCTCCTATAACCACATGGATCCATCCATTAGCCTCGCTAGCATCATTTAAGTGGCGCTGAACGCTATGGGTGAAGTCACACTCGCTTTGTCCACTTCTTTATACAGTCTATGTTCCCAATACACAATAAACAGAACAGGAAGTGCAGTTTTTGACAGAAGTATAGTTTTCCAAGAAATTTCTCAACTAAGAGTCAAGAGCATTTGGAAAATTCCAACTCAAGTCAAGGATTAGGTAATATCTGGACGTAACTTCATCTATGACGTTAATGTAATTTGAAGCACAAAACATAAAATAATGGGCAAAATCTGATATTTTCAAAGGATAGACACAAAAAATAAAAAAAACTAAGAAGGGAGTGGTGAAAAAAAAAAAACATACACAGTGACAGTGTACCTTTAAAAAAAGTGTTGATTTATGTGTATAGTATTCTGGTTTAGTCCTGGTTTAGTTATCTGTGAGAGGGGTGAGGTGTGGGAAGAGTGTGTTTGTTTTTTGTCTATTTTTGTTAAAAAATAAAAATGTGTTGTTTTATAAGTACCTGTAGATGTGTTCAGATGAAGCCTCCCAATGTATTTATAAAATTGGTTCTGGTTAAGTCCATCGTTTGAATATGTGGCAATCCATGTGGTGTTGGGCCATATAGACCAGGTGATGTCTGTAAGTTCCCACTTTGGATCGGCACCTGAACGCAGCGTGACATTCTCCCCCACATATGCTGACACAGGGGTGAGGTCCTCAGCACGAGACACTGGAACACATGATAAAAAGTTAGAGACAGTTAGAAAAACACAGATCAGAGCTGATAGCCATTAGAAGGCGTAATGTTGTAGGGTGTTTCCACAGTTACTGTAACTGCTACTGATTTTAGTGCTGTGTAGTCTTGGAGTAGACTTTAGGTTATGTAGTCCTGGTTTAGTTCTGTTGTAGTTCTGGTTTAGGCCTGATTTAGTCCTGGTTTAATTCTGGTTTACCCCCTTTTAGTCTGGTTTAGGCCTAGTTTATTTCTTATCTAATTCTAGTTTAGTCCTGGTCTAATTCTGGTTTTGGCCTGCTTTTTAAACACAGAAGTGTCTGCTGAAGTTTTCATTTTATTTGTGTACTTTTTAACACATTGTCAGTGACATCCACCCACAGCTTAGTTTAAGTGTTTCTTTATTTTAGTAACTCTGCAGGATGTAGGACAAAACATGAAATAATGCCCCAAACCTGATCTTTTCAAAAGGATAGACACAAAATTTAGACAAAATCATATCTGATGGAGAGGAGCAAGAAACACAAATGTTCAAATCATTTCATTTTGTCGACATAAAGCTTTTGTCACTTTAGACTCTCTCACAGCGGTTACTTCAAGAGTTACTTCAATTAAAAAAATATTACTCAAAGCACGTTCATAGATGTCCCAACATGGTCAAAGTAAGAGGCAGACTAAAAACTAAAAATTGTCTTTGACCAGACAGTTTATTAAAAAAGACTTCCAGTGTAAGGTAAAGTAAATCAATAAAATGTTCTAACAAATAAATAAAAATAAATAAAATAAGTTACTTAAATTAAATCAACAGCAACAACACCCAACCCAACTGCACAGAAGTCTCTTCCTCTAATTGATGAAAATAGGCTGCTTATATACACACACTCCCCAACAGGAAGGACCTTCATCAGGTAAGTATAATTTCCTTAAACAGGTAACTTTCAAAACTCTAAAGCTAGCCTTTTCCATTTACATGGGCCTACATCCCTTTTTAAATCAATGTGTTCAACATAAACTAAACACTAAAATACTAAAATAATTTACCCAAATGCACGAAAACAATGAAACACAAAGAAACTGAAACCAATTCTCCCCTCCACATGGTCTGGCATAAAACCTCAACTAGAGGCTCCCCTAAATGTGGCTGTCCTTGGGCACACACCCTCTTTTGTCTCCACACCATGTGGAGTAATTAAATATATTTAAAGTTACAGTGTGTTATGTGATAATTTAACAAAACAAGAACCCAGAATTATGTATCAAACTGTTAGGTAGGATATGGTAACAAATAACTACTGTGAAATTAAACAAATTAATGTGAGTTTAAAATGGGACAAAGGCCCTATTTGTCATAATAGAAAAGTGAAATTTCCTGAGTACTACCCTACTATTCTGCATGTTTGTAAATCATATGATATCCTAATGACTAGTACTGGTTAAATAGTAGTATTACAGTAGTATAGCAATAGTTTAATAAAGGAGCATCTGAAAAATGAAACATGTGCTGTGAAACTAGTTTGCTTGTGACCACATCCTCACTTCTCCTTTACAGAGACACAGTGCATTTAGGTTAACAGGAGTCATCTCTTAGGGTTTTTTATTGTTTTTATGGACTTTACACCTTTTTTCTGTCATTTTTTCCTGATCAGTGAATTATTTCAGTTTGACATATCAATTCAATGTCCTTATCTATAATCGGACACAGTGGATCACCTAGTTTGTATTTTAAATGTGCACTATGTAATTTTTGAACGGGGTTCGCCTCCATCTTCTTATCGTTTCTATGGAGGTGTCATTGCTCTGCCTGTAATGTTCCATATTATGACATTAAACAGCTCTACCTTACATTTATTCAATTACAGGTGATTTTATAGTTCAAAAATACCTATAGAAAAACAGACATTCTGTTGCCTCTCCACAGATCAGTCCTGTAAATTGGTCTTGTTTGGTCTCCGTGAAGATAGAAAAGTTTAATGCTATACTGTGAAACATTCCAGACAAAGCAATAACATCACCATGGAGAAAAGCATTTGATGGAGCCTCCACCAGAAAAGTTATACAATTTACCTTTAAATAAAGTGAGACATTTCTCTTTAAATGCATTTAACTTTTAATATTTCTATGACCAGGACATTTGAAAATAAAGCTGGAGTTTTAGCGATATTTCTTATGGTTGATAGAGACAGAACTTAATAATAATAATAATAATACATTAGCCTTAAATAGCTTTTCCACTCAATGAGTTTGTCACATCCTTACTAGAAATGTGGGTGAAGTGCCTTTCCCTACTGTGACACCTGGTATTGCTGGGTTTCAAGTAACATTACAACATTCTAAAGGCCAGTTATATTTAATACAGACAGAGGAAGCCAACATTTATATTGTTAAAATGCAGGGTTTTGTGTTGTAATACAGTAATGAGTTCATTGTGAGTGAATAATTAATAGGATATTAATGACTCTTGCCCCCATACGTTTTGACAAAGATATTATAGTTCTGGAGAAAACTGGAGAAGGGAAAAGTAGCTTGTCCACTACAATCTACTTACTCAGTGACTGTAGTATTGTTCATCATATTTCTGTAGCTTTAGTTGTTTCTTTGGTAACGGACTGATTCAGAATAAGCGTTGACTGAATGCTACACAGTTACATCCTTTACTTTTCAAATTTTCAAACATTTCTATATCATTAGCTGATTAGTTCACTTATTCACCAGTGTAACAGCTACAGTTTGGACACTTTTGAACCCATCAAACTAGAAGTAACATTTGTTCTCATGTTTACACAGTTGCTATTCTATCTCAGTTTGTCAACCATGTAATCTCTCAGTTCCTCCTTTCCTTTGTTCTTGTATGCCATTGTTTACTTATTATTGATCTATCAGGATGTTTTCTAAGTTTGATGAAAATATGAAATTATTTCTTACCTTTAAACAACAGAAAACAGAGAGGCAGCAGGCGCATTGCTTTTGGCAGCTGAATAAACAGCAATATCGTTTTTCCGGGCTATGTCTACTTCCTCACTATACATTTGAATAAAGACAAGCTCGGCAAGTACAGTTAGTCACACTACTCCCACATGTAAGGTCTCACTTCAGCTTTAAACAGAAAAGAAGAACAACGAAAAAGACCTAACCATAAAAAACGCAAATGATGCGAAATGAGGGAGACTACTCCTTTTCAGAAAATACATTTCTTAGATTTAAATATTTATAAGGGATTTACATAGCACAATTTTCAGAAAAGTAACAGATCGAAATGCAATTTTAAAAGCAGACAGCTTTCACCCCCCATGGTTGCTTCAGAATATCCCTTATGGTCAGTTTCAAAGACTACGGCGGATTTGTGATACTGAGTCTAACTTTGAAAAAATGCCAAGATATGTGCTGTAGATTCAAAAACAGAGGCTACACAGACAGTACTTTGTCTTTAGCCTACAATCGAGCCAAAAGTCTTAATAGAGAAGAACTACTGACTCAGAAACCAAAGAAAAATGTGAGTACTAATCAAGTGTATTTTGTAACTGAATATGGCACTGAAGCAAACTGAATCAAACAAATAATCAAACAGAACTGGAGTATATTAAGAAGCGACAGCACCCTAAGAGACGCTCTCCCAGAGACCCCCACCATCACCTTTAGAAAAGCCCCTACGCTCAGTGATAGACTAGTGAACAGTTATCTCCCTCCTTTGAAACAAAAGACATGGTTGGACACTAAGGCTGGCTGCTACAGATGTGGTAACTGTACCTTTTGTGAACATGTACAACAGACGAACTTATTCATGGACATTAACTCAGGTCAAAGTTTTTATATTAGAACATTAATTAATTGTAACACTACCTATGTAGTATACAGACTTGACTGCCAATGTGGTCGTTTTTACGTAGGCCGAACAAAACGCAAATTGAAAAACAGACTGGCTGAGCATAAACAGGCTATAAGGACATATAACCCCCTCTATCCTATGGCCGTGCATTACAAAGAAGCCAACCATGGCAGCTGTAAAAGCCTAAAAGTTTGTGCAACTGAACATATTAAAGAAACAATAAGAGGAGGAGATAGACTGAAAAAACTATTACAAAGAGAGACCTTTTGGATCTACACTGTCAAGGCTACACAGTTTCCAGGACTCAATGGAGAGTTAGATTTCTCCCCCTTCCTTTAAAACTACAAGTTTTAAACGTGTAATCGATCCTTGTTCTATATCCCTGTCTTCTTGAAATTATTTAAGACTAGCCCTTAAATATATTATACAAACTATAGCTGAAGCACTTTTGAGTTATCGCACTATATATATCCTTACACTATGTATCTTTTTATACTATTTTATAATATTTTCATATAATGTATCTATCTATGTATTGGTTGTTGGGATTTGTACCTTGTATGTCTTGTATAATTGTATTTGAATTTGTTTAGCCTATAATTAAGGTTTGTTAGGCCTACATGTCCCATCATGTATCTAGGGGACTGTGGGCCAGCCCACTGTGAACATGTGACCTACACCTATTACTTTAAATCTGCACTGTGATAACCAACTCGAGTTTGCCCTGATGAAGGCCGAAGCGCCGAAACACGTTGGCGTATTTTAACTTTATCTGCCATGTGGTATTAAAGGCTTTTAATTATTTTGTACTTTTTGAGTGCCTCAGTTTTTTTTCCCACTTTGTATTTGAGACTGGTCCCTACACTGAAGAGCACCAAAAGGACAATTCTGCACATTTTTTGCATATCCAAGTAGCACTCCTGCTTCCAAAGCCTTGCACCAAAGTCCACTGTTTTCCTGGTCATATTGTTACTAAAGTCAGCATTATTTACCACGAAAGAAAAACCCATCTCCCTTTCCTAATGCTAACCATCACAGATAACTTGTGCCTAAGCTTAGCCAGACACAGCCAAACACATACATGGATAAAATGGCTATGGTTAAATGTATTATATTTGTGACAACATGTTTTAAACTGCTAATTTCCCTATGGAAGCAGAGAAGGGCAGAGACAATCCAAACATACTTTCAAATTAGGACAGTTTTAGAAGTGTATTGGAGATTAAGTGCAGTCTTTAAAGGGCAAATAATTGGAACTTTTTTAATAACATTTGCTGTGGAAAAAATTATATAGATCTTGAAAAAAACATTATAGATTTGCGAAGCCAATGAGTTTTTGAAATACATACAAAGAACAAGCGCAATCAGAGATAGCAACCTGGTCCCCCATGAGGCATTATGTGTGTGCCAACTTGTGTGATGATTGGGTGAATATTTTTGCCTGCAGATAGGCAGAAATTGCCTATCCTTTATAATGGTGTGACTTTTCAATTGACCCCTGTGACCTCAAATGACCTTGGATCATCATCAAGCTTTTTTTGCAGCGTCGGGCATGGGGGCTTGACCGACGTACCAAATTTGGTGACAATCGGTCCATAAATGGCAGAATTATCACGGGTGGACAGACATACAGACACAAACACACACACAGACACATAGGGTGAATACAAAACCTGGTCAACCCTTCGGGGACCAGATAATTATTCTTGTTACAGCAGATATGGACAAGGCCTAGGCCTGCACTGGTCAGACACCAGCAGTACCAGTATCAGATCAATATACTATCTCCAGTCACCCCTTCTCTCCATCTCCAGAGTATCTCCCCCAGAGATATTCAGGATTACATATATATCAATGAAGAGTGACTTTTGTTTCATAGACTTGTGATAACATTTGAGAACAACATACAGTTTCCTGAGGGTGGGGACAGTTGTGTCTGCTGAGCCTCTACACATTTTAATGACTGCTCTGGTCTCAGGTAGAAAATACATTAATTTACTCAAAGACAAATTGAAAGAAATCATTTCTTCACAATACAAATTTCCATCACAACATTTAATTGTGAACTAAGACAAAAAATGATTAATTAATTTGCTTATTAAGAGGAAACAAATGAAAATAGTGAGAGACATATGGGTGGAGGAGCATCTTGGTGGAGGTCTGCAGCCAAACTCTAAGAATGGAGAGGTTCTATATTATGTAAAATTGACTCTTGTGAGCTTTGAGCCATGTTATAATATTGTGACCTCCTCATAAACATACCTGGAGTTGAGTTTTGTTTTATTCACACACTTGAGTAATCATTTATAATTAGTCTGTCTACATCTCCAAAACTCAAAATGTTCTGTTACACCTTGTGATGTCACATGTGTGGTAGTTTTCTTGTTAACAGGTACCTTTTACCTTTAGTTCAGAAGAGATTGGCAATTCCAGGGCTGAACTCATTCAAATGAGTCCCGTGAAGGTGTATGGAGTTTAAAAACACAATAGAGCACTTCCTGTATTACCACATGACATCACAAGGTGGAACAGAGTGTTTAATACTCACTACATTTGGGAGCAGGTATCTGTGCTTTCTACTTCACTACTTTTTAGATCTGGACTGAAAAGTAAAAAGTACTTTTCTTTGACTTTTGAGATCTGCTGAAATGGCTATATTTTTTAGAACGTTTAATCTGAGTTAATGTCCCACTCTGAGCAAAACAACAAACTACTAGAAACTGCTAGAAAAAATAAGAAATCGCTTAAAATCAGCTAAATTCTTTATTAAAATCAATACATTTCATCTTTAAATTGTTCTAGAAATCTCTGAGAGCTACTTTTGTTTTTTACTGTTTAAGTACATTTTAAAACACGTACTTTAATACTTTAGTATCTAGATATCAGTCAGTTCACTATAAGTCATTCCTGTAGATACTGCCAGTTGGGTTTATTTTGGTCCTGTGACACTGAAGCACCAAGCAACCAGTCACATTTAAATGAGTCAAGAGGGTCACGTGTCTTGCTCAATGATGCATTTTGGAATGACTGTGGTAAAACCAACATGTCTGATACTGAATGAATTCTCTCAGAGATCTGAACTGAAATTTTGTCTTTAAAATGTCCAAAAAGCTGTGTTGAAATTTTAAAATATTTCTTCATAAGGGGTGGGTAGTGTAACCAAAAATAGTGTTTGAGTAACATTACTTCAGAATAGTATTACTCAAATATAAGTATAAAGCAGTGCTCAAGTAAGAGTAAAAAAAAAGTATTTGGGAAAACTACTACTCAAATAAGAGCAACTGTCAGAATGTAACATCTGATTTATAATTTGAAGTTAGTGCAATTTGAAGGACAAAACATGAAATAATGTCCCAAATTTGGTATTTTCAAAGGACAGACACAAAAATGAATATAAAAAAATATTTGCAGAATAAATATCTGAAGGAGAGGAGCTAAGAAAGGAAATGTTGACATAAAGCTTTTGTAGGAGTAAAAGTATGCTGCTAGAAAAGTAAGTAGAAAAGTAAAATAATGTACTGTGAGTATTTTAAGATGTAGCATAAGGTTTTCTGTCTGTAGTAATTTTCTTAGGCATTACAAATTTTTAAATCTGTCTAATTTTAAAAAGTATTGTATAAACCAACATAAAATAAGACCATGCATAATCCATAGGGCACAAACAGCATTTAATAAAAACAATTTCAGTGTAAATTGTATAAAACATTTCTTAAAAACAGCTTAAAAATCAGTGAACTAAATGAAAAAAAGACAACAACAGTGTAACATTCATCACGCTAAATATTACTTCTAACTGCACAATGGCAAACTGGGAGTCCAGTCTTGGCAATTTACAACCAAAATTATTCTCAAAATTTTAAACAATTAATGTACCGATGCCTTATTTTGTTTGAACATTTAAAGGTGCACTACGTAACTTTTTGGTTGAGGATCTGTCACCTGCTTGTTTCCATGAATATGCCTTTGCTCTACCTGGAATGCTTCACAGTATGACATACAGCTTTACTTTACATTTATTCAATTACAGGTGTTTTTTATAGCTCAAAGATACCTAGAAATACAGGCATTCTGACTGTGAGTGGGGTCGCCTCTCCACAGATCTGACCTGTACCTTGGTCTGGTTTGGTCTCCATGGTGATGGAAAGGTTTAATACCATACTGTAATTGTGAAACATTCCATACAAAGCTATAACATCTCCATGGAGAAAAGTATTTGACGGACCCTCCACCAGAAATGTTACAAAATGCACCTTTAAGTTATGTACAGTAAATACAATAAAACAAAGCTTATTGTGGCCGCTGTTGACCTTCATTGTCAGTTTAGCTACACAATCAAATACACTGCTGATAGTACAAGACCATAGATTTAGTGTTTCTTTGTACAGGAATTTGCTGAAACATATAAAGCCAGTAAGCAAAGTGACAAAAATGGCAAATTCTAGCCTTTAAAACTTAATGGTCTGGTGGTGGATTCTCCTCAAGAGAAGTTTTAATATTTTCATTCAGTTCATTACATGTTTCGTCATAATTTTCAAAATTCTGAAATGGTCGTGCAACTCAATATCTATGAAATCATAACAGTGAACAAAGTAGTGATTCAATAGTGGTTTGTAGTGTCCTAAACTACTGACATTTAGTAAAATAGTACAATTTTGAAACATTTTCTGTCACGTGTTCGTCTCCATGGAGATTTTATTGCTTTGCCTGTAATGTTCCACAGTATAACACTGAGCTTATCTGTCTTCATGGGGGCAAGGAGGTGACGCCATCAGACCAAGTTACAGGTCAGATCTGTGTAGAGGAGACCCTGTTCTTAGTAACAATGCATGTTTTCCAATGTACAAAAAAGATGGATAGGTTTGATATCATACTGTACAACATTCAAGGTAAAGCAATGACATTTCCATGAGACAAGGTGACAGATCTCCACTAGAAATGTGACACAGTGCAATCTTTAAGCATCAAAACATGTCTTGTGTACTGCATTGTGTTGTATTTCATTAGTAAGTTAGACTATTGATAACAAAATGGATGCAGCCCTTATAAAGTCATACAAAAGGCAGTTTAAAGTCTATTTTGTCAGTATTTTTTATATTTAGACACATTTTAAAAGGTCGTGTAGCTCAAAAAAAAAGGAACAAAAAAAATTACTGCAACATTGTACAAAAATAAGTTTGGACACCATGACTCCCCAATAGTTCTGCTTTTGGTTCATCCTACACAGATGTCTCAGACTGGAGCTTCATGACAAACTTGTGACTCTTCGGATCTACAAATTCTTCTCCCAAAGATAAAAAGGGAAGTGGAGTTACGTTCACGACCAGTGCGAAATCTGGGCGTTTTAAGGAGAAGACCAGCCCCTGACGAAGAGCGGAGGTCACCGGATCATCACTCACTAAGGTCCACTGGCGTCCTCTGCCGTGGTCCAGGTACTGCAGGGTGGGGCCCAGAGCCAGGTAGCGCTCCAAAAAGGCCTAAATTTAAACAAAATGAAGTTAGTCAAGCTGAAATTACTATTCACGATTTGATTTAAAACGTTTTGTTAAAGGTGCACTATGTAACTTTTTTGGTTGGGGGTCCGTCACCTGCTTGGTTCTATGGATATGTCATTGTTCTACCAGTATGACATTAAACAGCTCTAGCTTACTTGGTCTTGTTTGGTCTCCATGACGACAGAAAGTTTTAATGCCATACTGTGAAACATTCCAGGCAAAGCAATAACATTTCCATGGAGAAAACTATTTGATGAACTATCCACCAGGAACATTACACAATGCACCTTTAAGGGACATGTGACTTGTATAGTAGTCAATATATTTAAATTTAAAATATATCTGACACAAAAAACATGAAAAATATATTTAAAACAGGGACAGTTTTATAGTTTAAATTTTCACAAACTTGGCATCTCAATTGTAATGCTGATTAATTGTTAAAATGTGCACTGTGTAACTTTTTGGTTGGGGGTTTGTGCTTTGTGTTGCATTTTTTTTGTATGAAAAGTGCTCTATAACTAAAGTTTGATTGATTGATTGATTGATTTATGGAGGTTCTGTAGGCTAATTTTAAAGGTCCTATATTTCCCAAAATGACTCTTGTGAGCTATAAGCCATGTTATAATGCTGCTACCTCTCCAAAAAAACATACCTGAAGTTGAGTTTTGTTTAATTTACACACTTAAGTAAAACTGTTTTTTTTTAGTCTGGCTATATTTCCAAAGCTGAAAATGCTCTGTTCTTCCTTGTGATGTCATGTGGTGGCTGAAATTATCCAGAAGATTCTTATGAAGGTGTATGGAGTTTAAAAACACAGTGGAGCACTTTCTGTATTACCACATGGCATTACAAGGTGTAACAGAGTGTTTTCTGTTTGAGAGAAGAACTGTGTGTTAAACATGTGTGAATGGAGCAAAACACAACCCCAGGTGTGTTTGTGATGAGGAAACAGGCAATTCTAGTATTAAAGGGCCCTTATTACACTGTTCTCTGATCTCTGTCAGTACCTTGGGTGTCATGTTGTGGGTGATGCAGAACTGCAGGTGGTTGATGATGCTCTCCATGGTGTGGTAAGACTGCTGCCTAGTGGCTCGCAGGTACTTCTGCATGGCACGGGCCATTGGGGCGAAGATGGCTTGAGCCGCCTCTCTGGGGTCCATGACCTCACGCGGGTGTTTGGGCGAGGAGGGCGTCTGGTCGTCCTGGTGACGCTTGATGTGAGTGAACGCCTCCTCTACTGCCACCACCAGCCTGGGAGGAGGAATGACAAGGTTAGTAACAGTAAAGGAAAAATGGGCTCCAACATCTTTAAAATGGCAATCTCAATCTCAATAGATGGAAATATATTAGCTGGCAAGAACTACAAGACACATATAATCATATCATATAATTTGGGGTAATTATGGGTTGGCAAAAACATAATAAAATACATTTTAGATTTTTTCACCAGTAGATGAGATGTGAAACCTATTTTAGCATCATGACAATACTACCATAATCATTGCTGCTTTAAGCTGTAGGATCTGGCAGCATACACATTTGGAGCAGCTAATCATTTTTATTTGTTTTATTATAGAAGAATTCCAACTAAATATTTTGGTGTCTCTACAAAAAATAGCAATATTTATATCTCGTATGGCAAAATTGCACAAGCTACACTGAGGTGTTCTCTGCACATTCTAAAGACAAATACATGGATACATAAATACCTATATTACACAAAATGGGATTTCTGTCAGCTTTATGCCATGTTATCAGATCAGAAAATAGTGTAATATGGGCATTTTTAGAGCAGTTTTCCAGTAGTCCCTCACCTGGCCTTGCGTTTCCGGACCCTTCGCTCCATCTCAGCCTCTTCGTAATAATACTCATTGTGGGAATTGTCTCGTCTCCGAGCGGCAGCTGCGATCATGGCCCGAGACTGTCCTGTGGAGTTACCCGTGGTGTTTTCTGTGAATATAAAACAAAAAGTAAGTTTAGGTGAAAATGGCAAATTACAAGTGACTTTTTAGACAATTTAAAAGTAGAGTGTTCTTGTGCTTTTTTCTGCCATATACTTCTAATCTGCGACCCTCGTGGATCAATGTTTTGTAATTTGGAGATTTTAAATCACAATATAGATCTAAAATGATGGTGACTTGATGAATACAGTATGACTGTGTTTGGAATTAGTTTTATCCTTGTTTTTAGCTCAGAAAAACACTTTGTTGGTTAAAGGTAGGGCTGTAATCCCTTTGTCGTATTGTTAATTAATGGGCTGATGGAGTCTTTTATAACAGTGTTTTTTATATATATGTTATATGTTTTTTAAGTCTCAAATAAAGAGATGATGAATTTATGACTTATTTTACTTTGATTACAAGGGGAGCAGAAAGGATATGTTCATGTGGAAGCAGAAAGGAGAAGTTAGTGAGTTAGCTGAATAGTTGGTGTTTCATGGTATTTCTTTTTAAAAAGGCAGATTAAACTTTGTTTCCTAGTACTTTTTCTGCATAATTAGCTGTTTATTGCATGAGCTCTCCCTGCAGTTGTAGTGTTGTGAGTGCAGTTTGGGTCAGATGCACAGATGCATAATATTTTTGAGAGCTTTTGCCACATTCCCTTTTTAGTCTTTTAGTTTTTTTTTATGCATAGTCTCTGTGATATACCAATCTTCATCAATCAGACAGACATCAACACAACAAATTAAAATAATGGACACAACTACAGTATAAACAACAATTTCTTTAGTACTGAGTAAGTAAGCAGGATGATAGGACTATGCACATATCACAGGGACTCCACCTTCTCCGAGGCTGTAGATCTTGAAGGCAGAGGTCTTTTTGGAGAGGATGGACTTGGGCAGGTTTAACACAGCTGGATTGTGAACAGGGAAGTCACTGTAGTAATGATCCAGCACCCAGGCAGCAGCTCTCTGAATGCTGAGTCCACAGAGAGGGAACACATGGTTTGAGGTTAGACTTATCTGCACTGGCAAACACAGAGGAAGTGGTGAACGGAAGAAGTGCTGAAAGCAAAAACCCCATCTTCAACAGAAATGCAACTCAGTATTGCAATGTTTTCATGGGTTTCAAGCTATGAGTAGATCAGCATGGTTTTGTATAGTAGTAAGATAGAACTATGAAGCTGGTAATAACGAAACCACTGAATGACATTTGATAGTAACAATACAACTTCAAAATAATGTTTTTTTCTAGAGTAAAATGTGCAGTATTTTTAAATGGCACAAATAAGGAGTATTTTTAACCCTAGTAGGCCCATGTTTTCTGAACTATGTTATGTTTCCTCATCAAAAACATACCTGAAGTTAGCGCAAATCTGCAGCGCATAAGGACCTAATATAATATTATAATTTATTGATACCTAAATTTGTTTGCTCAGCACAAATGAATGTGTGGTTGTATTTTCAGTTTAATGCTATCACAATTTAAAACGAATAGTGTTTATAATGTTTCTTTTAACTGCTTGGGGAGATGGCGTTCGATTAGTTTTGTTCTGTTGTCACGTGACGCTCATAAGGGAGACCAAGACAAGATGGCAAGTCAGGCCGCAAGCGAGTTGGCCCCCCCAAAAAATACTAGTACTTCTGCAATTTGGCAGTATTTTGGCTTCAGGTGCACATTTGTTTACGTTTTACAGAAACCAAATTTAAAACCACATGGCTATTTGCATAAACTATAAAGCTCTGATAAAAACAGCTCTTCTTGTGCACTGATGCGGTTCCGCTTCTGTTGGACTAAAGGACACGGCTCTGTGGATTATATATGTTCTTTCTTCGACAGAGGATGTGTGGATGACTGAGTCTGTTTTGTGCTTCTATCACATTGGAGATGGCTCATGTGAAACTTTTCAGAGATTATAAGTCTGCAGGTCACACACATAGACCCTATAGTGGCTTCTTAGCTTACCAAAGTCGTATTAAAGCATTTTGGTAATACGGTAATACCATATACCCCAGTAAAATCCTGACAAGGTTTAACGGTATGAAAATTTGGAAACCGCCCAACCGTACCTGGAGTTGGGTTTCATTCACACATGTTTAAAAACCTGCATCCTTGTGATGTCTTGTGGTAATACAGGAAACGCTCCATTGTGTTTTTAAAGTCCATACACCTTCAATAGAATCATTTGACAACTCTGGATTCCCAATCTCTGCTGTACAAAATGTAAAAAGTAGCTGTTAACTTAACTAAAACTACACTTCATGACATCACAAGATGGAACCATGGATTTTGAGCTTTGGAGATGTAGACGGACTAATAATGAAGGGTTACTCAGACATGTGTGAATGGAACAAAACACAACTGTGGGTATGTTTCTGATGTGGTAACAATGTTGTGGTTGTGGTAACATGACCTACAGCTCAAAAGACTCAATTTTGCAGGGATTATCCTGCTTTATTATTATAGTATCAGTTTATTGTTACATTTCTCTGTGGAAATAGATTTGGTTTCAAAACTTGTTATGTGACAAGCCAATCAATATTATCATTTATTGTCTGATATTGTTGAACTAACCTGAGATGTCCCACATTGTAGAAGCGGCTGACCCCATCTGTGGACCGCACCACTTTCAGGCAGAAAGCGGCCCGTAGGTGGCGCACTTCCAGCAGCACCAACGCCAGATACTGAATAAACAGGAGTGCATCCACCAGAGAGGCAGCATATCCCACAATGCCCCTGTAGTCTGTCTCCCTGGGCTCCAATACACGCACTCCATAGAACAGCCAGTAGGAGGCGACAAAGAGAAAAACCAATGCCAGCAGCAGACATCGGTAGACGAAAAAACGTGGAAAAGAGGCACGGGGTGGTCTCAAAAACAAGGCCCAGGTCGAGATGAGGAGGATGAGGAGTTTAAAAGCCAGTGATATGTATAGCCCCTCACAAGGAGTTCCACAGGGGTCCAGGGAGTCCCGCCACAGAAGTTGGGGCAGAGCCAGGAAGGCCAGAGGGGTGACGAACGCGAACAAGCCCAAGATGGCAGCTAGCGTAAGCCCGAGGTAGCGTCGGCAATGCAGAGGAGTGGAGTCCTCTAGGTCTTTAGTGACTCGGGTCAAATCCTCCTGAGAAACACTGTCCACAGAGGTCCCCGTGACAACCGTGGTGGTCTCGCCCCAGTTATCGTCCTGAAGAGAGACAGGAAATGCATTAATAAAAAAGTATTTAAAATCAGACACTAATCAATAATAAGACTAATATATAGAAATTATATAGCAGGTATCAATACTAAAAAGTCACATTCACAAGACAGAAATGAATCTTTCCTGAATAGCTTTAGAATGATCTTGATCATCACATTCAGATGAGATTTAGATCAGAACAAGTATCAGAGCACATAAAGCTCTATACGCCCATGTACCACTATGGAACCTACCTGGGCCATAAACCCACAATTAAACCTTGATGAGACCAGGACTAGAACAGGACCAGACTACGTTCTACATCCAAATTAAACTGGGCTCAAATCACAAGTGTGAATATACCTAAAGTGAAGACTAAATGGGTGTAAACCAGTAAAAGATAATTTAAAAGCCCTGACTACACACTAAAGCACAAATACAATTGTGTGCTGACCAACACTGTGATAATTACTCATGTCAATCATACTCACAAATTAAAATAGCTTTTTAATATTTCTTCGAAAGTCTATCTGGACCCTGGTCTTTAAACAGGTTATGATCCTCAGACCCACCCTTTCATCTCCTCTGGTGGACTCCGCGTCCAACAGAGGCTCTCCTGGAGGCTGCAGACTTGACTTGTCTCGACTGCTTCCATCTCGACTTTTGGAGCTCCGATGTCTGTCCCTCCGCTCTCTGCAAAAACACAACATAAGTCTTATTATTCTGAGAGGAAAAATGGTCATAGAAGTTGATTTTTTTTTTTTTTACACAGGCAACAGGCAACAGTGGATGTGCCCCATGGAAATAGAAAGTTAAAACCATACATCAGAGTGTTCTCCATCAAGATAAATACATTATATGCCAGACTGTGGAAGATTATAGCCAAAGGAACAACATTTCCATGGAAACAAGCAGGAGATCTCCTCCAGGCCATGTAAGAGTCCGGTTTGTGGAGATGCAAGCCCGCTTATGGTAAGGACGGACATTTTGTTTGCATTTCAGTGCAATTAAAAACATGTGAACATGCTTTATTTTTAGCAAAGAAGTTAAGTGTTGGGGCTTTAAACATGTTTTAAATCCAGTCTGACCTGTGCTTCCTGGAGCTGCGTGAATGGGAGGACTTGTAGGAGTATCCGGAGTAGGTGGAGTCGTTGTCCATGTCGGAGGCAATGGGAGGGCGGGGTTTCCGGGCCCCTGATGCCCCGGAGCCCTTGTCCCAGGCCCCCACCAGCGCAGGCTTACACTGAGACAGGCTCTTGGGAGACAGGCCCAGAGGCAGCCGCAGCAACTCCACTCTGCTCCGGAGGGAATCTATCTTGGAGGCCTGAAAAACACAAAAATATCAAATGGGTACAGGATAATTTTCAATAATATTAATATTAAAAAGACCTAGATTACGCAAAATTTACTCTTGTGAGCTTTAAGCCATATTATAATGTTGTTACCTCATCAAAGACATACCTGGAGTTGTGTTTTGTTTCATTCACACGTTTGAGTAATCCTGCATTATTACACTCTCTACATCTCCAAAACTAAAAATGTTCTGTACCATCTTTTGATGTCATGAAGCTGGAATTAGGGTTCGGGTTCGATCCACTGTGTTTTAAACTCCATACGCTTCACTAGAATCATTTGGATAATTTCGGCCCTGGAATTCTACTAAGCAACACATAAAAGGTAGATGTTAACTTGAAAACTACCGCTTGAAGGCATCACAAGGTGGAACAGAGCATTTTGAGCTGTGGAGATGTAGATAAACTAATAATAAAGGATTACTCATGTGTGAATGAAACAAAACAACTCCAGGTATGTTTTTGAGGAGGTCACATTATATAACATGACTAAAAGCTCACAAGAGTCAGTTTTGTGCAATATAGGACCTTTAATGAAACAACTAATTTTAACAATTTAGTATTTTGCTTATAAATATGTCTTTAGGTATCTCCTCATTGACCTCATTGCATTCTACAATCTGAAAACAACAAGTCTTTATGTGAGAGGAGAAAAAATACAGTTTCAAAGAGCTGAAGGGGAGAATTTGGCATGAAGAAAAACGAACATCTCAGGAGGGAGCGAACTACGATGGCAGCCAGAGAAGAGAGGAGCATTGTAGAGACTTTGGCTCCAAGTGTCAGTGTGGGGGCTTAAAAAAAAAAAAAAAAAAAAAAAGATGCATTGTGTAATTTTTCTGGTGGAGGGTCCATCAAACGCTTTTCTTCATGTTGATGTTATTGCTTTGTCTGTAATGTTTCAGAGAATGTTTTTTATCTATCTTCATGGAGACCTAACCAGAACAACAAGCTACAGGTCAGATCTGTGGAGAGACGACCCTGCTCACAGTCAGAATGCACGTTTTTCTTGGTCCAATAAAGCACAATTATGGCTAGCTAACTACTATTTTGGTGCACAAGTCCCTGGAGTGTGCAGTTGTGTGGTCATGAATTACAGTACTAAGGAACAGACTTGATACTCAGTACAGATTCTGATACCACAATGATAATAAACACTCTTTAGACAATAGAATGTGATGTTCAGTATTAAATTATAACACTTTCTTTTATATTACCATGTGGTCTGTGTAATCCCTCAGTGGTCCAGGTAGGTTTCATAGTGGTCCATGGGCGTATACTAGTCTATGTACTCTTATGCTTGTTCCGATACAGCTCAAGATCATTCTAAAGCTATTCAGGAAAGGTTCATTTGACTTTTTACAGTATCAATACTTGCTCAAATGTATATATCTAGTTTAAATACAAGTTTTAGTATTGTTTTGAATCTGATTTTCAATTCTTTTGACAACCCTAATGTATAGTGGCATTTTTAAATTTTAGAAACAGTATGATACAAACATTGGATGAAGAATAGAGATGGGATGATTCACTTCAATTCAGTTTAATTAATAAAAAAAAAAATTCAGATTTTGAAAACTTTTACCATTATTTCTTAGCTTAAACAAAACAAAATCTACCATTAATATTGAGTATGTTTTACTATTGTATCTCTGACTTGTAGGGATGTAACAATAACCAAAATATTGTGATATTGTGTCATCAAAGTTCTAACAATAATATGGTGGGCCATCACAATATATCGAATTACAAGTCTCTTTGATTAAATTAAGATTTATGGGGCAGTAATAGCTAAAAAAAACAGAGGGAACTACATAGACCATGATCCTTTGCTCCATTTCAGTGCAGACTACATGAAGACATAACAGTTCTAAGCACTTTTAAGTCTTAGTTCTTTGGATTAAGTCTTGTCAAGGCATTTTAAGATGAAAAAGTAGCATATCAACAGTTTTGTTAGCTTCACAAAATATCACAATAAATATTGTACCATGAAATGTATATTGTGGAAATATTGTACCGAGAGATTTGGATATTGTTACATCCCTAATCGTGAGCCTCTCCATATGTCAATAGATATCGTACCGTGAGGTTCTTACCGTGAGTGACGTATCGTGAGACTTGATATCATTACACCCCTACTGACTTATAATAAAAATGTAAAAATTGCTTTCTGAATTAAATAAAAAATTGAACAGGTCATCAGTTCTGATAATTAAACCAAAATAAACCCAGAGCAATTGGCAACTATGAATAAATAAATATGAGAAGCTTTGCTGTGCTCCTATGTATCAACTGTAATGTAAACAAATTAAAACACAAAATATCCAGTCACTGCTAGCTTCTAAATGTTGGCATTGTAAAAAATAAAGCTATGCGGGAACATTATATTTGGAGCACTTATCGCCATACCAGGCCTGCATTCCCCAACTGTCCCCTGTCGTCTCCGGGGAAACGGGCTTTGCTGCTACAATGGTGATGAATGAGAGGCTCGGGGTGAGAAAAAAATACAGGGGAGGGGGTTGTTTCCATGGGCAACAACAAAGCTACCCCCACCGCTAACCACCCCCATCTCCTCCCCCTCTCTTCTGCTCAAGTCTTCCAACGAGTGCTTTGAATCCGGAGTTGCCAAGTCTGCTTCTTTACAGTAGGGTCAAGAGTATAAAAAATCAGTTTCTACTCTGAAACTGTATTACTGTATGACATCACAAGGTGTAACACAGTGTTTTCAGTTTGAGAGAAGAACTCAGCCTAAATATGCAGAGTTTGTGAGTGAACAGACCACAACTCCTGGTATGTTTTTAATGAAGTAACAACATTATAACAGATCAATAGCGTAATATGGAGCCTTTAATTAATTACACAATAGCTTTTTCCTATGGCCTGGTCACTTGTTGGCTTCTGAAAATCTGGCAGGCCGGTGCAAATCCTACAGAGTGGTTGAAAATCAAATACTACTCGATACTAAAACCTGTATTACCAATATACCAGATGACAGCACAAGGTTGAGCGGAGTGTTTTCGATTGTAGGGAAGAACTCAGCCTAAATATGCAGGGTTTGTGGGAAGAGATACACTGATATGATACTGGTATTGGATATCGGCGCAGATATTGAACATTTCTAATGATCTGATATTGGGTTCCAAGATATTGGTTCTGCCACGATCTTATTTTGGTTTAAAAACTGGTGTAATAAGATGATTTAATGGTCTATGCTGGTCCAAAATGCCTCGAAATATTAAACTTGTATTTTTACAAAGCTGTTCTGCAATTACTTTAAATAATAAATAAAAATTACAAAGCACTTGGGTCATTTTATCTTATGGCATTTGTGTTTGAAAATATGTATTTTCTTTATTCTGTTCTTTGGTATCGGTTGATATCTGGCACCAATATAATGATGTTTCCTCAAAAATATAACCTGGAGTTGGGTTTTGTTTAATTCACACATGTTTGAGTAATCCTTTATTATTAGTCTGTCTACATGTCCAAATCTCAAAATGCTCTGTTCCACCTTCTGATGTCACAAAGCGGTTTTCATGTTAACAACTCTTTTTTCCGTTTGCTCAGTAGAGATTGGCAATTCCAGGGCTGAAATCAAGCAGATGAATTTAGTGAAGGTGTATCAAGTTTACAAACAAAGTGGAGTACTTCCTATATTCCACATGACATCACAAGGTGGAACAGAGCGTTTTCTGTTTGAGAGAAGAACTCAGCCAAAATATGCAGGGTTTGTGTGTTAAACATGTGTGAATGAACCAAAACAACTCCAGGTTTGTTTGTGAGGAGGAAAAAACATTATAAGATAGATGAGAAAATAGTGTAATATGGGCCTTTTAATCAATTACTTATTTTTTGTTATTATTTGTGCATGTTCAGGGCTTTTTTCTATGGCTTAGTTGCTTGATGTGCACAGAAAATCTGGCATCCCCATTTGAATCCTACAGAGTGGTTCATGCCATGGTATGAAAAGGTACTTTCCACATAATGGCTCCTAATTGAATAAGTGTAGTCCGCGTGGTTTCCATTTTCCTCCATGTTTCTCTTCCACCTCCGACACTCTCCCTGACAAGATTCATGTGATTTTCTATTCAGTTGTAGTGAGGTGCAGCTAGCCTAGAGAAGAATGCTATAACTTACAATTGTATAGATTTATTTTAGTCATTTTTCAATCCCAAAACTATGGCCAGAATTGGGTAGTATTCAATTACATTTACTTGAGTAATTTTAAGGGATGTAACAATAATCGAAATATTGTGATGTCGTATCGTCAAAAGTCTCTCAATAATATCACTGGCCATCACAATATCTTTGTTCTTTCATTGTTATGGTGAAGCAATAGCTAAAAGAAACAAAGCAATTATTTTAGCAGAATTATTGTATAGTTCAATCTGTTTCAGTCCAATTGACAAGATTAAATAACTGTTATTAAGCACTTTTAAATGTTAACTCTGCTTTATGACAGAACCAAAAGCTGGTCCGGGCATTTTAAAGGAAAAAATAGTATATTCACAGTTTCTTTAGTCTCTACAAAATACCACAATAAATATTGTAGCATGAGATGCATATCATGAAAAAATTGTATAGAGAAAATTGGAAATCGTTACAGCCCCAGTAATTTTGTAAAGAAATTGTACTTTTTGAAGTAGATTTTGGATTGCATACTTTGACTCCTTCTTGAGTAATAGATTTATTGAACTAACAATAGTCTGACTCTTGAGTAAAAATTTGGGTGACTCTTCCCACTGTGACTTAGTGTACAAGTTTTATGTTACCAGTATGAAATGATTTCAACATTTGCGTTTCTTCATCGCTCCTTCAGAAAATTTTTGGTCCATCAACTGAAAATACCAGATTACCAAACAGTATATGTATTGTTCTTATTATTTGCATTAACTTAAATATTTTAAATAAGCTGTTAAATCCAGACTTAAAAAGGTGCACTGTGCAACTTTCCTGGTTGAGGTTACACTACTGTGTGTTATCACTTTGCCTGGGTTGGGCATTAAACTTTATATTAATTCAATTACATCTGTTTTAATTGCTCAAAAAACACTGAAAAATTGTGGGCTTGCCTCTTCACAGATCTGACCTATAACTTGGCCGGGTGGCATTCTTGTCTCCATGGAGATAGAAATGTTGAAGGCTGTAGAACATTCAGGCAATATAATAAAACACTTGAAGACAACCAGGTAGTGGACCCTTCGCCACACAATGCATCTTTTATTGCTTTTTACAAATGACTCAATTACTTGACTAGTGCTTTTCACAAATAAGTTTTACTCTATAGTGTAAATTCTTGGACCACTACTTTTTGTACTTCTACCTGAGTAATATTATTTTGAAGTAACATTACTCTTACTTGAGTACAATTTTTGGTTACTCTACCCACCTGAGAACACGGGTTATTTTGTTTGTCGAGTCAAAAGCATATTACAGGCTTATATAGTAGGTCCACTGTGTAAACTGACCATTCAAACAGCCAAATGGTAGGTTTTGGGGTCATTCAGACAGTATAAGGAATTGAAATTACAAATAAGAGTTTTTGCATATTTTGTAGTTTTAGAATTAATTAGATTAGAAAGAAAGAAAAAAAAAAAAGATACTGGATTAAACCATCTTTGAATCGAAGTTTGGGCCTTGGCAGATTGCATTTACATATTTCAATACAACAGTTATATGACTTTACAGTTTTACTTGTAAATAGATATACTTTTGCTTGGACAGATGATAATGTACATCTCTGTAAGTCTTGTTCCAGTAATATGGGCTAATTATTAAACGTTAAATAGGAGGCCTTGTTCTGGCTAAAAATAGACTTGAATTGACCCAAAGGCCTACATTCTCAAGTGGGATTAAAAAAATCTGGAAACTATTTTAACTCATGCTGTTTCGGACCTGCCTGAATACAGCCAGGCCAAAGCAGAATCACAATATAACAAAGCTCCCACTGTAATCAATACGCATTGATCCTTCACATGGGGGGGGGGGGGGTAGTCATTTGTGATGAGTCACACGCTGCATATGACCCAGAGACCACCAGAGCCAGTGTAAAAGCAACAGGGTCAGTGTGCTAGTAATGATGGTTTAGGAGTAGAGATAGGAGAGGTTGCACTGGTATTAGTTTGGCCTAGTTTTTGGGGAAGAGCCTCTTGGGAGATTGGCCAGCACACTTTTTAGACTGTGCTCCTTGAGTGTCTGATACAAACCAACAGTTCAAGGCTAAAGAGTTGAATGTAGCCTATGCAGACCTATAGTGAAGGAGAAGTTGAGGTCCAAATCACTCCTCGGCCATGTTGTAAATATCTACAAACACGTAAATGTTGTTTCTGTTGGCGTCGCGTCTCGTGCCTGTTCAAACAGATGTGGATTGGAGTGTGTGTGGCCCACGGTGGGGGCGGGGGGCCCGGGGGCCTCCAGGCCGGAGGGTGGCACTGGGCCAGTGAGGCGTGGCCGCTTCAGTGCGCCTGGATCTGGGCCTTTTACGATGCACAAACAAATCTCAGGTTTTACGTGCGCGCTGTAACTTCGGGTTCAGGAAAGCACTTGTATCCAAACACTTGTTCCCTGAAACAAGCGCGCTCAGTGGCGCAAACAAAGACAGGCGTGGTGCAAACAGAGTGTGACCGTGGCCAACTAAACTCACACGTGAGTGCGATCCACGGATCTATTAAAGTGTGACCTCAGAGAAACGAACAGACGCACAGCCGCGGACGGTTCCGTTTGGCACCGTGCGTAAAAGCGCAACAATTCATTCAGCTGGACTTTGACTCAACTCTGAACATGGCACAAAGAAAGCGGTCCTGAGATCACACCGCCAGTGAAATGATCACTAATCAATAACGCTGTGGCAACCGCGTGAATCCATCAAGAAAGGTTCTCACGTAAACAGACACAACACGAACCACAAAACGTAAAAGCGAAAGCAGGGAGCACAGTTCTCAAATACACACAAGTGTGTCTAAGTAACAAAGCCTGTTGCAGACGCATCTTACCTTTCTCCCCCAGTGGAAACACAACACAAAGAGCAAGCAACACTTCGCTTTCCGACCGCTGCCGCGGAGCTCAGACACTTTCCCACTTTCTCTACGCCCGTTGCGGCTCCACCCGTTTCCACCTCTCGGTCTGACTCAGCCGGGGTTGGGTCTCTTGTTTTCGGTTCAAGTTTTACACCGCTCCGGAGTCACACAAAGGACACGCGCCTGATCCGCGTCTGCTGCGCCTGAGTGAGTCGCGGTGTCCCGCAGAGGGTCGCTCTGAACCGGCTCCTGACCACACCACGGAAGAGGGGCACCCAGCTTCCGGTCTGTTGTTTCAACATAAACGCCTAACCAAGAGGTAGATTAATAAAAATCATAAACTATGCACATACAGTCTATGAGCAGAGGTGGGGAAATCACACAAGTAGGAGTAAAAAGTATTTGGGAAAACTACTTATTTAAAGAGTAAGAGAAAGAGAGTCTGGAAGTGTGGAAACATGAACTACAGCACAAAAACTGGAATTGTCAGATATCAAAGATAGACACAAAGTTAGAAAAACGAAATCATATCTGAAGGAGCGGTGCAACGGAGACACGCAGATGAAGCTATAGGCCAATTTACAAGTCCGATCTGTGGAGCGACGAGTTTTAAATTCGAATTTATGTTTTTCAAGGTAATTTTGATTAATAAAATAATGTATTGCATGCAAGACAGATATGTTTAATGCCACACTGAGGAACATTACATGCAAAGCAATAATGGAGACAAGCTGGCGGCAGAGTGGACCGTCCACCAGAAAAGTAGGCCTAAAAGCAGAATTAGGGTATGTGCCAAAGCAGAATTGAATGTGAAATGTGTAATATGTGAGTGTAGACCAAACAAACCTGTCACCTGAACCTGCCTAGTATGAATTCAGTAAGATGAACTGTAAATATGTAAATATTGTATGGATGTGGTGACTCAGACTGAATGAGACTGTAGTTTTACTTGCTGATTGACTGGATGAATTAATGCATTAATAGGCTATACATTGTATTTTAAAGGTACTACCTATCAGTGGGTTTCAGAACAATAAAGGATTAGACTATACAAATATAACACATTTGGACCGTCCATAGAAACTGAACAAAATGTGCTCTTTTTGGAATTAAGAAAAACAAACATTACAAAATATTAGGGAATGTATAAAAGCATCCTGGAGGAGATTAAAAGTTACAAACATTTGGATATGTTGTGTTTATATAGTTTAGTTCATTTCTGTGTATTTGTGACCCTGACAGCCTGTTGAATGTACTTACAGGTGTAATACCATATTCCTCCAGTAGGTGTCTGTAAAGGCGTAGTTGAGAGACACGGCCTCGGTTGAGTGAAGCCATTGCTCCTGAAGCTGTTTTACCTGTATTCACAGCCTGTGGGTTAAGCGCACGAGCATTAGACGCCAGTCTACATCATAAGAAACGCAGTTAACTGATTGATTGATTGATTGATTGGCATTATGTTTACAATATGTTTTTTTTTTTGCACTTATAAGCTGCATTATGTAACTTTTCTGATGGGGGTTCGCCACCTACCTAACCCGAGTTATGCTTAGTTTGGACTCCACAGTATATCCATCTCCATGGAAGAAAAACAAATGTTTAAATCATTTAATAGACTTGTGTTACTCACAATGCGAAGAGTAACCAAAACATTTACTTATATACTTCAATAAAATATTACTCAACTAAAAGTATGCTGCTAGAAAAGTAAATCGGAGTACTTCCCACCTCTATATACAGTCTGTGGTCCTAACTATATAAGTTTTGGCAATACCACATCTTGATAACACAAAAAGTACTTGCTTCATATCATATATGAAGTAAATATGTAAAAAATAAATGTTAGTTTTCTGATAAAAAGGGTAAATTGTGATGACATTAACATGTGTTTTGGTTCAGGAAACATCAGAACATTCCAACAGACTACAATCCTACAATTTAAAGAAATATGAACAAATAGGCGACTGTAAATTCTTCATAAAAAAGTTGAATTAAAACTTTGAAATTTCTTTAAAAACTTTAAACACTCATGAGCAAAAACAGCAATTCAATCATTTTATCCAGTTTTTTAATCTCACAAAACACACAAATTGCTGACATGAATCTTTTTCCACCTGTGTAGCTATCTCACCATTTTTAAAAACACAGGCAGAAGAAAATAATTTATACATCATTTTTTAATCATATCTACAAAAATAAAATCAAATATGAGGACTAAGGCTTTACAGAAACAAATAACATAATAAAAAAACATGTCCCATCTCTCTAAATTACACAAGTGAACAAGATTTTAAAAAGACAAAAATAAACAGTGAGATGAGTGAATGCATACAGTAGTTTGCACCGTGCAGGAAGGTTCATTTTGTGCAACATACATTTTTTTTTTTATAAAAGAAAGTAGCTTGTTTTTAGCCTTCTATGGCCACAGAGCTGATGTTTGTTAGTATAAAAAAGCTAAGGAAAAATGGTACAAACGTGTGTGAATGTAGAGGTAGGAAGTGGAAATGCAAAAAGTTTAATAATGAATGAGGAAAGATGGGAAGTGAATGTATGAAAAAATAAATTAGTTTAACCTTTAACTAATCTAAATTAGTTAAAGTTGTGAAACTTTTCAGGTTGGACAGTCGTGCTAATCATGTCTTGTTTCCATGGAGATGTTTCTTTACCTGGTATGTTGCACAGTGTAGAGTTGTTATGTCACTTTCGGGTCCATCAGCTGATTCAAAACAATGAACGTGTTCACAGTTTAATATTTAGTCACATGAAATCTCACATTAAAAATAAACGGCAGTTGCGTAAAGCTAATAATCTATGGCTATAACGGTGACAGAAAGAGATGTATGAGGGAGGCTGAGGTAAGTAATACTGCATTATGATAGATTATTACTATATTATTTATACATCTGATACAATTTCTGGTTAAATCATAGACTGTATATATAAATGGACATAGCTAACCCACTAGCTGCTCTAAATAGAGAGTGAACATGGGGGAACTTCCGGCTCCATTGACTCTGGCTCCAATTGACTTCACATAAAAAAAAAAAAAAAAAAAAAGTCATCCCTCTTTCTGTAGCTGCTGCTGTGAGCCTCGTCATTTTGGTCTTAAAATGTTCGTATTAACCCGCTCTACATGATCCTGGTGTTTTTATTTCGTTATTTTATCCATAAATAAATTCTTAATCCTAATATAAAACTCTGCTCCCAATTCCCTCCTATAACTGCAAGCCTCGTGAGCTTCATTTGACTGAAGCTGAACGTTATGGGTGACGTCACACTCGCTTAGTCCACTTCTTTATACAGTTTATGGATTAAACATACGCTTTTCAAAACAAGGCTAAAATTCAGATGTGAAGTTTCTGGTTGGACCCAGAAGTGACATCATCATATTAACAACTCCATGTCATTAAACACGCCTGTGTCCTGGAAAATCGGCCTGGTTGCATCAAAGTTCATGCCATACACTCCAGGTAAAGCAAAGACAGCTCCGTGGAAACAAGCAGGCGGCATACCCTCTACCAGAAAAGTCACACAATGTAACTTTAATCTTACACTGTAGTTTAGATGGACTTACTTATGAGACCTAGATTATTTGACTTGTTTCATATCTTTCTAATTTGAAGGGAAAAGGTGCAACATTTAGTACATTAGTTTAGTTTCTTTTTTTTGTTTCGTTTGACAAGTCAAATAATATAGGTACAACAAGTAACTTAACCATTCAAAACTACTTAAATCAACATACAATTATTTTATTGAGAAATGATTAAAAAAAAAAAGACCTTCATTTTTTGCTACATGGAAGTATTTGGATATGAGTTATGATAAAAGGCAATTCATTTTGAGTCGTGGACTGAGAAGCTTCGAAATTCTGCAGCCAAAAACAAAATAGAAAAAATAATTTTCCCTTCTGAAAATTTCACTGATAATGTTGACATTTTAGCTCATGTAACAAAGAGCAGCGCTAGTATTCAACTTCAAACCTTTTATCCTTCTTTGCCAAATACTGAAAATCTTCCAAAAAAGCAAAATAATTCCTGTAGTGGCATTTCGAATAGTGTTTACAATGTACATAGCTTCAATTTTGGTTTAGTCTTATCAGTTTTTGCTAAAGGGCCCATTTTACAGTATTTTCTGATTTATGTTATAATGTTGTTTCCTCATCACAAACACACTGCATATTTAGGCTGAGCTCTTCTCTTGAATAGAAAACTCTGTTCCATGTGATGTCACAGTCCACTGTGTTTTTAAACTCCATACACCTTCACTAAAATCATTTGGATGATTTCAGCTCTGGAATTGCCAATCTCTTCTGATATAAAGGCAAAAGGTAGCTGTCAACTTGAAAACTGTTTCATGATATCATAAGGTGGAACAGAGCATTTTGAGCTTTGGAGATGTAGACAGACTAATAATAAAGGATTACTCAAACATGTGTGAATGAAACAACTCCAGGTATGTTTTTGAGGAGGTAACATTATAACACAAGAATCCATTCTGTGTAATATAGGACCTTTAACACGTTAATTTGAAACCAGTTCACCTTGTGCAGCCCTAATCTAGAGCTAAAACTGTGGCAAAATGTGGCATTTTTTGTATTATGTATTTAAGTAAAAAGAAAAAAGTTACTTGGTTTAGAGCATTGATGCATGAAACAAGAAAGTATGCAGTCAGTTAGTGTCTATATGAACAAAATAAGTAGTATTTTCTTTGCAGTGCTAACTTATGTGCATACATTTAATGGAAAAAGCTACTTGGTTATGAATTATCCCTTCTTCTGGCCCCTTTAGGATCTTGGGGCCTGTTCACAGTACTACCATGGGTTCATCTATTTACATACAAAAACAGTGGGGTGGCTACAGGATACACAGTTGCCGATTTGTGGAAGGGTTTTGGCAGAGGTCAAATTCAAGTGTTTTTTATAATTCTTGCTGTCATAGTCAACATTTTCCCTTCAAAGTAAAGAGAAAAGTAGCAAAAGTTTGGACTCACAATCTCATTAAATGTTTTTCTATATCTTTCATACTTTTTTACATTTGATATACATATTAAAGACATAAAAAATATTAAAGGTGCACTGTGTAACTTTTCTGGTAAAGGGTCCATCAAATGCTTTTCTTCATGGCTTTGTCTGGAATGTTTCACAGTATGGCATTAAACCTTTGTGCTTACATGGAGACCAAACCAGAGCAAGTTACAGGCTAGATCTGTGAAGAGGTGACCCCGCTCACAGTCAGGATGGCTGTTTTTATAGGTATTTTTACTCTATAAAACCACCTGTAATTGAATAAATGTAAGGTAGAGCTGTTTAATGTCACACTGTGGAACATTCCAGGCAAAGCAATGACATCTCCATCAAAACAAGCAGGTGACAGACCTGCCACCAGAAAAGTTACACCTTTAAGTAAGATGTATGCAATTATGTAGTAAATAAAATAAAATTACTTATATATTTTATAATCAAATCCTCAAATTATACACATTTTGCTTTGTCAAAAAAGAGTTATTTCACATTTTTTAAATAATAATTCCATATATCTTTCTTCATATATCTGATGTCTTCTGTATGTAATTAAAATGTAGAAAGTCGTAAGAAAAACATTGAGTGTGTCCAGACTTTTGACTGGTCATGTATGTGTAAGTAGCACCAGCTGGGTAATTTGAGAAATAGGTAATAAACATATATATACAAAAACTGTTATTCGACTTTTTTTTCTTTGCTACATAATTCCGTACAGATAACTTCACATTTTTGATGTCTTCTGTGTGTATATCAAATGCTGAAAGTAGTAAAGTATAACATATAAAAAAAAATTGAAAGAGAGGGTGAGTCCAAACTTTTGAGTGGTAGTATAAATAGGTATTTGTGAATAAAACTTGTATTTCAGTAGTATTCAGCATGTAGTGTAGAATGAATGAAGGCCGTAACCGATTTTGTTCACTTATCTCCTTGACTTCTCAACTTTCAGAGGCCAGAGTGGAGTTTTGCTGTCATGGTAATGCTAACAACATCTAGCATGCTAATGGAACATCATTAAAAGTTTGAAAGCTCTGGGCCAGCTACATTCTAACTCAATGACCATAAGACCTATTATTTTATTTAAGAGTGCACTGTCTAACTTTTTGGTTGGTCCGTCACCTGTTTGTTTCTATAGATACGTCATTGCTCTGCCTGGAATGTTCCACAGTGTGAATTTAAACAGCTCTACTTTACATTTATTAAATTACAGGTAGTTTTATAGCTAAGAAAAACCTTGAAAAACAGGCATTCTGACTGTGAGCGGGGTTGTCTCTCCACAGATCTGACCTGTAAAGTGGTCTGGTTTGGTCTCGATGTAGAAGGTTTAATACCATACTGTAAAACATTCCAGACAAAGGAACAACATCTCCATGGACGGACCCTCCACCAGAAAAGTTACACAAATCTGAAACGTTAAAAAACACCAATTTATTAAACATTTTGCAGAATCTTGCGTTTTAAATGTGCCTTTTGGATGCAAAACATCAGCATTATGGATTTTAGTGAATGGAAGATGTTCTCCCACTGCAGACTTTGAACTCAAGGACTCAAGGAGGTAAGAAAACAGAAATAGGATGCAGCCAGTGTGTCAGTATGAAACTATTTTGTAGATTTCAAAATGGCCGATGTGAAGTGGTGTAGCTCTGATGACCACCCCTCATTATTATTTCCTCCCATGTTGAAAATAAAACAACTACTAAATAAGTGTTAACAAAAAACCCAGTGCAAGTAACCTGAATTTTCCAATCACAGTCCTTCGGCCGAGGGGGAACTTGGTTTGCAGTAGTGTCCAACTTGTCCCTGATGTTCGGAGGTTGCACGGTAGAGAGAGATGCATTGTGGGTAAAGTGCTGGGGTATTTATGGGTCCCTCGGATAATTCCTTTAAATTAACATTTTAACATCAGTCTGTTCCATTCATTCAACCAGCTCTTCAAAGCATACATTATCCTTCACTCTGTCCAACTTGGTCCGACTTTTTTGCACTTCGAATTGTTACATTTTAATAGTTTTCTCTTCATGACTTGTCTCGTGTTCCTTCATACTTTTCATGTATTGTCTTGACGCGCTAAAAGGTCAAAGTTCTCAGTTTATATGAGGCCCCAAAGCACCAGAGAAGGACATACGTAAGTCCTAGCAGGTATCACTCCGCGGTGTGTCATGAGGCTTCAGTCTGCTCCAAAATTTTAAAAACCTGTTGACTGGATCTTCAGTTCTGAACTTCTGTCTTTGCCTGTTCAACCAAAAGAAAAAAAATATTAGAAATTGAGTTGGGACAACCCAATTTTCAAATAATGGCAGTTTCTCAGATGGGTCACAACCATAGACTATATATACACATATAGCTAGCTCACTAACCTATATGTTCCAAACAGGAATTGAGCATGTGTGCCATTTGGTTCCTTCAAGCTCTGGTTGCTACTGACTTCACCCCTCTCTCTGTAACTGCTGCTGTCTGGCTTGTTAAAATGTTCGTATTAACCTGTTCTACCTGATCCTAGTGTTTTTATTTTGCTATTTTGTCCCTAAATTGAGATATGATCATTAATAACTTCATTAGAAATTCTGAACATTAAAAACTTAGAAATTCTTTCCTTGCCCTTTTCCCTTATTGCTAGGCACCTGCACCGTTGGTTTGGTAGAGGGCAGGCACCTTCCTCCAAAATCTGAACTTTGCCAATCTACATGCTTTTACTGACCAAGAATTTATTTAAAAAACCCAAACCATATCATATGATATCACTGACAATTAGACATGACTGATTCACAATTTTCAATAAAACGACCAGCCCTAGTCATAGCTGTCATACATGTCATATATCTGTATACTTTGCAGTTGGATGTCAAATGTTTCTTGTTACAGTTAGTGCACAGACCGTCTGCTGATCCGAGGGAGGGTGTCCGGGACACAGAGGCAGACGAGCCAGAGTCTGAGTCCTGAGTGGTGCTGGAGGTTTTGAGGGTCTGCAGCAGCTTCTGATGGGCCTCCTCCATCTCCTGCACAGACACAGCAACACTGGGTTATAACAAGCAGTTTTAAAAATAAAATAAAATTTTCTTTTCTCAATTTTGATACTAAGGAATGGACTAGATAATCAATACCATTTCTGATACCACAATGATCATAAAAACTCTCTAATTACACAATTGAATGATTGTCAATATTAAATCCTAGTACTTTCTTTTATAATGGACCATAGACTACATATAACTTGACATAGCACCACATTCCAAAGAGGAAGTGAGCATGGAGGCACTTCCAGCTCCATCGACTTAGTCTCCAATTCATTCTGTACTGAAAAATCATCACCCCTCTTTCCATAACTGCTGCTGTCAGGCTTCTCATTTTGGTTTTAAAATGTTTGTATTAACCCGCTTTACATGATCCTGGCATATTTATTTTGCTATTTGTCTGTAAATAAATTCCTGTTCCTAATGTGGAACCCGGCTCCAAAGTGGCTCCTATAACTGCTAGTCTCATGAGCTTTATTTGACTAGAGCCAAACACTATGGGTGACATCACACTCCCTTAGTCTACTTCTTTATTCTTTCTATGAGATATACACAGTATTAGGGGATTATACAGGTTTTATATCTGTGTAATCCCTCAGTAGTCCAAGTAGGTTCCATACTGATTTATAGGCATACACTAGTCTATGTGGTTGTATATTTGTTCTGATACAGCTCAAGATCATTGTAAAGTTATTCAGGAACTTTAGTACTGATACCTGCGTATCTAGTTTTGATACTAGTTTTAGGATCAATTAGTATCTGATTTTTGATCGAAGGAATAGCAGGTTGGTAGAGGAAAGACTTTGGACTTTTCACCTAAAAACTAAAAAAAAAAAATACACAGAGCCCTTTAAATATTTCATTGTAAATAAAGAAATCACCAACGCTAACCTATTCAAAATTAACTTCCAGTGGTGTGTATGGTTATTTTGTCATAGTTTCCTTTGCGTTCACTCACCCGCAGATGTCGTAGTTTACTCATTAACCCCTCGATCGTGTGGAAAATCTCATCTACATTTTTGATCACGTGATTCTGAGACGGCGCTTCTGATTGCCCAGTGTCATTTTCCTGCTCCAACGGCGGGTCTTCTGATTGGCAGCTCTCGGGGTCACATGCTGGTGCTTCCTGGTTCCTGGTTTGTGCGGTTGATGACATCACATCGTGGAGATGAGAGGGGAAGTTTGTGGCGACGGGTGTGGGCGGGTCGGTGAGGTCGTCTGTGGCGCTCTCACCATGATCAGATGGCATCACCAAATAGAAAGTGTTTCCTGAAGCAAAGATACAGAGTTAGACTTTTATAATACAGCAAATATATATTGTTAAAGAGGGGGCATTTTAGTTCTATGGGGTGTTAAAGGGCCCATATTATGCTATTTTCCGATCTATGTTATAATGTTGTTTTCAGATCAAAAACACACTTGAGCTGTGTTTTGTTTCACTCACATAAGTTTAATACACAAGCCCTGGATATTTAGGAACTCCATACACCTTCACTAGACTCATTTGGATAATTTCAGGCATGTCTTTGATGAGGAAACTTTGCAACATTGTAGTAAACTCCAGAAAGACAATTTTATTAATTATCCCCCCTTTAACAGTGAATAAAATAATCTAGAATCAAGTGTGTTTGACTGAATGTTTTCCATGGAATCTTGCAGCTGACTTTCCACCTCCAGAAAGTTACATACTATGACTATGTAGATTACTACAGCAAAGATAAAGTACATCAAACTTAGACAATTCGAATGAAAATTAATTAAGGATTTGACAACATTTTCAGTTAAGAATAAAATTGTACTTTGTTTTTGTAATAATAATGATAAGTTTAAGTTCACACTGTCCCTTTGGCTCATGAGATGGTGCAGATGTGTTGCAGAGGTCTCACCGTTCGGCTCGCTTGATTGGTCAGAGGAGAGCGTGACATCATCAGTGATGCCATCGGGGACAGAGGAAGAGAAAGAGCCCCCAACCACAGCTAGGCACAGGACAGAGCAAGTGACAAAGAAAAGGGTGATTCAAAGAGGTGTGGAAAAGGAGCATTTGGTGTAGTGAAGGACATGCAAAAAGAGGAGACATTTTAAGAAACTAATAAGACAAGGGTCAAGTAAACATGCAGACACAAGCAGCTAATTACAGCATTTTATATAGAAATCAATTGAACCTCTTCTTAAATTATAATCCAGTGATCTGCAATATTGATACTTTGCAGTGACATCTCACTGGGGGTGTTCTACATGTATGTCTTATTGTGGACAGTTTAGAAGTTACCATGGGGACACAAAGGAAACACATACGCAAACACAGCCAAAATGTTTTAAGAAAAAAATACAAAATAGATTTAAACACTACATTTTCAAGAGCCTGTGATTAATATTAACATTTTGTGTCCTGTTTAGAAGTTGACTTTCAGTTACTCTCACTCACAATTTTAGTTGGAAAAACTGTTGGGTAATGCTTGCTAGCTTATGACTGTAATGATATGTGAGCGAGATTTGTTTAGCAGCACAAATCATCTCAAAAACAGATTAAAGTCTATCTTGAGTAACAGAGCTTCATACAGAGCAGTGCCCACTGTTACCAACACACCCCCAGAGAATGTTGATGACATCAGCTGCAAAGTTCCAATAAGGAGCATTGCTTAGAGACAGTTAAAGTGGAAATAAACACTAAATCAGCCTTTTCTCACTATTAAACAGTGTATATGGTATTTCATTAGCATTATCTATTGTGCTCACACATTTTTGGCAATTTCAAGTAGTTGGTGACATAACACAAGACTGCCCTGAATACATCTGGTTACAAACATTTGGCTGCAGGGGCGAAGCTTGAAGTGTGGATACCTGTACAACCAATCACAGTGTTCCTTATACCTTCAGACCCCTTACTCCCCCGTTTAGTCCTCCAGGTACCGGGCATAATGTAGTTGTTTAGTCCCACTTTAATTTAGATGTAGCAATTACATTATAGAAAAGGCAGATGTATTGCTGTACCCATTTCCAACATCTGTCCATACAGGTATTTTAAGGGTGCAATATGTAACTTTTTGGTTGGGGGTCCGTCACCTGCTTGTTTCTATGTATATGTAATTGCTCTGCCCGGAATGTTCCACAGTATGACATTAAACAGCTCTACGTTACATTTATTCAATTTTATAGCTCAAAAATACCTAATACCTGTGCCTCTCCACAGATCTGACCTGTAACTTGGTCTGGTTTGACCTCAATGAAGATAGAAAAGGTTTAATGCCATACTGTGAAACATTCCAGACAAAGCAATCTCCATGGAAAAAAGCATCTGACAGACCCTCCACAATAAAAGTTGTGAAGAAAACAATTCACCTTTATAGGACTTCTCCAAAGTGAATTATCAATAGTAAAATGTTTTCCTCCTTCCAGCTAAGTTAAATATAACATACTGCTATTGTTGTGAGTTGCTTTTATGAATGAAAACATGCTAGCATCCAAAAGTCTCCTCCTGAAATTCTATACCTTTCCTCACAACTCTGGGCTGTTCCGTGGTTTCATTCACAGTTTCAGGTGGAGCTTCAGGTTCTTCTTGTTCTTCGTTGGTGGAGAAGTTGAGGACAGTCTCCAGGGACTCGGGCCGTTGTTTCTCGGTGAATGAACCCTCCGTGGCAGTTTCGTTTGTGGGTGTGTCATCTGAGTCCTGGCTCCACCTGTCCTCCTCCAGATCCCGTAATATGAGCTGCCTCAGTGTTTCAACTGTGACGCAAAAAGGGGTTCATTTCACTAGAAATTCTTCACAAGCTTCCTATGTAATAAACCGTTTTTTAAATGGACTTCTTGAGCCGATATGGATATCCAATACTAGCCAGTACTAGAGCAAGATTAAAATGCAGCTGAGAAGTTAGCAGGTCCTATATTACAAAAAATGCACTTGTGAGCTTTAAGCCATGTTATAAAGCTGCTACATCCTCAAAAACAAAACTGGAGTGATGTTTTGGTTCATTCACACATGTTTGAGTAACCCTTTATTATCAGTCTGTCTACATCTTAAAACTCAAAATGCTCAGTTCCACCTTGTGATGTAAGGTAGTGGTAATTTTCAAGTTAAAGGCTCCTTTTACCTTTAGTTCAGGAGAGATCGGCAATATCACGGGCTGAAATTATCCAAATGATTCTAGTGAAGGCTTAAAAACACAGTGGAGCACTTCCTGTATTACCACATGGCATCACAAAGTGGACCAGTGTGTTTTCACTTTGATAGAAGAGCTCACCCAAAATATGCAGAGTTTGTGTGTTAAACATGATAAAACACAACAGGTACAGTATGTTTGTGATGCTTGTGACATGAAAAAGAGAAAAGAAAAGAGAGTAATATAGGCCCTTTAAGACTACTTATTTCTCTAAAACAGTTAACATTTTTAAAAATGCCCAGTCTTCTCTAGTTTTGTAATTTTGGTGAAGATTATAATTTTATTTCCTGGCTGGACATGAGCAACAGATATGACATAATAATTTAGACAACACTTTTACATTTTGTTAAATCAATGCTGTCAGAAAAATGTCTTCCTTGTGGGTAAATTGTCTCATTTGGATGGAACTGATAACAAATGATGACAAAGATAGAGGGTTTCTAGTTTCTTGCTTGTTTGTTTGTTTGTTTTGATGCGTGTGTATTTACCGTCATGTAAAGCGGCCTCAGCTACGCCCCCTTCTGGTCTCTCGCTGCAGAAGAACTCATCTCGTTCTGAGTTGGTGTCAACTGAGAGCTCCGTGTGATTGGACGAGTGGTTTCCTCTGGAGTCCTGCCCTTCCAACAGAGAGATGTCTGAGGAGAAAATCAATATCTTAATATGAGTGGCCATGAAAATAATTACCTAAGATTTTATAATAACTACATTTAAAGGTGCACAGTGTAACTTTTCTGGATCCAGTTTGTCTGAATGGAGATGATAATAGGCCTTTAAGCTTTAGGACATGTTATAATGTTGCCTCATCAATAACATGCCTGGAATTGTGTTTTGTTTCACACATGTTAGTAACCCTTTATTATTGTGATGTCATGTAGTGGTAATTTTCAAGGTAATAACTACCTTTTATTTTTATTACAGTAAAGACTGGCAATCCCAGGGGGTTTGTGTGTTATACATGTGCAATTTGCAATGAAACAAAACACAACTCCAGGTATGTTTGTGATGAGGTAACAGCATTACAACATAGATCAGAACATAATACAGTATATGGTTTAAATTGTCCACAGTATGGCATTAAACAAATCAATATGAATGGTCATAATAATTATTATTTTACATAATAATAATTATTTAACATTTTTATAATTACACTTTAAAGGTCCATTTGTGTAACTTTTCTGGAACCAGTTTGTCTCCATGGAGATGTTAATGCTCTAGTTTAAATTGTACATAGTATAAATTATCTTCAAAAACATAAATTCTGACTGTGAGGGGGGTCGCTTCACACAAACCTAACCTGTAATTTGTAATATTTGACAGTTTATGGCAATATGGAACCCTCCAACAGACAAGTTACACAGTGCACCTTTAATAAAGACTTAATTCATAGTAGTTCATTAAAGAGAAGATATTACACTTCTCTGGGGTATTAACTGCTAACACATAACATATTTAGATCGCCAGGTTACCTTTTATTGTTTTGAAGACACTATATTCGCATAATAAGTTTCACATTTGTTTTGGATGGTCTGAGTCCCCCCTTCCTTTGTTCGCTGTGGTAAGTCACTCCCCCCCAGAGTGCTATCATAACACAGTGTGTATCCCGCTAATGAAAATACTGCACATCGAATCAAGTTTGTGAAACTGTAGAGTATTGTTTTGTATCATGATTTTTGTATACTTCTGGAGAACTGTCGATTCAGGCAGTACTCCAGTAACTACATAATTGGTTAAACACGATATATCTATAGACTATATATTATCTCTCATACTGACCTCCTGTTGTTGATACTGGAGAAGAACTGCCAACACTTTGAGACCTTTAAGAAGAAACAAAAAGTAAAAAAAAAAAAAAAAAAAAAAAAAAAACATGACATGGGAGAAAAAGCACACACAACAAACATGAACTACAGTTAAGACTGCAGCTAAGAGCTAAGCGAACAACTTACACAAATGCTGCAAAAAATGGGACAAACTAATCCTGGAACTAAACCTGGACTAGAACTGGACCAAACCAAGTCAGGATCAGTGTACTCACGATAATCGTATTGAGCTGTGGTTGATCTGAGGTGAGGATCCACCAGCTTCAGATATTGTCTTTTCAAGTAAATCTTTCCATCTGAAAAACACCATTAGATAATTAGGAGTCTCAAATCTTTTCATAACACAAAGATGTTTTCGTACATAAAACTACTGTATTGTAGAAAAATATCTAATGCTTACGTGTTTTTCTCAGACGACGTTCCTGCCACCAGTTCATAGATCTGCCTCTCTGTGGTGCTAATGATATAGAGCGCTTTGTTGTCTGAAAAATGAAATATGACTTTTGTAAATTAGATCCACTTGCTGCTTGTCTCAGAGGAAATTATATTGCTTTGCCAGGAATATTCCACAGTGTGGTATTAAACTTATCCGTTTAGCAAATACACTGAAAAACAAGCAATCTTATTGTCTGTGTTGCTAGAGCGTACAGCTAACTATAAGGACAGTTTGAATAAGGGCCCATGAGAGATCACCAAATTACTCAAACATACATGGATGACATCTAAAACCTCTTCAGGCATGTTTTTGATGAGGAAACAACATTATAAAATGGTAGAAATATATATATATATATATATATACACATATACATATACATACATATATACACACATACACACACACACCCTCTTTAAAATACTGTAGTATTATTTTCCTAAATGAATACATGGGACTCACCTGTTGCCACTGATCGAACGAGGAGTGAGTCCAGTTTGACCAGAGGACTCAAGGAGGTTTTCCCGTCTCCTGTAGGCCCCACTCCACCCCCCAGCCACCGGGATGGGTACCGGAGCTGAAGCCTCTCATCTGGACCCCTCTGCAGCAGTACCAGGCAGTCTGACAGCAGCAGGGCCTGGATCTCTGACGGGAATGAACAACATGTGTAGTGTGAATATAGAAGTTATAATAGCAGGAGTAGTAATTATAGCAGTCATAGTAGTAGTAGTAGTTATGATATTAGTAGTAGTAGTAGTAATTTCTCATTATTATTATTATTATTATTATTATTATTATTATTATTATTATTATTATTATTATTATTATTATTATTATTATTATTATTATTATTATTATTATTATTATTATTATTATTATTATGAGATACCTAGCTGCTTGTCTTTGCTGACTTTCCATGTGAGAGGACCCTCATGAATCATTCTTTTTGTGGTTAGATCAAGATTCTGAAAAACACATTAACACAGGAGTTGAAATAAAAAACTATGGATAACACTATATAAACATAGACATGCACATGCTCATGAGCACGTGTGTGGTTATGTGTATGGACGGGACACTCGCGCCTTTCAAAGACACCCAAAGTGCTTTACAGTGCATTATTCATTCATTCCACACTGGCTAATGGTAAATTACTATTGTAGCTGCAAACATTTAAGCAACATTCATTACATTTGTTATGGGCTTAATATTTGCTAAATGGGACATTTATTTACAGTGTACTAAACTTATATTTAAATTAAACCTTAAACTGTGGAGCGACGTCGAGTCTGCGCTGGTACTGCCCGAGTCGCAACCGCTGCTCCGTCTCCCCAACAACCACATTAACATACTGTAGTATCCCACGACAACAGGCTTGAGCACGTTGCAGTGTCGCCATGTCCGATGAGCCGGCTGGAGTTAGCAAAAACAGGCAAATGTTAAATGGAAGTCATACATTTTTATAATATAAATATATTATGGCCACACTCAGAATATAGAAAAACAGCAATAATTATATTTTAGTTTTTTTAATGGCCACCATTCATTTTAATTTCCTTTGGGATTAATAAAGTAAATAAAGTAAATATCTGTTTCAATCACTGTTTGCACTCTTGGCATTTCTTCACCGAGACAAGGCGCAGATGTGAAGTGAAAACCATTTCAGGAGACCTCACATGCATTGAGAGAAAAAGAAGAATGGTTTGTAGCACTGTCAACAAAGCAAAGGGCAGCTTCTTTGAAGATTTGAATATAAAATACAAAAAAATACTGGGTTGACTTATTTAACATTTTTCTTTACAACATAATTCCACATATCAAGCTTCATATATATTTCTGTATAGTTAAAATGCTGACAGTAGTAAACAAAAAAGAAAAGAAAGAAAAAACACTGAATGAGAAGGTGTATCAAAACTGGTAGCGCATATAGATGGCAAAAACAGTCTAAGTTCAGCTGAGTTTATTTTAGGACACATAACTGACCGTCTGTATGTTTGATGATATTGTCCAGGAGAAGAGGATATTTGGTAAGTCTCTGCATCTCACACACGAGCAGGTCTTTGAGCTGCAGCCGCCGACAGTGAGGGCTGGACTCACACTCCTAAAGACACAAAAGAGGACACCGAGCAGGTTTAGTATAGTGAATCAAATAACAGCGTTTCAACCCATATAAAATGCACATGTTTCCAGAACTCACATCAGAAAAGCACATCACAAATACAACTTTAACCCCTTTTTGCATCAGTGTTGAAGCTCATAACTGGCTGTTGCTTAGCTGGCTATGGGAGCTGCTGTCTTCTGAGTCATGACCCCGCTAATCCTGCAGAGGGTGCACTGTACATAGCCTATTTGGTTTGGATTTGATAGACATTTTAGGGATGTAACAATGTCCAAATCTCTCTGTATGACATTTTCACGATATGCATCTCATGGTATATTTATTGCGATATTTTGTGAATTTGCTGCTTTTTCCTCTAAAATACCTTAAAAAGACTAAGACAAAGAACTAAGATTTAAATGTGCTTAAACAGTTATTTTTTTAAGTGGTCGGCACTGAAACAGAGCTAAGGATCATGGTCTATGTAGTTCCCTCAGTTTTTTAGCTATTGTTGAGCATAACTATTCATTTATTAAGTGAAGGGACATGTAATTCGATATATTGTGATGGTCCACAAAAATATTGTCAGACAGTGACAATACATTATCATGATATTTTGGTTATTGTCACATCCCTAGTACATTTGAGTCGTGTCCAAAAATTAGCAAATTATTTAAACAGTAACGATGCTACAGAGTTTTAACACCAAGTAATAAGACTGAACCCACACAGAGCTGCAGCTGGACCGGATTCAGTCTGGGCAAGGTGTCAATCTTTGCTAAAATACTATTACTAAATAATAGTTGAAAAATAGTGATCGATGTTCACAATACAGCACTAGACAACCGTAAACTAATGAAGACAGGACAGTGCTTTCAGTTAGCATCACACCCCCAGGAAGTGTTGACGACATCAGTTATATAGTAAAGCTGTGAAGTATCAATAGTGTATTTTCCAATGTCACCAACCCCACATTACAATAATTATTCCAAAACAGACCTCCAACGGCAAAGGCATTTAAAGCAGGCCACTAAATACCATATACACAGCCATCCTTCCTTAGATTCCTAGACAAACGTTATTGATCCACAAAGGAAATTATCTGGACACAGTAGCTCACACATCACAATATATTATAATAACAAAGAGAAAAAATATAAATGTTAATAATAAATTCTAAATAAGTAGCAAAAATAGCAAGAGACCCAAAATCAAATAAGGCATAATTCTATAATGGTAAATGTACAAGTAAAAATAAAATACAGAAATAAAGTAATACAAATATGTCTATATCAGCTATATACAAGAGGCCGTAAGAAAAAACAAGGGAAAGATGATATAACCATATTTGGGGTAATGTAAAAGTGTAAACATGTATGTACCTGGATGATGTGAGCGAATCGTGGGTCTTTGCGTTGTTTATTTCGGATCAGCTCCAGTGCCTTTGACTGTTGACTGCACAACTGAGCAGCCTGCTCCTGGAACTCCTCCCCAGTGGGCCCCTCAAACTGAAATAAATGAAAAACAGATTTAGAAGTATAAGTACAAAGTAGTAGTCCTAGGACTAATATTTTTGGCTACACTACCACCTCTGCTTATAGGTGGGTATAGATACTTTTTGGTTTGGACACTGGTCATTGCTGAGTAGTGTGTAAAATATAGACGTACCTTAGACACGATTACATCACCAATGTCCTGTACAATGGGAGACTCTCTTCTCTTCTTCATTGCTTCACAAAGACTTGCTGAAAAAATAAAATACAAAAAAGAATGCAACAATTAAGGTCAATTTTAAGAAAAAAAAATGTACTTGACTGCAATCAGACACGCTATGATTTAATACTTTTAACTGATATAAACACACACAAAGAATGTCAAAACATCTGGACAAAAAGAATGGTCTGACAGACAATAGGAACCTAAATGTTATTATTTAAAGGTACAGGATGTAACTTTTTGGAGGTGGCATGCCACCTACATGATTGTACGAAAATTTTAAGTTAAAACCATATTTCGGACATTCTCCAAGGAGAAATTGTGGAAGACTATGGCTAAAGCAACATGGAAACAATCTGAATGAGGCGCTCCTCCAGGCCAAGTAAGAGTCAGGTTTGTGGAGATGCAAGCCGGCACATCGTAAGGACGCATTTTTTTCTAAAATTTTCAGTGCAATAAAAACAAGCTAAAATATTCTATTTCTTAGCTAAAAAGTTACATACTGTGGCTTTAACAACTAAGGCAAATAAGTCCTACACCAAGTCTTGAGGAAGTAATTTATTGAGAAAACAATCTGAAGCAAAAGGACTAATGCACAGTACCTATATCATGTAAAATCCAAAGTTATTTAGTGACAGTTGTATATTTGTCTAGTATAAAACCCACCGTGGAGTTCGTAGACCTGCTGCAGGTTGGGGAAGATACAGGCCAGCTCCTCAGAGTTCAGCACCGTCCTCATCTTCTGGTAGAACACCTGGTCCAGCACCCTCAGAGTTCTCAGATGGGACACCTCTGTCATGAACAGCTCTGAGAGAAAGAGGAGAACAATGTAAAGATCTATTATACTATACCATAAATTTATAAACAAACAATCCTGCAGAAAAACTAGAAGGTCAAAAGTCAAATTTAGAGGCTCTGTACACAATTTACGCTCATTCAAGTTTGTGGTCTTGTGCTCAACTTTTCAGAACTTTTAATCATGTTATAGTTGTTGTACCCTCTCAAAGTTGTGTTTAGATTAATACATGTTTGAGTAATCTTTATTCTCCGGTTTTCAAAACGTCATTGTTCTGATCTACCCGTTTTCATCACCACCTTTACACGCCCACTGCTCTGTGTTTAGTTCATTCTCACTTTTTTTTTAGTTAATCAGTGATACAAAATTTGGTACAAATGAGAAAAAAAACTGATACTCGCTAGCATGATCTGCAGCTATCCATCAGAGGTGCCGACAACTTTGTTGGCTCTTTGTTGTGATGACTTGGAAGTCAGCGGACGTGTTTTTTTTGTCAAGTTGTTAAGATTAATTTAATGTCCAAATTACAACATAATGATCCAGGGGTGTCATAAATTATAACTATAGCAGACACAAGAATAATAAGTCTTCTTTAAAATGCTTTGATGGAAAAAAAATCTATCTCAAGGCTTGTCAATCAGCTTTCAGTTAGAACATAATTAATTACCTTTTATAGTGATTTCATTTAGCTCTCATGACTAATCTGTATCTTAAAAGATGTATTTTGTAACCTATTTGTTGGAGGGTTCACCACCTGCTTGTTTCCATGGAGATGTGGAAATAAACTTGTCTATCTTGCGCTTTTCTCTAATTTAATTACAATTACAATTAGAGATATGTTCAATTACAATTAGAAAAAAGTTAGATGGTGCATCTTTAATGTTGGGTGATGTCCTACCGTAGATTACTGCTTGTCTGTCCACCTCTTTGGGGCTTAGCGTTGAGAGGAGCTGAGCCGAAACAGTCTCCTGCCAGTTCTGAGCTTCACAAACTTCATCTTCCAAAGTGGCAGCATCAGGCAGCAGAGCCAAAGGAGAGTCCACACTCCTAACCAAACAAAACAACAAAACACACACAAACTTTACATTTAAACTGCACAGCAACAGTCTGGGACAACAATGTTAGCACGGTATTGTGTTGAAATGAATGCTCTGTTGATAGGGCTGCACGATATGGGAAAAGTTGATGGTGTTTTGTTTTTCGATAAAGATATTATTGTGTTATTTTAATACATATTTTGGAACAATCTGTTAAAGTGATAGTATGTGACTTTCTGGATGTGAGAAGTCAACTGCATGCTTCCATGGAAATTGAAAGCAACACTTCGGAACATTCTCCGTGAAGATATAAGTTTTATGCCATAATGTGAAATATTATAGCCAAAGCCAGCTTGGTGGAGTTGCAAATCGGCTAAGAGTTAGGATGCATTTTTTATGCTTTTCAGAGTTTCACAATAAAACTAACGAAAACAAAAGACCTAATGAAAATAATGAGTAAAATCTGTACCTCTGGTCCATTTTAATTTCAAAAACAGCATGATTCTATAAAATGGGGAACCTTATGTTGTTCCAATACATTTATTTTTTTATGATATCATTTACTGCGTCAGCCAAAATTCTGACATAGATATTTTCATCTCTATTTTGGCAAAATTGATTTTTTTTTAGATATTGTGATAATATATTGTGCAGCCCTATTTGTTGTTGGTCATATGAATGTTATGGAGACTCACCTGCGCCTGGAGCGTGGAGTGTATGGGGGAGTGGGGTTCTCTAGAGACCTGAGAGACAGATGGGGTGGGGTGAATGGCCAATATATGCTCTTATGAAATCGCACTATCTAGGACTAAGTAAAATGTCTATACCAACTTCTACACTACAGTGAAAAAAGCACTATTTGTAATGAACATAAGATGTGTTGATACAGAGAAGTCTCGATTTCTGTAACAGTTCCTTATTTTAATCATATTTCTTTGAGAGGTTAAAGAGGTGATATTCCACTTCCATGGGGTATTATGATAACACATAATGTTTACATTAGCATGTTATCTTTTCTGTTTTGAAATGGTATATTTGCCAAAAACAACATATTAATACGCTTAATAACTTTCCACCTCCCACAGCACTATCAATATCATCTGGGAACTCCCATGTGATTTTTAAATTGTATTTATTTTTACTTGAGACAGGGACAGTGCACAATTTTTGCATTAAGGTTGTAGCATCAGTGCTAATTTCCACCTGTAGTCCCTGGCCAGGTTCACTGATTGATTGTGTTTCACTGACCTTGACTATCAACTGTTCTGGAGACCTATGTAGCATGTTTTGTGTTGATGGGGGAAACCGGAGCGCCCGGAGGAAACCCATCCAGACACGGGGAGAAACATGTAAACTCCACACAGAAAGTTTGCCACCTTGCCACCAAATCCCCAAGACAATGACATAACACTTGACTGACCTATATTATGCAATTTTCTGATCTATGTTCTAATGTTGTTTCCTCATCAAAAACATACCTGGAGTTGTGTTTTGTTTCATTCATATATGGTTAACACACAACCTTTGCCTATTTAGGCTGAGTTCTTATGCCAAACATAAAATGCTATGTTCCACCTTGTGATGTCATGTCGTACACCTCTGAATCATTTGGATAATTTCAGCACTAGAATTTCCAATCTTTGCTAAACAAAAAGATAAAATGTAGCTGTTAACTTGAAAACTACTGCTTCATGACATCACAAGGTAGGACAGAGCATTCTGAACCTTGGACATGTACACAGACTAATAATACAGGATTATTGTTAGTGTGAATGAAACAAAACACAACTCCAGGTATGTTTTTGAGGACAACATTAAAACATGGCCTAAAGCTCACAAGAGCCAATTTTATGTAATACAGGACTATAGAAAAGCAGTTTTGCATAATAAAGCACCATGAAATGTATTTTTCTTGTTTGGAGTATGAGAATTGTATCAATACATTTGTTCAATACTCAATCACTTACTATACTTAACAGACTTTTCAAGAAATCTGTGTAAAACTTTGCATTATTCCCATTGTAAATAGTATAATTTAATGAAAAATGACTGGTTTGAAATGATCCATGCTTTGGTGTGTTACGGTGTATTTACCGCCCAGAGCTGCTTGAAGCCGATGAGGAGGCACTCTGGTGCAGAGGTCTAAGTGCGCTGCTCTCTCTCTCCTCTCCACACTCCTCCATGTCCACGTCGCTACGGGAACGGGGCACTGACTCGGCCCCTGCCCCTGCCCCTCGCCGACGCCCCTCTCCCTGTGCCTTCAGAGACTCACTACGGGCTAAACGCACGGAGATGGTCGGGCTGTGGGAGAAATGTACAAGGAATTTTACAACAGTAACTGATGTACTGTAGCAGGGACACGTCAGATCTCATTCTGAATTTAATTCTGAACAAAAATGCAAAATTTAACAATAGACAATTTAATCTTCCTTTTATAAATTAGAATGAAATGACTTTTTTCATGCAGTCTTTTTATGTATGCATTTAACAGGGCTGTGCAATTAATATAACTAATCAGGATCAAGATTTCTAACTGTCCTTTACTTGTTTTCTGCAGCAATGAAACATAAGTATGCAAGGTTTATGTTCATGAAATTAACACTGAAATTTTTCAGTTTTATTTGTTTTTAATAACATAAAATAATAATATTCAATATGAAAAAAAATATCATGGGCAGAGCTCTAAGATCTACTGCCGATCCTACTTACATATTATATATGTGCTAGGGATGCATCAATACGATACTGGTATCAGATATCGGCATCGATACTGAAAAAATTGTTGGATATCGGCTTCCACATCCAACATATCAACTGATAACCTGGTTGGACATATAAACTTTTGTAATAAGATTATTTACTGGTCATACTCGGTCCAGAAAGTCTGTTTGAACTTACATTTACAAAAAAAATGTTCTGTAGTTACTTAAGAGATAAATAACAGCTACATTTGGATCAGTTTTGTCTTATTGTATTTTTGTTTTGAGGAAATAAATGTAATACTGTTTTCAGTCTCTGCACTGGTATCAGTTCATATTGGGTATCAGCAGATACCTAAAGCCACAATATCAAAATCGATATCGCAAATGATAAAAAATTCCAAATCGGAAAAATACGTTTTGTGCTGTACCTGTCCATGCTGTCCTCTCCCAGGCTGCTGGTGGACAGTCTCTGTGAATCTGAGCTGTCTCCTTCTTCTCCGGCCTCTGAGCTGCTCTCAAACTGTTGAATAATGTTCCTCACATTTCCAGGACGAACTGCACAAAATAAACCAAAAATAAAAGATAAAAAAATTATGACAAAAACACAGCTAGAACCAGAAAAATGTTTCAACACAAAACATACAAGAGGTGATAAAAAAAGTACAAAACAGCTATACCTTCTGAGGGGGACAACGGGGCATGGTACGCTATGAAAATAAAATTAAGCAAATGAGAAATCATTAAAAAAATAACTTCAAATAGACAATGGACAAAATAATGAACAAAATAAATAGATTAATAATGAATAAAAACACAAATGGCATTAATTAACAGTCAGTTTTACTTGGCTGAGAAGTGTTGCGTGGTTTTCCAATGTATTTTAAAATTGGATTCCTCTTCTTGTCCTCTCCATCTTTCTCCTTGTCTTTCTTTGTACTGCTCAGCTGCAATAAAGACATTTAGTTAAAGATAATAGAATGTTTTGTGTATTTTGTTATTATTTAAGGTGAACTTTTTTTTTCTGGTGGAGGGTTTGTCACCTGTTTAAGTTAAGGTTAAAGGTGCATTGTGTAACTTTTCTGGAGGAGGGTCTGTCAAATGCTTGACTTCATGGAGATGTTAGTGCTTTGTTTGGAATATTTCACAGTTTTCCATTAAACCTTTCTGTCTTCATGGAGACCAACCCAGATCTAGTTACTAGAGACTAGAGACTCTGTGAAGAGGCAACCAACCCTGTTCACTGTCAGAATGTCTGTTTTTCTAGGTATTTCTGAGCTATTAAATCACATGTAATTGAATAAATGTAAGGTAGAACTGTTTGATGTCATACTGTGGAACATTCCAAGCAAAGGCATATCCATAGAAACAAGCAGGTGACTAACCCCCCAACAAACGTTACATAGTGCACCTGTAACTTTAAATATTATTGTGATTTTTATTATTGATTAAAATGTAATATAATGTGAGGTGTGAGCTACTGTGTCCAAATAATTTCCCTTGTGGAGCAATAAAGTTTGTTCAAGTCTAAGATGGGCTTACACTTTGTGATTTTCAGGCTGATTTTTCCTAACCAGAAAAGTTACAGAGTGTACTTGTATCTCCACAAACCTTTTTGGTCTTTAAAAAGGTGAGCCACTTGTCCTTTTCGGTGCTCAGACCTGGAAAAACTTTGGAGTCCCTCAGTTTGATCCCAGAGTGTCGGAGATACAGGAGCACGGCTGAGGCGATGGGTGAACTGTAACATTTAAATAGAAAACAGAATTACAAATATGACCCAACTGACTTTAAAATAACAATATATGTTCGGCAGTTCCCATGGTGATGCAATGCACACATAAGCAACTTTGACAAAAAGTTTGTAAGATTGTCTGAAAACTCAAGAAAAAATGCTAAATGGATTCAAACAGCACATGTTCAGGAGCCTGTGATGACTATGATATGAAATGTTGATGGTCCTGATTTTTAACAACACAGTGACAGACTAACTGAAACTGTTGGGTTGTAGCTAGTTTATGACTATTTTTATGTGTGAGAGACTAAAACAGCACAAATCAGATCACTTGTTGTAGTTCCAGCCAAGTCAGTTCTTTATGGTCAACTAAAACTCAGATTAAAGTCTAACCCAAGTAACAGATCTTCAGCCAGAGCAGTACTTACAGTTAGCATCACACCCCCAGGCAATATTGATGACAGCAGCTGCGAAATCTCACTTTTGACATTCATAATTCAACTCTAATATGTGACATTAAAATTACTCACCTTCTATCCTCTTCGTGCTTTGATCTGCAATCAAAAAATATATTTTATTTTTATTAAAATTACTCCAAAACACTCAGAAGTACAGACTGAGTAAATCGAATAGTCTGTGTGTAGATTTCCTCAGTGCATTTGACACAGCTATAGTTCAATGATCATGTGTCTTTGTCATGTGGTTTTCAAAGCTTTGACTGCTGCATTGACCTTTGCTATGGTTGCTTGGCTGGGCTCCTTCTGTCACTTTGTAATAAGATTTTTATGGGGCTTTGTGCATCTGACTGTGTTCCTAAGCAAACACTCCCAAGCGTGTGTGCGGCCAGGCATTTGTTTTGGTTATTAAAAGTGTAATTAGAACAAGGGCTGTAGAGTTTTAGTCATTTAGTCAATTAATCAGTTGACGGCGTCTTGATTGACCAGTTTTATTCAAACTATATGGGTTTTTAGGGGACAACAACAGAGAGGAGAAGTCAGTGAGTGAGTTAGCTGAAAAATTTATGAATTAAGATTTTCTGCCCTTTTGTATTGTATTGCATTCTATATTTTAAGAGGTTTAGGCAAAATAATAGGGAATGTAATGATATCAAAATCCCTTGATACGATATTTTCACGATATACATCTCACGGTTCAATATTTACGTGATATTTTCTAGAGGCTTATAAAACTTTTAAAAGCCTCGAAATGGCTTTGGTACAGTAATAATATGAAGAATTAAGTTTTAAAAGTAAATAATAACAGCTATTTCTTCATGTAGTGACAACACCAAAGGATCACGGTGTATGTAGTTCCTTTTTTTTAAATTTTGCACCATGGCAAGGCAAGTTTATTTGCATAGCACAATTCATACACAAAGTAATTCAAAGTGCTTTACAAAATAAGACAGACATTTATTTTTATTTTTTTTTATTAAAATCACCATAACTATTAATTTAAGCAAAGAGACTTGTGTTTTGATATATTGTGATGGCTTCCGATATTATTGTGAGACTTCAGATGATACTGTATCACGATATTTCGGTTATTGTTACATACCTACAAAATTAGTGTTAAACTTCATCTTAAACCCATTTGGTCTGGATTTAGATTTTTGTGTTACTCATAAATCATTGTAATATGATTAATTGTGTCAATTGACTGGCGAAAAAAATAAACTAACTAAAGTTTTATTTTTTGGTATTCATCAATAAAAAGACAAATTAGACACATGATTCACAAGTTAAATCTGTATATAAATGCATTTGTGTCTGCTATTTAGTTATAATCTAGGACACCCGTGGGTTATTACGTTATAGTTTGCACATTTTAAAATCCCAATACTGATCTAAAATAATTTAATAAAAGAGACAAATCTGTTGATTTCCACGTTAGAAAACTGCAGTGTCCGATAGGAGCTTATGTTGCCACAAATATCATCACAACAAAGAACAGTGAAGTTGTCAGCACCTCCGATGGATAGCTGCATTTTCAGCTTTTCATTCTTTGCCCTGGTATTGGTTGATATCAGGTATCGGCAGATACTTGAAGCCAGAGTATTGACATTGGTATTGGGAGAGATAAAGCCAGATCAATGCATCACTAGTTAAAATGAAAAAGTTTATATTAACTTTTAAAATGTATACCGAATATCGTCACAGTGATAGTGATTTTTATTTTACAGCAGAAAAAGCTCTTGAACTGCTCACTTCTGTCTATTCTCACTTGAACTCCACCCTGACGTTGAACCCTGCGTTGATGGGAAAAGTGTTACGTAATATTTGTTTGACTCACAGAATCTCCCAGAGGGCTGTGAGCTGCCGGTCCACCACCTGCCTCTCTTTGGCAGGGTCTCCGTCCAGCTGCACCAGGTCCCCCTCCCCAAACAGAGAGCCCAGACCCATCAACTGCTTGTTCCTGTCAAACACACACATATGAGACACGCAAAAACAGAAGGCGTAGTCAGCACCAGAATCACCATAAGGGTTATGTGGTCCTATAAACTACCACTATAACAAGTAGCCCACAGTGGCACCTGACACTTCTAGCATTCAAGTACTAACCAGGCCTAGTCTTGCTTAGCTGTCAAAAGTATCAAAAATCAAACACTAATCAACACTAAAATCAATACTGAAACTAGATACTTAATTTGACAAGTATCGATACTGAAGAAATCCCAAAAGCATGACAAAATCTGACCTTTTCTGAACAGTTTTTGGTGTAATATTTATCACCAGCAGTACAGAACCACACTGCAACTTAAAGAAAGCACTATTGTATTTTGTTTTGTATTAGCTAGTCAGTGAGTACTGAATATCAAGCCTTTTCCATAGTATCAAATCGAGTTTTTGTACTCTTTTATGGATCATGGCAACACAAATTTTTGATCTGCACATTACTATATCACAGTGTAGGAGTCCTTGCTATATTATGACTACATGAATTATCTATCAAACTAGCATTTCTTTTACCTGGTTTAAAACATTTACCTGTAGTCTTGGATCTGGTCCTGTATGTCCGGTAACACCTGCTGCTGTAGCTCAGACAGAGGGCCTCTTATGTCCTCTTGTGCGTGGAGCCGGCTCTCTGGATACAGAAAAAATAAAATAAAATTATTGAAAGATTTTACTTGCCTGTAGGCAGAATAGCAGTTTAAAATGGCGATGAAGAGTAACAACAACAATCAGCAGCAGTTCATTATTAATTCAAAAATACACTTACCAATATCTGTAAGGTACTCTTCTCTTACTTTGATTTTCAATGGCTGCAAGAACAGTGACCAAAGTTGAATTGTCATCAAATTATTCCGATTTTAAACATTAGTATTATGGGTAATAAGATTGCATACAGCGTCAGGGTCCAGGAAATGAGAACAAATCTGAGGAGCGAGGGAGCGTGCATCTTTAGGACTGGAGCCAAGGTATGCCTCCACTGACAGGTAAAACAACTAAAAAGTTAAAAGTTAAAAAGTAAACAAGGCTGCACAGTGGGAAAAGAAAATGCAATATTCTTGTATGTGAGCAAAATGTAACATGCCTCAGTGCAGATATATTTTACAAGCAGCTCTAGAGGTTCAAGTGTGTTGAAACTTTTGTATTTTTTGCAGTGTGTTTAATGGGACTGACCAGGGGATTGGGGTCGAGGAGCTGGCTGAACACGTATCTCATGAACACAGTCATGTGAGCCGGGCGAGACTTCAGCAACTCAATGTCCTGAAATGGGCCGTCCATCTGAAAACAGGGAGAAAAGTCAAATATTTAACCAATATGCAATTTTTTTTTCAAGGTGGAGCTCAAAATCACAAAGGACAATATATGGACTAGATCACCTCAATAAACTCATAGCAGTCGTCTTCTTCGTCTTCATCTTCGGGGCTAATGATCTGTGCCTTTCCACTCTGGTGACACAAAACAATTTTAATAACAGTGATTTGGATGATTTCAGCCCTAGAATTGCCAATCTCAACTGAACTAAAGGTAAAAGGAGCTGTTAACATGAGAACTAACACTACAAGACTTTGGAGATGTAGACAGAAAAAAATAAGTATTATTCAAACATGTGTGAATGAAACAAAACACAACTCCAGGTATGTTTTTGATGAGGTAACTACATTATAATCTGGCTTAAAGCTCATATGAGTCAATTTTGTGTAATATAGGACATTAAGTGTAAAACTTCCAATGCGGTAAGCTGGGCAAAGTGTAATCTTTGTTAAGCAATTTTACAACAAAATGGAGTAATGGAGTAACTCATTCAAATGTGTTCATTTTAAACTAAATTTAATTAAAAATATATTATTTAAAAAATATATTATTTTAAAAATAAATACATTCTTAAATACACAAAGTGACTGTTTCTCATGTTTTTTTCATCCATGTTCATGTTTTTAATTTACAAATTATTTAAAATAATCTAAAAAGATTTTAAGAGAATTTGTTTATTCTCACCGAATTGGATAGGGGGTGTGTGTCGGAGTTCTGTCGTCTGTGTTGGGACGTCCTGAAGGAGGAAGAAGGGGAGGACTGGGGGCTGTCAAAGCCCTGAAGAGGAAGAGGTAGAAAGGAAGGAGGAGAGGAAGGAGGAGAGGGGGAGGAAGAGGAGGAGGAGAGAGGGGGAGGGGGAGGAAGAATAAAGAGGGAGGAAGAGGAGGAAAGAAAGAGGGGTAGGAAATGGAGGAGTTTGGGAGGAAGAGGAGGAGGGTGAGGAGAAAACAGAGGAAAAAGGGTGAGAGGAGCTACTATAGGCAGGGCAAACAAAATGTCAACCTTAAAATAACTGACGAGCTTCACTTCTTACCTCCATATCACCTTCACCAGAGTCCATAGACAACCGACCTGAAGAAACAATATAAAGTACATTAGAGTCCATACAAAGGCATAAGTATAGGATATCATTTTATATCATATTATAAGAATAAATATAAGAAAATATAAGAAAAGACTCAATACTCATATACTACTTAACAATAAAACTAGAATCAAAAGTGGACACAAATTTTTAGTGTGATATTCATCTGTGCTAGAACAAGTACACATGATTATAGTACATTAAAGGTGCAACTGTTCTGATGGGTTGGGGATCTGCCTTGTCTGTTATTGCTGGAATGCCACACAGTATGGTATTCATTTTATCTAATTTCCACGGAGTCAAGAAAGTGACACTAACAGGCTGAGTTTAGGGTCAGCTCTGTAGAGATGCAACCCCACATACAGTAAAACTGGATGGTTTTCAAGTTATTTTTGTGGCATAAAAAAGACTAATTGATAAAATGCACAATAAATAAGTTTAATGACATACTGCACCTTTAATGGATTTTTGTGTGTGTTATTATAATCACATTTTGTTCATTGTCCGTTACAGGAAACAACATCTTATATTAAAAACTTGAAAAAGGGACAAATGTCAGCTGTATTTACGCTACCTATGAAAAGTTTGGACACACCTTTTTGTTTTTGGTTCTTTATTTCCTTGATTATTGCATCGTAAATTCTCACTCTCTTCTCATCACAACTATTGAATGAATATGCAGCATTTCCAATAGATGTGGTTAGGATTATGGTGTCAAATAGTTATAGTTATTTGAATAATTTAATCTCATTCAATTTGAGGATTTACTACCTACATTTAATCTTGAACCTGTCATTTTTGACCAGTGTAGTCACTTTTATAACTTTATAATAATACAATGAGCAATAAAGTCTAATTTTGCTATGCCAATATATATGGGTCAGGTTATTTTTTAGACATTGGAGGAAACTTTTAGACTGGGGGTGGGCACCATAGTTTCCTGTATTAAAAGATGCATTGTACAACTTTTCTGGTCAAGGGTCCGTCAAATGCTTTTCAGCACAAATGTGTTATTGCCTTGTCATCATGGAGACCAAATCAGACCAAGTTACAAGGTCAGGTCAGTGGAAAGGCGACCCTGCTCTCAGTCACAATTTTTCTAGGTATTGATACCTAGTAATTGTAATGGAATAAATGTAAGGTAGAGCTGTTTAATATCTGTGGAACATTCCAGGCAGAGCAATGATGTTTCCATAGAAACAAGTGACGGACTCCCAACCAAAATGTACATAGTGTACCTTTAAGAGAAAACACTGAACATGTATGGAGTTAAGTAAAAGAAAAATTAATTCAAAATAACTCAAAAGCCAAGGGCTTGTAGTGCTGTCAACAAAGAAAATGGTGGATACTTTGAGGATTTGAAAATAAAATATAAAAATATTTAGTTGAGTTATTTCACTTTTTCTTTGCTCCATAATTCTATATATCTCACACTATATATTTGATGTCTTCCATGTGTATAAAAAAGAAAGTAGTGAACTAGTACTAGTAAAATTGAACATTAAAATCTGTTTGTCAAAATTTGGTATGAAATGGGAGATATATTCACAAACCTCCTGCTAAAATGTAGCTGGTGACTGATTCTGGTCGTGATCCCTCCTGAAGAAGAAAAAAATGGTACATATAAAAAAGGTTCATAATAATAGATTACTTTGCAGGGACATGATGCTGGGGGTGTTCTGCATGTATATCTATGGTGGAATGTTCAGCAGTTACCATAGACACATATTGCACACATTAGCAAATGCTGTTCAAAAAGTTTTTAAGATCATCTGAAAACTCAAGAAAAAAAAAACCCCAAAAATACGAACCTCGTGGTCCTGTTTAGGTGTTTGATTTTCAACAAAGACGTTAGAATGACTAACTGAAAAACTGTTGTTGTTTGTGACTGTAATTTTATGTGCACAAATCATCTCACCTGCTGTAGTTCAAACTAAGTCAGTTCTTGGCCAGACTGTGTAAAACTACAGCTCAGACTGAAGTTTAACAAAGCCTCAGATAGAGCAGTGCCTACAGGTAGCATCACACCCCAAGGAAATGTTGAAGGCATCAGCTGCAAAGTATCAATATAACACCTTTATGTTGGGACCGACTTTTCGTCCACTGCACCTGATCTTGCTGAATCTTGATCCGGACTTGCTGAGCTCTTCTCTTTGCACTTTCAATTCTTTCCTCCAGTGATGGTGACGGGTTCCTCAGTCGTTCCTCCAATAAAGCCTGCCCATATAACAACAAGTGATTAGGGATGGGACAATAGATAATATCGTTTATCATAATAAAAAAGGTGCACAATAATAGTTCGAGAGACTTTTTATATACCGGTAATCGTGATATTATACCAGTAATTTTGGTCATGATAATCTCTTCTGTGTCATTGCTCTGCCTGGAATGTTCCACAGCGTGACATTAAACAGCTTTACTTTACATTTATTCAATTACAGGCGGTGACCTGTACCTTGGTCTGGTTTGGTCTCCATGAAGATAAAAAGGTTTAATACTATGCAGTGAAACATTCTAGACAAAGCTATAACCCACAGAGGATAATCTCCACAGAGAAAAGCGTTTGCCAGATTCTTGAGTCTTGAGTGAAAATGGAACTAGAGGAGTTTTAGGCCAAAACATGACTATATGTTTACACAATCAGGCTACAAATTATTTTATATACTAGACAATAATGGATTTTGTTATAATTTTTAAAAAGTGAAACATTAATTTGTAAACTTTACTTCAACTTAAGATAAATGTGTGGGACTTACTGTAGATTTTAAAAGGTAGATACAGTAACATAAAAAAATAAAATAAAATATTTAAAATTCATAACAGACCATTAACCATAAAAACAAATAAATAGTGTAGCATAAGGAAGAGTGTGTACGTTCAGCTAACAACTACAATCTCCATTCATTCAGTGGTCCATATTTACATAATGCCAACTCTCACAACGGCTGCTGCTTTGCAAGTGATGACAAATAAATAATATTATAAAGATTCAATATATGAAACTAGGGGTAACATTACATAAATGAAATATGCTTCTTCCTACTTACATTTTCTTTTTTAACATTTTTTCTTTCTTTTTCTTAAATGCACATGTTTTAAAGTATGGAAACTATATATTTTGCTTTCTGAAAGGTATATTATGCAAATTTGACTCCTGTGAGCCATGTTAGAATGCCATTACCTAATCAAAAACATACCTGGAGTTCTGTTTTGTTTCATTCACACATGTCTGAGTAATCTTATTATTAATCTATCTACATTGTCCAAACCTCAAAATGCTTTGTTCCACCTTGTGATGACATTTAGTTAAAAGCTACATTTTATCTTTTGTCCAGTAGAGATGGGCAATTCCAGGGCCGAAATGATCCAAATGATTCTAGTGAAGGTGTATGGAGTTTAAAACACAGTGGAGCACTTGTATAACCACATGACATCACATGGTGGAACTGAGTCTTTTCTGTGTGAGAGAAGAACTCAGCCTAAATATGCAGTTTGTGTGTTAAACATGTGTGAATGAAACAAAACACAACTCCAGGTATGTTTGTGAAACAACATTATATTAAAACATAGATCAGAATATACCGTAATATGGGCCCTTTGAATTTTTTTTTAAAGTAACTAAGTCTAATGTGTCATACCTGCAGCTCAGCCTCTTCCTGTTCCAACATTTTCCTGAGAATTTCAGTGGCATGTTTTTGAACTTCAGGATCCTAAAACAAAAACAATGCAAATCACAAATTCATAAATTAATTAGACATGATCAGATCGTGCCATGATACAGCGCAAGGCAAAAAAGTGAAGATGTGAGATACACACTGAAAAACAATGATAAAACAGCCACATCCTGATGGTCTGTCCAGCACTAATGACACACGCACTGCTTTGACGGTGTGAAATGTCAAATTTGAGATCAGGTATTACAGATATTCCTCTAGCAGACTTCTACATTTGTATAAAAACTGTTTTAAAAATTTTTTTGAATAGGGATGGGATGCCGTGCCACAAGATCTCACAAGACAAATTGCCACAAGATTGTGCACTCAGTAAAAATTATCTTGTCAGATTTTTTTCCTCATGTTTTTACAGTAGGATTGAAAAACTAGTACTAGCGAATAAAATGTTTTGAGAATGAGCAGTCCCAAAAAGCAGCGCTACAGTAACAGCAGAAATATTAAATAAAGTAAATTAAAAAATGAGTCTAAAACTGGGGACTGAAATGCAAAATGTATATATTAGAGCCTAAATAATGTCAAATTCTTGTCTTTTCTCGTTCTCATAGAGAACATCTCGTCTTTCGTCTCGTCTTTATAGCGACTTAATCTGGAACCAGGGACCACACCGAAGAGCTGTTGAAGGTAACACCCCTGCCACTTGCACCATTGGTTTAGCAAGGACCGAGCGCTTAGCTATGCAGCGAGTCAAACCTGTTGCTAATGCTAGAAGGACTGACCTCAGATTTGTCGGCTATTCATGTTCATATCTTAATTTAGGTACAAAATATTGAAATAAAAAAAACAGGACCATGTAGAGCAAGCTAATACAAACATTTTAAGACCAACATGAAGAGGCTCACAACAGCAGTTACGGAGAGAGGGGCAACAGTTTTTCAGTAGAAATAGAATTGCAACCAGAGCTCAGAGGAACCATTTATATAAACAGGCTGTAGTCAGTTCTAGGGAATGTCCCGATCACATTTTTTTGCTCCCGAGTCAGAGTCCAAGTCCCTTGATTTTGAGTATTTTCCAATACCGGGTCCCGAGCCGATACTTCTATAAAACATTATGAAATGACTATGAGCAAAGAATAAGATCCAGGATGTTTGGGGGATCAGATTGTATTGATTTCAATGTGTAGTATTTGGGCTGAACTTAGTGTTAAAAATCAAATGTCCAAAACTTTTATTTTTTATTACCTTTTCTAACCATTCACCATCACTTTTGAAAATCTTGACTTTTCACAGTATGGTCTTCGAATGTGTAACTTAGTAAACTTAATGAACTGGACAAAACAGAAACCAGACCAGAATCAGACCTGAGACTAGACTCTGCACAATCTATAGTTTGTATATTTGATATTATATGGAAGCATGTGCATTACATTTGAAACATTTAGGCTCGTCTATGATATCCAAATAATACAAAATCTTACCAAATAAAAACGAGATGACAGAAGCCCCACAGCCTCTCTCCCCCGGCCGCCCCCACTCCCCCGCACTGCCACTACATCCACAAACCCACAGCTGAGCGCACACCACAACATCGGTCCCACTGCTCAATAGACACTCCACACCGCTCACAATAGCGCCAGCTGTGCTGAGCAACAGCCCTGTTTGTTTATTTTGCAACAAACAGCTCCGTGCGAGGTTATCGGCCATGCAGGTAAGAACACAGGCCACAGAACCCCAGACAACAGTGCCCGAGCACAGCACAGCCCAAAAGTCCCAGCGCAAGTGCTCCTCTAGTACAGCAGGTGGTGGGACAGATAGTCATGCTGATGGGACATCCCTGATCAAAACCTGCACCTCAGAAAAAGTGTTGTGTGCTGTGTGTCCTGTATGTTATATACGTATATTATTTATCCAATACCTGATCAGTACATAATGTCCGAGTCCAGATCGAGTCCGCAGTCACGTGTTGGGCACCAATTTCTGATCACGTGATCGGATCGGGACAACCCTAGTCAGTACTTTTCATTTGATTAGGTACATAAGGTCTTCACGTTATTATGACTGAAGACAGCAAAGTGCAGCTAAAACATGTCAAGGTCTGACTATAAGAGCCTTGTCAGAGTAGTCAGTACTTTTAGCATGTTTTACCTGCAGTGGTTTGGGTCCAGTGATTCTTTGGGAGGGGGTGCTGCTGAGTCCTGAGGGCAAAGGTGGCGGTGGAGGGGGCGGGACTTGCCCACCTAAAGACGTCCTTTGATTGGGTGAGACGTCAGTGGGGAGGGGCTCCAGTGGCACAGAGGCGGCGGAGGGGGGTGGGCCTTGTAGCGTGAGAGCGACGTATGTTCCGGCTGTGAGAAGAAAAAAGAAGAGAATATGACGCTTTTCTTTTCAAACGTCAAATCTTAAAAAGGCTGTGTTTTGTTTGACTTACATTTGATGAGTTTAACCACCTCCTGATGGGTCATGGAGGACACCAGAGAGCCGTTCACCTGACAAAATGTTTGTTTTAGAATCATTTCATTTAAAAATTCAGACCAAATTTATGAGCATTTACAAATAGAAAATACCTTTATGATTCGATCTCCTTCTTGAACTCCAGCCTTGACTGCAGCACCACCTACAAGAATGAATCACATTTTATTTATAGATAATTCGGACAACAATTTAACACCACATCAACAAATATGAGATTGGAATTACGAGAACGAGACAAAACGAGATTTTGACATTTTTTATATAAAATAGTGCAATCCAGTTCCCAATATCAGCCTCACCATTTTTAATTTACTTGATTTTATATTTTTGCTGTCATTGTACTAGTGTTTTTTGGGACTACATCTTCTCAAAACATGTACCGGTAATTCACCAGTATTTAACATTTTTGTATCCAATCCAAACATAAAAACACTGGAAAAAAGATGTAAGATGTATTTTGTCTTATATAAAACTATAAAATTAAATCAATCTAAAACTTTTTAAGCCAAAATTGTGAACTGAGTAGCATAATTTATTTATTAAAAATCTGATCAAAATCTAATCTTGTGTCGTTCTCGTGGATCGAATCTCATGACATGTCTCGTTTCATAGAAATTGTGCCTCGTCCCATCCCTAGTGGAAGACATTAAATATATCATGTGAGATATATGGAATTAAGTTGCAAAGGAAACTAAATGTTTTTTTTTTATATTTTAGATTAAAATCCTCAAACAAAATCCACTTTGCTTTGTTGACAGAACTGCAAACCCTTGGCCTTCCCCACTGTTCTTCTTGATTAAGTCTCCCGAAATGCTTGTCAGGGTCAAGAAATATCAAAAGTGCAAAGCGGTGGCCAAATCAAAGGGTGGCTATTTTCATAAAACAAGTTTGGAGTTACTTTTGAGTTAATTATTGGTTTAAATTCCACATATGTCTGTTCATAGTTTTCAAATTGTACAATGTAAATAACCATGGAAATAAAGAAAAAACTCATTAAAACTGCCCAAACTTTTGACTGGTAGTGCATGTATGTATGTCACAATCTAGTGGTCTAATATGTAGAATTGTACAGTTTCAAACCTGTTGAGAGATATTCAGGAAAGTTTAAAAACACTGATAAAGAAGTGTAATTTTAAAACATAATTATTAGTTTTCTCACCAGGGCGCACGTTCTGGACCAGCTTCACTCTCTCTCCACACACAGTGAAGCCGAAGCCCAATTGATCCTTCTGAACCACCACACATCTCTGCACCAGACCAGGACCTGAAGAAAAACACACATACATTATAATAATAAACTTAACTAGGATTCTCTAGGCATTTCAGATAGTAAATAGTTGATCATTTCAATAATCAACATCAACCAGAAGCTTGTATCCCTATGTATATGTATTAAGGGGCCTATATTAAGCTATTTTTTATCTATTATAATGTTGTTTTCCTGTTTTGTTTCATTCACACATTTAACACACAAACGCTGTATATTTAGGCTGAGTTCTTCTCTCAAACTGAAAACCCTCTATTCCACTTTGTGATGTCATGCAGTAATACAGGAAGTGCTCCACTGTGTTTTTAAACTACATATACCTTCACTATAATCATTTGGATGATTTTTCAGTTCTGGAATTGCCACTCTCTACTGAACAAAAGGTGTAGCTTTTAACTTGAAAACTAATGCTTCATGACTGAAACGGAGCATTTTGAGCTTTGGATATAGAGACAAACTAATAATAAAGGATTACTCAACATATGTGAATGAAACAAAACACAACTCATAGTAACATGACTTAAACCTAACAAGAGTAAATTTTGCATAGTATAAGACCTTTAAGTTTGGAGAGGCACATTTTAACTGTATTTGATTGAGTAGAAGATATTGACAAGATATTGACATGACCCAAGTGGCTCTTTCTGCATGCCACATGTGCAGTAGAGCAGGGATTGACAGTCTGATAATACCCCAGCACAAACCATTCCAGATTGATAAATGTGTAGAGTTCAATTCAGAGTGCTAAACATAACAATCTGGCATGAACCAGGTTAAATTACCTGCACTTTCTGTGGGAATTTCAATGCAGGGCTCCCTCTGTTGAGCAGCAGAAGACTTGCGCTCCGAGTCCCCGATGGTCAGACTGCTCAACCTGTTTAAAAAAAAAAAGAACAAATTAATCTTTTAAATTTAAACAAATTGTTATACATATATATATAATATATATTATTTTTATATATATTTTATATTTTTATAATATATATAAAAACAAAGGAAAACAAAGCAAATACCCATAAATACTGAATGGCATTATATAGGCTACATTAAAGATGCACAGAGGAAGAAGTGACAAGATACATGTCGACAAGAGAGGACTCACCAAGCAGCAAAGGGACTGAGAGCGAAGCGTGAAAGAGGGAAAAGACACAGAAAGAAGAGAGAAAGGAGAGATATTCTGAATGAAAAAACCTGCCTTAAAAGCGACAAAACACAAAACTGAGCAACAGGAAGATGCGCAAACCATGGCTGTATCTTCTCCTTTAAACAGACTGTATAAACACTGTGTGAACTGTGTATTTAAGTATGACGCTTAAGGACTTTGTGTTTTTGCTTTGAGATTACAGTGACCCTGAACAAACACACAAGGAAATCCACGAGGTAATACAGAGTTTTAAGTTCAATCAAAGAGCCATTCATTTTATAAAATAATCTGTTCGGGGATTAAAAGGCCCATATTACGCTATTTTCTGATCTATCTTATAATGTTGTTTCCTTATCAAAAACATAGCTGGAGTTCATTCACAAATGTTTAACACATAAACCATATAGGCTGAGTTCTTCTCTCAAACTGAAAACGCTCTATTCCATAGTCAAGTTCAACAAATTGTCAACTTTAAGTAATCACAAACAACTTCATGAGTAACTTAGTGAATAATGTGGCCTACTTCGTAGCTACAAGTTATTACCTGGTAATACATGGAGTTGTGTTTTGTTTCATTTACACAAGTAACTTTTTATTATTACTCCAAAACTCAAAATGCTTTTTCAAAGCTACCTTTTGCCTTTGATTTAGTAGAGATTGGCAATTTCAGGGGTGAAATTATCCAAATGATTCTAGTAAAGGTGTGCGGAGTTTAAAAACACAGTAGAGCACATTAGAGCCCGACCGATATATTGGTCCTCCGATATGGGCACCTGGAGGCATATCGGCTATCGGCCGATATGTTTGCTGATATGGGCCGATATTTCTCGTGGGCATGTTATACCTCGTTATAAAGCTTAGACTATCTACATTATGTTCATTTAATCTAAGTTACAGTCAGATAAATGTCCTAATATGTGGCTCTGCATCAGTATTTATCTGTGGAGTCATTTGTCTGTGTGTGTGTCCGTACTGTCCTTGAACACACCCCCAGAGTCGAGTCACTCACGTGTGTTTGTTTACACCCGCAGCCAATAGATCCAAACACTGAGATTATATTATTTTTACGGACAATTGGTTTGAGTCTGAATTAAAAGGACATTTACTAGTGCAGACTTGTGATGTGAGGAGGAGCCTGTGTGAGCGGTGAGTGTTGGAAATATGTCGACTTTGAAGCTAGTGTTGTTTTTTCTCATTAGTTAGCTATTAGCTGCTGTAGCTCCCACACATTAACAGGTTGTTTTCTATTGGCCTATTGTAAAGTGACTGTATTGGCCATATATTTGTTGCTGTACCTGCATTGATATGTAAATGAGCTGTGAATAGAGGTGTGAATAATGATACTTGCGCATATAATTAATTACCGCGGCGCACACGTATTTACGGCTAAAGGCTAATAGCGGTAGTTTCTTTACTAGCTAGTAGTGATGGGTCAGTCGCGAACGAAGCGGCTCTTAGATCCGGCTCTTTGATGCGAACGACGAGAGCCAGCTCCTTACTGGGAGCCGTGTTTTCTCTTTCTCTCACTTTTTTTTCTCTTCAAGTCGCGTGCAGACTTGTGGTACTTTGACAGCGGTAGCGGCTCAAAACGAAACTTTCAGAATTATGCCTATGCATAGGATAGAAAAAATGTGCATATTTGGGTGTAGTTCATCATAAAATAAATAAACCAGGACTAATCTTGGGCTCGAAAGAGGGAGCGAGATAGAGACCGAGTCCCGACACTCAGTCCTGGTTCAGTTCTGGTTTAGTCCTGCTTGCAACAAAACAATATGAAGAGCTGCTTGGGACCCAAAAGAGCCAGTTGCTTTTAGTGAACCGAGCCAAAAGAGCCGGTTCTCTAAAAAGAACTGGAATACCCATCACTAGTAGCTAGAATGTGATGCAAAAATGCCATTAGGCCGACCTACCCTCTGTAAATATGACATAAAGTGTCAGAATAACAATAAATGTTGCTTAAATAAACCCAATTTTAGTTTTTTAAACAATTCAAGATTTACAGTGAATTTTTACATCACTAAATATATCGGCCATTATATTGGCTACCGGCAGCTCCAACTCCCATTATATCGGTTTCATATCGGCCGCAACAAAATCCATATCGGTCGGGCTCTAGAGCACATGTTACCACATGACATCATAAGGAGGAACAGTGTTTTTTCTCTGTGAGAAAGGAACCCAAACTTTGTCTGTTAAATGTGTGAATGAAACAAAACACAACTCCAGGTATGTTTGTGATGAGCAAACAACATTATACCACAGATCAGAAAATAGCGTAACATGGGCCATTTCATGAATAATGTGTGTAAACATTTTAAGTAAACTAAGACACGCATTTCAGAACATGTTTGTTGACATCTAACCAGTTTGCAGATAATAATCTCCAAACTGACTGGGATCTGTTTCCCTATATTAATGCCTAAATAACAACTACCACTGTAGAAAATATGCCAAGAAAACATTTCAAAATGCAAATTTAAAATTTAGTTTCAATGTTAACTAATCTTGCATCCCTGCTATTGTCTGTATGCAGCTAAAATCCATGAATATAACAACCACAAGAATAGCCTCTTCCGCACAAATTATCTTTGATACTACAGGCATTTGATTCATGCTAAATCAATATGAAACACTCCAAAATGTTTGTCTCATGCGCTGTTTCTTTGTATAGGTTGCGTTCATGTGACTTACAATGTAAACATCCCTATAGTTTAAACTGAGCTGGAGGGCAGGTCAGAATTCTACAGTGGGATTTGTTGTTTAACTGTCAGACTGCAGATTTGTTGAAGTGGGATGCACAGATATTGTTATCGAATATCAGTGGCAGTCCAGGAAAAAAAAATGCCATTTTCAATTGCTACACTGGATTAATATCAGATATTGGCAAATACTTAAAGACATAGTATCAATAAGAGGATCCCATGATCAACAGTGCTGCTTTTGACACTGTCGATCATGGGATCCTCTTACAGAGACTAGAGGACTGGGTGGGCATCTCTGGTACTGTACTAAACTGGTTCAAGTCCTACCTAGAAGACAGGAAGTATTTAGTTGAAATTGGAAACTGTGTCTCAGATCACATGGCCCTGACCTGTGGGGTGCCTCAGGGGTCAATCCTGGGCCCCCTGTTGTTCAATCTCTACATGCTGCCATTAGGCCAGTTAATAAGCAGCAATAACGTGTCCTACCACAATTATGCAGATGACACTCAGATCTACGTCTCTCTGGCAGCAGGAGACTATGGACCAGTGGACTCACTTTGTCACTGCATCCAACAGATCAGTGTGTGGATGCAAAACAACTTTCTCCAGCTAAACTCTGACAAGACTGAAGTCACAGTGTTTGGTCCACAGAAACAAAGGGACAGTGTCAGCAGTCACCTCCAGTCTCTCTCTCTAAAACCTTCAAATCAGGCAAAAAATCTAGGGGTAATAATGGACTCAGACGAACTTCAACAGCCACATCAAATCAATAACATCTGCAGCCTTTTATCATCTAAAAAACATAGCAAAAATCAAAGGTTTACTGTCTAAAGCAGACTTAGAGAATCTTATCCATGTGTTTGTCTCCAGTAGGTTAGACTACTGTAATGGTCTGCTCACTGGTCTCTCCAAACGAGCTGTGAGACAGCTGCAGAACATCCAGAATGCTGCAGCTCGGGTCCTTACTCGAACTAGGAAGTACGAGCACATAAGTCCTGTGCTCAGGTCTCTGCACTGGCTTCCTGTGACTGAGAGAATAGACTTTAAAGCAGCTCTGCTTGTGTACAAGTCTCTCCATGGCCGAGCACCAAAGTCCATCTGTGACATTTTAGTGTCATATGAACCATCTCGCACTCTGAGGAGCTCAGGGACCAGCCTCCTGCTGGTGCCCAGAGTCAGGACTAAACAAGGGGAGTCAGCGTTTCAGGTTCATGCAGCTAAAACCTGGAACAGTCTTCCTGAACATGTGAGACAGGCCTCTTCTGTGACGCTGTTTAAATCCAGGCTCAAAACATTTCTGTTTAACTGTGCATATAACTGAAAGGTTTTCATTCCGCACTCTTGTCTTCAATTTATGTCTCTCTTTTTAAATTTTAATCTTCATGATTATTTATGTTTTGATTTGTTTTTATTATGATTTTAATGTATTTCTTATTTTGTAAAGCACTTTGAATTACTTTGTGTACGAATTGTGCTATACAAATAAACTTGCCTTGCCTTGCCTTGCCAATATCAGTATCGGATCTGGTTTATGGTATGATAATATAAACACTGAGCCTATCCACATGTAACAGAACCTGGCACAAAGTTTAGTCTCTTTGCTGTATAAATAAACAAAGGTAAAATTATGTTGTTTCAATGAGTGGTGCCATTATTCAACCTTAAAGACTAATAGATAGCAGTCAGTTGAATACTTTAAGCCATAAAATGAATATGACAAGTTTGTGGAGACGATCTTTAATGATAAGGTTCAACATTTGTGGATTTCCTGGTTTAGATATTTCTTAAAAAACAGTGAATCTACTATAGAGTTATAAAGGCCCCTGCCCTCCATCTGAAATTATAACATCATCAAATTCTATAATGTGAACGCAACCTATAGATCTATACCATGCCAACTGTCCTACCTTGTCAAATGGACGTTTTTCTTATTGGTTGCCCTGACGACACATACAGACAGTGGATGGAGGAATGAGGGAAAAATGAGCAGAAAAACAGATGAAGACAAAGAAAATGACATGTGACCAAGCAGAGACAAATGTTCATGAAGACATTCAGTGATAATGGACAAAACAAGCAGCTGCCAATGTTTACCAATTACTGCTGTCATGACACTAAAATTTCCAACTTGATTTCAATGCTAAGGAATAGACTCAATAAAGATTCTGATACCACGATGATGATAATAAGAAATGCTCTTTATTTAGACAATAGAATGTGCTTTTCAACATTAAGTCGTCGTACCATCTTTTATATCACCATGTGGTCTTATGTCTGTGTAATCTCTCAGTGGTCCAGGTAGGTTTCATTGAGTTCTATGGCTTTATAATAATCCATGTGCTCTTATACTTGTTCCGATATAGCACAAGATCATTCTAAATTTATCGAGAAAGAATAAATTTTGTGACTCCATGTTTATCGAGGATACCTTTTCTTTCTCTTTCTAGTGGGGAACTTTTTGTCATTTTTATGTACTACACAAATATTTGAGCTGTAGAGGGTCAAATACATAACCCTTACGACTCTTTATAAAACAATGCATACAAACTAAGCACTTAAGTATTCAACTCTGCTATTTGTTTATTGCAGTTTCTATTTTAACCATATTTTACATTTAGTAAAGTTTTCTGCGAATAATCCTACTTTAGGGTTATTGTGTAAGTGGCATATAATTTATCATCAATATTTTATTCCGCAATATACTATACTTCAAAATTTGCTATCATGACAGGCCTAGTAACATCCCTTCTTTGCATAATTTCTCTGTTGCCTCACTGGCTCCATAGGCCACATGTAAACAGCCCGTTTGACTTGCTATTTAGCAGGCCAGACTGGACTTCAGACAGATAAGGATATGATATGATTGCAACCACACAAGTGTTTAGTGGCAGCACAGAGGACAAAGCATGCATTATTCAGCCCCAATGGCATAGTAGTAGTGATAGTTTAAAGGTCCTATATTACACAGAATGGATTCTCATGAATTTTAACTCATGCTGCTACCAAAAACATACCTAGTGTTGTGTTTTGTTGCATTCTCACATGTTTGAGTAACCCTTTATTGTTAGTCTGTCTACATTCATTTCAAAAGCTCAAAATGCTCTGCTGCACCTTGTGGTGTCAGGAAGAGGTAGTTTTCAAGTTAACAACTACCTTTTACCTTTAATTCAAACTAGATATTGGAAGATCCAAAGCTGAAATGATCCAAACGATTCTAGTGAAGGTGTATGGATTTTAAATACACAGTGGAGCACTTCCTGTATCAGCGCATGCATCACAAGGTGGACCAGAGTGTTGCCATTTGAGAGAAGAACTCAGCCTAAATATGGGGGATTTGTGTGTTAAACAGGTGTGAATGAAATAAAATACAACTCCAGGTATGTTTTTTATACAGAAAAAGCATTATAAAAGAACAGAAAATAGCAAAACATGGGCCTTTTAACTTACCTGTCCAGGGTAGAGGAGGGTTGGCGTAGGCTCATTTCTACAGCCTGTGGGTCAGTCCTCTTTTTCCGGATGCAGGCTTTACTTTGTCACAGCACCGCGGCTATCATCACCATCTTCTCTTGCCTCTTGAGTTTTCATTCCACACAAAGAACTCCTCTGTCTGGCTCCGATTCAGATCTTAAAGTTTTCATGCACTAGCACCAAGGAAGACCTCATAGTGCTCCCAATCGCCTTCAATAATAAAGTGCTGCTAAAAACTACCCCTGAATGTCACATCTGTTTTGTTTTTTTGTTTTGTTTTTTTTGTATGTTTTTTGCAGACTGAGTGGTTAAAATTAGCTTTAAATACAGCTGCAAATGGGACGTGTAGGTGAAACTAGACCAGGGCAGTCAGTTTCAACACAGATCATCAATCATGGATGATATGTCCAGATATGCTCTCTGTGTCAACAACTCCCCTACTACAAACCTGTCTGCATAAAGCTACTGTAAACAATGTAATTCAATGCAAACTGTTTACCATGCAACACTGGGGACCTCACGTGCAATTTGACACTAAATAGCTCAATGTTCCTAACCTTTGAACTGCAATATTACTTGAGCCTGCATAGTTGGTTTACTGTAGTGTGCATTACAATCACTAAATAAAAACATAAAGAAAATAACAAGAAATAGTTAGTAGAATTAGTGCATCAGATGTCAAATGTCAGTCAGATTTCTCTAAAGAGGTCACAGGCTCGTATGCTCAGGCCAGCAAATTGTAAACAACTAAACCAGATTATACCCTTGGCTATCTATGACATGCTAACGACATAGCTAATTAGCAGGTTCACCGGTGTTAGCTTCGGCTGCATCTGCGGAAAGGGAGCAGCAATAGTGCCTTTAGTTTTGCGATCTTGCTCATTAAATTGCTAAATAATAATAAAGATCCGATCAAAGAGATATGTGACAGTTAACTGCTTGTTATTAAAAGATCCGCAAAAAGGCCGCAGTCAGTCCTCGGCATCGCGTACGTGGCGACTCGGAATGCAGCGAAGTTTGTGTGCTAGCAAGCTAGCAAGCTAACTAGCCACCTCTGCAATTGTAATAGCATTGCAAAAAAGCATATAACCAAGTGACAAAGGTGACAAAAAGGACCCGGTTATACGAACAAACTCAACGTTAATATATCCACAAAAGTCTTCAAATTTTGTAGAAAATCTTGCATTAGTCTGCTGCAGTTTTTAGCCCGGTTAGCTTGTATAGATTCCCAAAGGCGATCAGTGCAGCAGCAATCTCCAGTATGTTTTTGTGTACCAATCAAACGTACTCAAGCGTCTGGTTAATTCTTTGCATGGCCAGTTTCATGCTGTTTAATCCGATCCAAAATAATGATCTTTCCCCCCCGAGTTGTTATCGGTATGTTCTCCTCAAAGATCACCCAAACACAGCACCCCGGGTCCCGCTGTGGTGGATGTACAGTACTGCAGCAGACACGCAGAGGAGCAGCAATGGAGAAAGCAACGCCACGGGTTATGAAAACTAACTTACCCAAGACTAGCCGCTAAATCAACATCTGTAATGCAGTGTGTTTTGTGGTTGAGGTTTAAATTGAGTGTGCATAATAATTTACTTTATTAAAGGTGCACTGAGTAACTTCTCTGGTTGCTTGCATGGTAGGAAATTTACTTTCTCTTTCTATGGAATAGAAAGCAGATTGATGCAAAACAAGTGATTTGTCCCAGTTTTATACAAGAAATGTCCCGGGTGTCTCCCTATTTTTGACCAATTTGAACTAAACCGGGTCGAAACCAGGACTACATCAGCTCTAAAACAAGACTAAAACAAGACTATCGCAATTTTTGACTAATCTGATCCCCCCAACAGTAAAGAGAAGCATACATTTGTTAAATTTGTTTAGCCAAAATACATAAAAACGTGTTTGCAAATGACCATAAAGAAAAAGAAATGCAGCAGGTCTTGGCTGACTCAAGAATTTACGTTACGTTAAGTTACGTGCTCTTTTCACAGTTTTATTTATACCATTTATACAATTTTGAAAATCTGGTCACCCTATTCCAAAATGTTATTACCTTGCCTGAAATGTTCCTAAAACTGCATTAGACTAATATATTCTGGATTTGTTTAATTGCATGTGTTTTAATGCTTGGGGGGGGGGGGGGGGGGGGGGGGGGAAAACTGTGAATGGGTCCGGGTGTTTTCAGCTCTGGGCTCTAGCATCAACTCCTCATCTCCATGGAGACAGATAAGTTTATCATCACACTGGAAAGTCCCGCGTAAAGCATTAACATCTTCTAAGAAAAGGTAGATAATGTGTTTCAAATGGCATCACAACATTTTATTGGCCACATTTGATAATTAATGCAGATTGTCTTGTCAATAATAGAATTAATCAGGCCAACATTTGTGATTTTTATATTTCATAGCAAAGTATAATGTAATCAATAAAGAAAACTGTTTCTTGTCTTGAGGTGTTCCCAGGCCAACAGAGGGAATACCTTGTGGTCGCCCCGGAGGAGCTGGAGGAAATGTCCGGGGTGAAGGAAGTCCCTGCTTAGACTGGTGCCCCCACGACCCAGCCTCGGATAACCGGAAGAAAATTGATGGATGGGCTCTTGTTCCCATCTGGGAGTATGACATAATCACGTACTAGAAAACACCAATGGCAGGCTAAAAGCAAAATCACATTCTGTTACTCCTATGCGAACGGCAATGGCCTATAGTCTATTCTTTACACAAGCCTACAATAAAGTGTGTTCATCATATACAAAAAATAATCATTGTCATTCACTGATCACTGACATTCATTGGGCTGCTCCATTACAAGTCTTCAATCTTCTCAACAACTGAGCTAAAATATGTCTGGGAAAAGAGATCCGTCATGGGAGATGGAAGTGGAATTGCATTAGGCCCTTCTGTCTCTCTCCCTCGCTCTCTCTCTCTCCTTCATTGGCCTGATGTCCATTTGGAGACTATTAATCAACGAGAAGCCCCCGTCTCTCCCTCTCTATGTCTCCTGTCTCTCTCCCTCCCTGTCACCCCTTTCTCTCTCTGTCTCTCCCTCTCTCTCGTAACCCCTCTCTCCTTTTCTTTCCTTTCTCTCCCCTCTCTGTCTCTCACCCTCTCTTTCTCCCCTCTCTCTCCTTTTGTCTCCTTCCTCCTTCTCCCTCTGTTTCTCTTTCTTTCACCTTTCCCATCTCTCGCACACTCTTTCTCTCTCTCCCTCAATCCCCCCCTCACTTTGACCCCCTCGTTTCTCTCTCTCTCTCTCTCTCTCTCTCTCTCTCTCTCTCTCTCTCTCTCTCTCTCTCTCTCGGAGAGTTTCCACATTTTACCAAATATGGCCGGAGCGGGGCGTGGGGCTCTGAACTGTGGAGGAGGATGAGAGATGCGTCGCCAATTTAACTCACGTTTCAGGAACTTGTAGACGCACGCCTCTTGCGACAGAAGAGAAACTCGAATCGAAAAACATAACGCCGAGTTTAGGTAAATCTCATTTACTACTGTTTCTTCCCTCTCAGAATACAGTTCAATTACTCAGGATTGTCTGGCCTTTGTCATGGTTTATTTTGGGAACAAGAGGGAGAGAGGTGGGCGCGGTATGCCCGCTATGTGCACGGATGTCGAACTAATTGCGCATATTGTGACTTTACTAACGTTATGCGCGAACTGCTTTGTAATATTTTTGCATTTAGATTTACGGACAGTTTCTATTTTGAATGATTGAAAAGGGGTAGGCTATCCGCAGATGTGGGTAGTGCACATTAACTTTTAAAGGAATTGTACTTTTCTGAGTACTTTTCTAGCAACGTGCTTTTACTTCTACTTGTGTTATATTTTTATTGAAATAACAGTACTCTTACTTGAGTAAAAGTTTTGGTCACTTTGCTTTGACCATTACGCTAACGTCAAATTATATATAAGATGTTACGCCCTAACAGTTACTCTTACTTCACTAGTAGTTTTCCCAAATACTTTTTTACTCTTACTTGAGTTAATTCTTGTACCACTACTTCGTACTTTTACATGAGTAATATTATTTTGAAGTAACATTACTCTTACTTGAGTACAATTTTTGGCTACTCTACCAACCTCTGCTTGGCAATATTGGATGGCTATGTATAATTTAGCTTGAATTGTTGAAATGTATTATCGGATTCATGCACAAACTTATAACAATACATAGTTCAGTTAAATTTTGTTATGAGTACAAATGTTCAGCTTGTGTAGAGACTTGGTTTTTGGTTGTGTTAAAACCACAAGGGCTTACCAATCTGCTTCCTGTCATCACTGAATTCTAGATAAACTCCTACCACGTTCACCACACACTGTGTTTCATATAGATCTGTTTCAGTGGTATTGATTCAACTAGGTAACCTTATTACCTATAAAACATGAATAGCAGAGTATTACACCCAGTTATCTTGCCACATTGGGTTACTTTTTATACATTTCTATTTTGGCTCTCAATATGCATACTAAACATTGTTACCCCTGTTGCTTGGCAGAAACAGAAACTACAGAAATGTAATTTATAGCCAAAGGATGCTGAGTTTGATGAGTATGAGGTAGCCTATAGACAGGGGTGGATACAGTTGCCAAACTTGTACTCATTTAAGAGTACCGTTACTTCAAAATGATATTAGTCAAGTGGAAGTACAATGTAGTGGTCCAAGGAATTACACATAGTAGAGTAAAAAAATATTCTACTCAAGTAAGAGTAACTTGAAGAGCAACTGTTGGTACATAACATTTGATTTATAATTTGAAGTTAATGTAACTAAATGTAAAACGAAATCATATCTGAAGGAGCAGTGAAAGAAACACAAATGTTCACATCATTTCATATTGTTAACAAAAAGATACTGTCACTTGAAGACTTACTCACAGAAAGTGTAACTAAAACTTTTACTCAAGTAAGTGTATTGTTACTTCAGTAAAAATATGAATCAAGTAGGGGTAAAAGTATGCTGCAAGAAAAGTACTCTGAAAAGTACAATTTATTTAAAAAGTTACTCAAATAAATGGTAACTGAGTACTACGTACTTCTGTCTATACACCAAATACCAAAAAGGACATTTATGGATGTAGTGAAATAGAACATAAAGTAGATGCTGCAAATAATGTGATAGATTCTGGTACTCTATTTGCAGTCGACTGAACCTGTAATATTGTAGTAATGATTCTATGATTGCAGTTCCTGTGTGTGCATGCCATTAGCTGTGCATGTTTCCGGTTTCAATGCGTCTTCCTCTCCACAGCAGAGAGGGCCTCAAATCAAATCAGAGGTAATGAGAGACACAATGTCATTTACAAACCTTTGAGATGGGGTTGGTCATTTGCTGTAAAAACAATAGGGTAAAGACTATATATACTTTGAATTTTAAAGGTAACTTTCTGAAGATGGCATGTCACCTGCACGAACCAAAAAAACAAAACCTAAAACCAAACTTTGGAACATTCTCCATGGAGATAGATAAGTTTTACTCAATACTGTGGAATTATATTTGGAGGAAGAACATTTCCATGGTAAAAGCAGGAAGAGACCATCCTCCAGGCCAAATAAGAGTCAGGTTTGTGGACATGCTAGCCCACTCAGAGAAAGGACAGTTTTTCAGTGCAATAAAAAAAAATAAAAAATTCCAACCAAAATTCATGCTTTTAGTCTACTTTTAGTTAAAAATTACATGCTGTGGCTTTAATAAAAATGCATATACGACACATTAAAACTTTATCTTTTACTTATGTTGCTGACAAGTGTTTAAATGCAATTTGGTGTCAGTGAACTTTCAAGTGTTATGAAAGGCTTCTCTTTACTCTGATATGCAGCTCTATGACTTTTTTCGGGAGACTCTACAAGAGGCATATATTCACCACTAAGGGGCGTCATTGTGCTTCTTAAACCTGTGGACTTTCCAAGCCTCAAACATTATTTCCTTTGATGAACAGATCCACACCTCAGCGCAAACAATGCGAGATAATTTACTCTCTATATATGCATGGTTAACACCATAACACTTCCAAAAAGACGTAAGATGCCATCATGACATAAGTAATAGTATTTTATTCAGCTGCTAAAATTATAAGTAATTCTATAACATATAACAAATTGAAATAGATTTTTTTGTTAATCTGTGTCATCTTTTGTGTTTTTGTTGTTTTGTTGTAAAGAAAATACGTGAATGATTTTCCCCAATCTGTTTTAAATTTTAATTCTGGAAATCTGGACTAATCAATGTTACAATTAATATACTAGTTTATTGATAGTGTAGTAATTATATGATAAAATGGGGATGTAAGTGAAAAAGCAATTGGCTATTGTTTTTCAAAGTATCAATTCATGCCACAATCCTCGTTACAACTTTATAATAACTACACCTTATCCATCCACCCATTTTCTTCTGATTTATCCATGACTGAGCCACAGATAAAGATAGATAGAGATAGGGTGAGGATGTCAGTCACACAGGAGGAGCTCTGAGTAAAGCCGTTGTTCCTCCATGTCAAGAGGAGCCAGTTGAGGGTGCTCGGGCACTTGTTCTGGATCCCTCCCGGACACCTCCCCGGAGAGGTGTTCTGGGCATGTCCCACCGGGTCCCAGGCAAGACCCAAGACACACTGGAGGAACTATGTTTCTCTGCTAGCCTGGGAACACCCGGAGTTCCCCCGGAAGAGCTAGAGGAAGTGTGTGTGGAAAGGGAAATTTGGGCCTCCTTGCTCAGACTGCTGCCTCCGCGACTAAACCACACCTTAATTAGCCTTTATAAATTATGAACAAACACTGAGACATGGTGAATAGTTTATTAAAGAGGGGTAATTTTTACTTCTGCGGAGTATTAACAGCTAACACATTATTCTGAAATGCTCTATTGACCGAAAACAACGTATTAACGTATTTTCACTCTGAGACTCCCTTCCCTTTGCTCTCCACTCAAAGTCACTCCCCCTTCAGAGCACTATCACAACACAATAAACATGCATCCCACTATTGAAACTATTGCACTGTCACTGTTGAACTGAATTTATTTTTATATCTTTTGCAGAATGTGACAAAACTCTGGCCACATTCGAAACACATCCTTTGACTGACACCATTTGACTTTATTTTCGGACTTCCTCTCTCTATACCTGGTGGACCAAAGTATCCCATCATGCCTCTGGTGAACCTCCCCACCTCTCAGCTGCTGTGGTTCCGAGTGGCAGCGTTGCTCTTCACCTGCATTGCCTTCAGCGTGGCCGGCAGTGGGGCAGAGCTGTACCATGAGAGTATGGCTGACTGGTGCATCTTCTGTTGGGCCTTCAGCTTCGCCTGCACCCTCCTCGTCCTCCTCGTGGAACTTTTCGGTCTCCAGGCCCGTGTCCCTGTCTCCTGGACCAACTTCCCCATCACAGTTGCCTGCTATGCTGCGCTCCTCTGCCTCTGTGCGTCCATTGTTTTCCCTTTATACTTTTTAGGCAGAAATACCTACGGCAAAAAGAGAGACCATCGTATTGTTTCGACCGTCTTCTCTTGCCTGGCTGCGGTAGCGTACATGGGCGAGGTTAGCGTATCCAAAGCCAGACCAGGAGAGGTGACCGGCTACATGGCCACCGCTCCAGGACTGCTCAAAGTTTGCCAAACTTTTGTCGCTTGTGTAATTTTCGTTCTCGTCAGTCACCCTGTATCGTATAATCACCATGCCGGGCTGGAATGGTGCATGGCTGTATACTGCATCTGCTTCATCCTCTCCATGGGGATAGTTGTGCTATGCATTGGCGAGTGCACCGGGTGGCTTCCAATACCGTTTTCGAAGTTTCTGTCCATCTACGGGATGCTAGCTGTTGTCATGTATTTGTCAGCAACCATAATTTGGCCAGTGTTTCAGTTTGGTAAGGAGAACCAGAGGCAGTACTTTTTGGACAGGTCCAAGCTGATCACTGTGTCTGTGCTCACTGGTCTCAACTTCCTGCTTTATCTCGCTGACCTCGCCTACTCCGCCAGGCTGGTTTTTGTTAGAACCTGAAACCTGAAATAGTGCAATCAATTCAACCTGCACAAAAATCATTAAAAGTGCCTTGTTACGATAATGATATGATGTGGTCTCTTAAATGCAATTATCAAATAGCAAACACTGTATAATTATTTAAAGGTCCTATATGACACAAATTGACCTCAACAAAACATACCTGGAGTTGTGTTTTGTTTCATTTAAACGTATGTGTAATCTTGTATTATTAGTCTGTCTACATCTCAAAAGCTCAGAATGTTCTGTTCCACCTTGTGATGTCATGAAACGGTAGTTTATAAGTTAACGGCTCATTTTACCTTCTGTAGAGATTGGAAATTCCAAAACACAGTGAAGCTCTTCCTGTATTACCACATGACATCAGAACATGAAAAAGGGTGCTTTATGCTTTATGCTCAGCCTAAATATGCAGCGTTTGTGTGTTAAACATGTGAATGAAACAAAACACAACTCCAGGTATGATTGTGATAAGAAAACAACATAATATGAGCCTGGTGTTTTTTCCAGTGTATTTGTCCCAATACTGGTATACTGTATAAGCAGCTCTTAAGGTCAAAATAATAAGAGAAGTTGATAATCAGGAAGTGTGTGTTAGCATGTTAGTTGTTGTTTGCTTTACTGTGATGCCAAAACTACACTCAAGTCTCTTAGGGTTGTGAAAAGCACTTATAAACTCATTGTGGTGAATAATTAGCTCAGAATGCATAGGGTAAATGAGGAATAACTTTGGACCACTGCAAAACGTTTGCATGTGTGCGCTACTGGGCATGTGCAAAATGTTTAGTTTAGTGCTTCCCTCATTCTGCAGAAAGTCACAGTGTTTTTCAGTCCCCTGTGATGTTGTTTAAGCAGCTATATTTGTTTTGATAAAAGATTCTGATCTGATATGATTGGCCAACCCACCTGTCAATCACTCCCATTTGAAAACTGGGAGGTTTACTGGTGACCAGACTCACATCTTTGTAAACTATTGGAGAAGTGTGGATCCCAGGCAACAACCTTAAAGATGCACTATGTAACTTTTCTATGGAGGGTCCACCACCTGCTTGTCTCCATAGATATTATCGATATTATATGATTATTATCTTTGCTTTATCTGTAATATTCCACGGTATAGCATTAAAATGATCTACGTAGGAAACAGAAACAAGTGATCCCTCCAAGTTCTGATCTATGGAAAGGTGAGTCTGCAAGCTAAACAAATTCATTTTTAAGGTATTTTTTACAGAAATAAAAACAACTGTAATACTATAGCTCCTAAAAGATAAGTTTGGATACAGACTTTCACCAGAAAAGTTACATAGTGCATCTTTAAAGCACTTTTTTTTTTTAAAATAATGTTTGTCAAGTTAAAGTACACAGATTCTTTGTCATAAGGTGGCTTTAAAAAAATAAAAGGCTTCTGTACAGTTTAGTTCTTCCTTTATTTTGTATGCCAAACACAGTGATATTGTGCATGACAGGTTAGACTACTAGACTACTCAGCTAAAACAGTTAACACAACTGTATTTAAGATTTTTTTTAAAAAGTGCCAAGATTTGCTTAGCTTTTTAATTCCGAGGAATATTATTATTTTATTTCCTGACTGGACACTTGCAGCACATGTGACATAGAGGTAATTCCATAAATCAGGGGTTTTCACATTGGGTGAAAGTGAGCCTCCTCTCAGAGCAGGTAAAGACAGCCCATCCGCCTGCCCTACTCCACACATGCCTTTGAAGTAAAAGTATCTTTTGTGTTCCTGGCAATTATGATTTTCAATAACAACAATACTGTATCAATGTCGGCACGTGTCTGGGCCTTATATTAAGCGCATGGTCTCGAGCAAAATAGCAATGTAATAGAGTAGCAATGTTTCTCCAATGCTCTGGAGTTTAGATGCTGCCATTCTAATATACCGCCACTCCGACATTGCCATCTAATTGTGGGAGTGGCGACATTTCCATTTGTTTTTAAACGACCCTGTATTCCGATATTTTGTTTTCCTTGGTCGGAGTGGTGGCACTTTAGCTTTTTTTCCCCAGCATTCTGCCATTCCGACACACAAGGTGATTATTAAGTTGCGGCGGCGCTCTTTTTGGGACAATATTTTCACAAACTGGCGGTGCAGGAAACACGGTGCACGGAAGGAGGCACCGTGCGCGCCGGCGTATGGGAGGAGACACGGTCCTCGTCGCATGGTTTAGTCCTGGTTAAATCCTGGTTTAGACCAGGTTTAGACCTGGTTTTAGTCCTGAATTCAGTCCTGGTTTAGTCCGAGTTTTATTTCTGGTGTAGTCCTGATTTTAGTTGTGGTATAGAGGGGTGGCCCACGCAGCATACTGCGAGAATACACGGTCTAGAGTAGCCTTAGTTGACTTTAAAGTGTAGTCTTTTGTGTTTCTTTAAATCCACTCTCAGTGGATAAGTGTGTTTGTGTGTGTGTATATAATATATATTATATATAGATATAGATATATAGATAGATATGGCAAATCAAACACCATTTTGTATTGAAAAAATAATAATTAATTGAAGTAATGACCATTAACATGGGGCTCTCATAAGAGATGAGAAACCTGTTATATGCATTTCCTGAAAACAAGGTTTAATAGAACAGGAAACTGAAAGTAAACTGTCAGTGCACTGGTGCCACAGAGAGAGACAAGACTCAGCACCCCGAGAACCAAAGCTCCAATGGCAACTGCAGGTGAGTTACTTCAAGGAGTTTATGACATTTCCTCTATATACAAGTGATAAAACATACACTAAATATCTTCAAATTTAGCATGCTACATCCATTTTCAAAAACCCTAAAAAAGGAGCTTAAAGTGTGCTGTTTTGACACAGCTAATGTTGTGCTTAGTGTATTAAAATTATATCTAAATAGTCATTAAATTCAACATTTAAAGAATATTAATGTGCTTTTGTGTGCTGTAAGTAGGGGGAAGTCACTTTTTGGTAAATCACTTGGGACAATAGTTTTAGGTAATGTTTGGTATTGAATTGTGTTATATTAGTACTAAGGACTATTTAATTACTACTTGCTTATATTTGAAACTGAAGGAAGTAAAATGTAATTGTTGGGGTCATAGAGGTTTGGAGAAGAGCAGTGTTCAGGTAAAATGAGCCACTCCTCAGCTTCCCACTCCCTTTTGAGCTATGTTATGTTATTGTGTTGTGAATAAGGAGGCATGTGCATGTTTGCACTTTGTGTTGCATTTTTGGATGAAAAGCGTTCTATAAATAAAATTTGATTTGATTTGATTAATAACTATGTGAAAAAACAAAACAAACCTATTATGTTATATTTTGTAAATACTGTATACTTATAACTACTGTCATAAGTTTGAAATCAATCAATCAAAAAAGTGCATCAGAGAGATTTTAGTAAAATATAAAGTTACTTTTATTAACATTAATCTGGAATCTTAAGGTGTCTATTTCTGTTGTTACTCAATACTGATACAGCAAGGATTCAAGTCAAGTACCAAAATAATGTAATTTTCTATATTTTTCCCAACAGCAGCAGACAGGAGGATTGTGCTTCTGGGTAAGACTGGAGCTGGCAAGAGCAGCCTGGCCAACACTATACTTGAAGATGGTAGTTTGTTTAAAGTCTGTCACTCCTCCACATCTGGAACAGTGATGTGTCAGTCTGAGATCAAAACAGTGCATGGAAGAAATGTGCAGCTAATCGATACTCCTGGACTTTTTGATACCGATTCAAATGCCCCTGATTTAAAAAAGGAGACTCTTAATTGCATGATTGAGTGTGCAGAAGGAGTCCACGCCTTTCTGCTGGTGCTCAAAGTGGAGAGGTTCACCAAACAGGAGCTGTCTGTGGCTGAAGTTATCAGTAAAAACTTCTCAGAAGAGGCTCTCAAATACACCACCCTGGTCTTCACTCAAGGTGATCAGCTGGAAGAGGGGGTCACTATAATGGAATGGGCCATAGATAATGAAGCCCTGAGCACCCTGGTTCTGAAATGTGGAGGTCGCTGTCATGTGTTTGATAATAAATACTGGAACAACAGCAGTGATCTATACAGGAACAACCAGTACCAGGTCAGAGAGCTGCTCAAGACCATTGACCAAACTGTGCAAAAGAATGGAGGAAGATGCTACACCAATGAGAACCTTGAAAAAATGAAAGAAAAACTACAACAAGAGAAAATGATAATAAAATCAGCACCACAGAACGCCAGCCTGTCTGAGCAGCAGGTCGAGGAAATGGCCAGAGAAAACACCTTTTCATTTTTCTGGCCCTTAATGGTTGGTGGGGTGGGAGCACTCCTGGGAATTGTGGGATTTCTTAAGTTACGCTAGGGAAGACGTTTATGTTTGGGTAAAAAGAAAAAAAAAAGAAAAAAAAAGAAAAACTGGAGTATTGCTCAGATTTGTCTTTCAGATCATCATCATAGCTGTGTCTCCAAGACACAGAGAATAGTTTCTTCTCTTTTTCACTGTTCATTTGAAATGGTGTCACATTGTTTGGGATTTATGGTGCGAATGGTGTGGCCTATTTCACAGATCATTTTATACACTTTTAATACATTGCTTTGTATAGGACTTTGACTTGGTTTTGGATATGTTAGTGCACAGAAAATATTTGGTTCAGTTGTTACTGCTACAGCAACAAACAAATAAAGTCTGAGTGATTGAGGACACATTTTTCACATTTTAATATAATTATTGTTTCATGTAGATAAACAGGTCAACATACGGGTGAATGCATTTTTAGCACATCACCCTCGGCCTTAAATTTCCAGCAGGGGCCAACATTTTGTTTGCTGCACAGGAACTTCACAGCTCTCCTATAGGTTTGTAGTGTGGGTGAGTTTATAGTAAATTGAATTTACATAAGTTGGTTAAAATAATCTAAACTGATTTTAAACAAATGCTAATGCTAGGAAAAAACATATCAATCCATCTCTCATAGATTTACCGATTTGGTGCAATTATGAACCAGTTTAATTATTATAACAGGCTAATTTAAAATGCTTTTAAAGAATGTTATATTGAGGAAAAATGTGCTAGAAATGGTAGAATCATTAATCTTGGAGTCTTGTTCCAAGATTTGGAAGGATGCTACGCTGAGAAAGGAAAAGTCAAAAAGTTATTATGATGATGGACATTTCACCACTGTAAAAATACACTGTTGTATTTTCCATTTTGAGAAAAATAGAGAAATTTTAAGTCAGATCTAGGACCATTTATTAAAGACATGGGCATTTAGCAATTCACACTTTATATTAGAATGTTTACATAAAAGTGTAGTCTTACAATCAGCAAGCAGGTGACTCCAGTGCTGCATAGAAAATAAGATCATACGTGTAAATAGGTTGTATGAGAACCATAATTGATTTGAAATAAAAAAGTCTAATACTCAAAACCAAAGCAGAAGAATGGAGGGAGATGCTACACCAACAGACTGCTGAGAGGTGGTGGAGGTGAGACGTCTCCTACAGTCCTCTTCACAAAGAATCAGATTTATGGACATTATTATACTTAATTTACTCCTCATTACCTGAGACTCTAAACTAGCTATAAAGGCACCGCTAGGGGAAGCTATTACATTTCTTGAACCTCAGGACTTTACAAACTTTGATGAACAGGAAGAGACCTCAGCTCGAACAATGAGAGAAAATTTACTGTGCCGTTTTAATGTTATTATGTATATGTGATCAGGAATAATACCTCCAAAGATGTAATTGGTATTGATTGGTAAGTTGTAAGATATCATCATGCCATAAGTTTTTGTTGTAAAGAAAATACATACAAGATTTTCCCAAATGTGTCTTAATTTTAAACTCTGGAAATCTGTATTAATCAGTGTCATAAATTTGTTTTTTCACAATGTAATAATGATATGATAAAAGGGGAATGTAAGTGAAAAAGCTATTGGCCATTGTTTTTCAAAATATCAACTATCATGCTGCAAATCACAGTACCACTTTATAATAACTACACCTTAATTAGCCTTAATAAAGCATTGAAAAGGGCTTTTTTGAAGAAGATGAGTGTGGATGAATTTCTGATGTGTATTGATTTGGAGCAAAGGGTGGGATTAGCAGCAGAGAATTCCTTATCCCCCAAAGTCTTATTTTTAGTACTGGTGGGAGAAGAGGTTGGTGTTAGTTGATCGGAGGGCACGGGTGTGGTGGTGGAGGAGCTCACAGTGGTGAGCAGCATGAATTGGATGCTCTGAGGGATGGGGAACCAGTGGAGATCTCTGAGGACAGGGATGATGTGTTCACAGGAGGAAGTGCAGGTGAGGAGGTGGACAGCAGAGTTCTGAATGTACTCGAGTCTACTGAGGAGTTTGGAGGGTATTGAGCAAGCAATTGCAGTAGTCAAGGTGGGAGTTGATAAATGCATAGCATAGAGCATAAAGAGTGGATGAGAGTTTCTGCAGTTGGTGGGTAGCGAGATGGGAGGAGGCGAGCGATGTTCAGAATGTGATAGAAGGCAGAGTATAAAGAGGAGGGGGCAGAGAACTGAACCTTGGGGGACATCTTAAGTAAGAGGACCTGCAATGATGGATGTGGACCTCCTGGTGCTGAAAACAACACAAAATGTTTGGGGATCTCAAGTATGTCAGACTCAGTTCTTGCAAACAATAAGGGGTATGTCAGTGAAGTGCAAGCTATATTTATCCAATACAAAATTCTCACTATGTATTATCTTCTCTCTATCAGTACCAGGTATGCCTTTATTGTCATTGCACAACCTACACAATGACATTTTAGATATAATGGGTATTAGCAAAAATGATCTATGTTGGAAATGTCAAAATGCTACAGATACATTGATACCTGCTTTATGGGACTGTCTTTTGTTTTTGTTTTTATGCGAAATGTATACAAAAGTATTAACCTTCTGCTAGGCTGGTTACATTCTCTAGTCACTCAGATTGTGTCTTCTGGGGGACAGGTGCCTTATCTGAATAGATAAAAAACAAACAGCAAACATCAAAATACAGACATTTTATGATCTGTAATAATAAAGAGAAGTGTGCCCTGATAAACATAAAAAGGATTTCAAACTGCTCTTGTATCAAAGAAGGATTAACTGAGACAGTAAAAGGAGATCATCTTTTATACTGGGCACATTGAAAAAAATAAGAGCTACAATATTCTCTGCAGTTTGTGTACATAAAATATATATTTTTTAAATGCTGCACTGTGTTAACCTTGCATAACACAATGGATACTCACAATATTTGTGAAAAACTCATGAGAATCCATCTAGGCCCCCTGGCATGATGGTGGTGGGCGATCAATCACTGAAGTTTGTGTGGAAGTCAGAGGTGAAGTGCTCAAACAAACCAAAACAAACATGAAGACTTCAGCCTATTTTGGATTCAGTACGGACTATTGCAGGCAGGGGGAAGTGTCTGGTGCATTTTTGAACAGGGAAGACACTTAGACCAATCAGATTTACATAATCGCCATGAGGTTCTGCGTTTTCTGGTCGCTTTCAGCGAGAGTCATCCAGAATTGATCATGTGAAGAACTCAATTTAGATTGACACATATAGCAGTACATATAAATTAGGCTTGAGCCAGGTTAGCACTGTATAGCACTGTAAATATTCAGTTAGATGTTTAATTAGATTTTTGTCATGTGTTGCATTATGTGCTAGAAGTCTAATTACAGCACTAGACCATCAACTTTATCAAATCATTATACTCAACAAACAGTAGTGTGTAATGAATATCCTGGTTCAAATTGTGTTTCATTGTTCAATTCACTTTGATCATCATCAAAAAGTGTTGTGACTGGCAGCATCATAATAAAACCATCTCCTCCAGTCACTTCTTGGAAAAACACAAACATCATGCAATAGAAAGTAGTTCTGAGAAGGAATATATTGTCAGATTAAATCTGTCAATTGTAATTCATGAAAACTTTGACAACTGATGAAGAATGTAAAGAGAGTTTTCCTTGATAAATGTGAATAATGTGCTCAATGTTATACAATACAATGTCAGATTGCATTGTATAACATATAACTAATGCTTTGCAACTTTTACACTGATGTTTCTTTTAATGAAATGTTTTCACAAAACCTGTATCACATGTGACTCACACACACCACACAAAGAACAGGAAGACGTGCATGTTTGGTACCTATCTGTGTTACTGGTGTGTGTGCCTTTAAAAGTCTTGTGAGATACAAAAGAGAAAGTAAAATGTACTCATTGTCTTTCATGCCACAGACACGAAAGAGAAGTGCTCTACACAAAATGGAGGGTAAGTTTAAACAATATTTGAATCTGCTCTCTGATTTATCTGTGCTTCATGAGAGACAGGACATAAGTCCTCTCCCAAACACTTGGTTTAAATAGTGTTGACATACCCAAATCTAAAGGAAATGTATAGGTGTTTTTTTTCCCTTTTCTTTCTTTCTTTTTTACTAAATGATTGGTTTTGTCCTTCATTATAGGGTTTTTATTGTTCACTTACATACACAAAAAAATAATTTAAGATTATAATATAAATCTTTTTTTTTTTTTTAGAAATGAGGAGTATTGTGCTTTTGGGAAAAACTGGATCAGGAAAAAGCAGCCTGGGAAATACAATTTTGGGAGAAAAGAAATTTAAGGTTAACGTTTCTTCCAAATCTGGGACAAAATTCTGTGAGGAATTAACCAAAAATAGTGAAATAAAACTGATCGATACACCAGGTTTATTTGACACAGACCCACAAAGCAGTGATCTGAGCCCTGAGCTCCTCAGGTGTATAGAGCTGTGTGCCCCTGGACCTCACGCTTTTCTGCTGGTGCTTAAAGTGGAGGTGTACACCAAACAGGAGCAGGCTGTGGTGGATCTCATGCTCAAGTACTTCTCTGAGGAGGCACTCAAATACACCACACTGGTCTTCACTCATGGTGACCAGCTGGAAGAGGGGGTTACAATAAAGGAATGGGTCAAAGACAATGAAGCATTGAGCACCCTGGTTGAGAAATGTGGAGGTCGCTGTCATGTGTTTGATAATAAATACTGGAACACCGACCAGGATCCATACAGGAACAACCAGCACCAGGTCAAAGAGCTGCTCAAGACCATTGACCAAACTGTGCAGAAGAACGGAGGGACATACTACACCAATGAGGTGCTGAAAAATGTTGCAGCTGATAAAAGTTTCCTGGTCACACTGGCAGGTGTTTCCACAGGCATCTTGTTAGGAGCTTTACTGGGCATACCTGCCATGGTGCTGATGGTTCTTAAAGCAAGAAATGCACTTGGAACAAAGGCTGCATTAGCCACTGGTGCTGCCGTGGGGGGTGTTGTGGGTGCAGCATATGGAGGATACAGAGGATATAAAGCAGCTGAAGAAGCAGAAACCCCAAAAGAAGCAGCAGAGGCAGTGTGGCATGAAGCTAAAGATCTTCTTTCAAATATGATGTTCTGTAACAATAAATATCACAAATTAGACTGAGGGGTGTCAAATTATTGCGTTAATTGCGATTGATTAATTAATTACAATCATATTTAGTGCGTTATGTTTTTTAATCGCGTTAATCTCATTTTTAATCTCTAACTTTACTGTTTCTGTAGGTGAGTTGCCTTATTATAAAATCAGTTTTTTTGTGTTGTTGGGTTTTTTTGTGTTTTTTCTTTTCTCCACTTAGTTTATGAAAATTAGCCATGCAGTTTTAAACTTCGTTTCGGTAAGACTTGCGCAAAGCTGCATTAAACACATTATATGATCAAACTGGCTGATGTGGCTCTAGAGTGCTGATGGCTTTTATGTTATAAAGTTGAGTTTATTTATGCAGATTACTAATAGTAATAAGAATGACGAGACTTATTATATAAAAACGTTAATGATCGAAAATTGATCGTTAATTCTCCTGATGATCAATTAATAAAATTTCATTGAATGCCCATCCCTAATGGGGACGTTCTCTTTCTTAAACTCTATCAAACACAGAGAAACGGAAAGGAATTGTCTAAAATGTGTGCAAGGTTAGACTACATCTGCAAATTTAGGCTGCTTAAAAATGTTTTAATAATGCCAAAATAAAATATCCAGCACAAATGATGTATAATAGGCTCACATTAATCATTTGTATATTTTACTTTACTCTCATATTTAGTTTGCGGGACTGCAGTTTATCATCCCACCCGCCCACTCCTGTATCGTGCAATCTTGTTCCATCCGCGCCGCAATGAGCTTTCAAAATGTGTCCTGCACTGAACTGCTTTGTGTCGGGTCCCGCGGGTGCAGGGCTCCAACTTGATGTTTTATTTCATTTTATTTTCTAATTATTTAGAGTTTGACAAAAGAACACAGTGGAATGTAAATGACTGCATCTGTTAAAATTTGTTAAACAATAAATTACTTTATAAAGTCACTTTTTTGTTATATATCAGTCTTTTGATCTGCCATAATAATGTAACAATCAATTTAAATGAAAATACCTAAAGTTGAGGACTTTTCTCAGCAATTTTTAGGTGAGATTAAAAAAGAGATTAATTAGATCAATTAATTACAGATCATAATTAATTATTCTCTCCATTTTTTAAATCTCTTGACAGCACTAAATAATATATTATAATCATCACAGTTTTTGTATTTCCTATGTTGCTCATTTGGCGTTCTGCTGCACAATGTTATTTCAAAGTATGCAGTATATAATTTTAGAGGAGACAATAATGATGAAAAAATAAAAACATAGCTTTTTTAGGATGTATATTGTAACCACCTTATATCCTGGTTTTGTTTTTCTGTTCTTGTCATTTTATATATTCTGTTTTTGTTAGCTTACTTTTAGTTACATGCATTTTGCTACTGTTTAGAGCCGCTTTTTGTTAATTATTGTAAATATCACCTTTTATTAGTTTTACCTTAACAATTCTTCTAAATAAATTACAACTTTAGTTTTACCATTTTTACATCTTTGTTATTTTGTTACTTCCCCTGTCCCTAGCAGAACTGGGTCATAGCAGAAACTTATTGGGGCTTTGTACCCAATCTCTGGTTGAGGAGATGTGATAGCAGTTGCTATCATGTTTTGTAGATATTGTAAATATTGTATACCTGTAACTACTGTCATAAGTTATAAATCAATCAAATATGAGTCTAAGAGATTAAAAAATAAATAAATAAATAAAGTTTCAATCTGTCAATCGCTCCATCCTCCTCTCACTGGTGACACACATCACATCACATCACACGTAGCACATCACCCTCAGCCTTAAATTTCCAACATGGGCCAACAATATTTTGTTTGTTGCACAGGGACTTCACAGCTCTCCTATAGGTTTGTAGTGTGGGTGAGTTTATAGTAAATTTAATTTACATAATTTGGTTAAAATAATCTAAATTGATTCTAAACAAATGCCAATGGCTAGGGAAAAAACATATCAATCCATCTCTCATAGATTTACTGATTTGGTGTGATTATGAACCAGTTAAATTATTAAAACATAGGCTAGATATCGCAAAATACACATCTAACTTACAAATGCTTTTAAACATCATCATATTGAGGAAAAATGTGCAAGAAATGGCAGAATTATAAATCTTGGAGTCTTCAGCTCCTCTGAATGACGTTACAATGAGAAAGGAAAAGCTGAAAAGTTATTATGATGGACATTTCACCACTTTCACCACTTTAATAATAAATACTGGAACAACAGCCAGGATCCATACAGGAACAAGCTGCACCAGATCAGAGAACTGCTCAAGACCATTGACCAAACTGTGCAGAAGAATGAAGGGAGATTGCTACAAAAATGCAAACCTTGAAAAAGTGAATTGACAAAATAAATGAAATAAAACTGCTATAGAAAAAATCATGTATCTCTTGAAGATAAATAATTAATCCATTTGTGAAGCCCAATGAGTTTTTGGAATATAGACCAAGGTTTATTCTTGTTACAGCAGATATGCACAGATCCTAGGCCTGCCCTTGTCAGAGCCCAACAGCCTCTTTTAACCAGCAGTATGTCTACCACATCTTGCCCCATTTTCCCTGAATGCTACAAAGCACCAAGTTTATATAGCCTGAGATGACCAGAAGACATACATTTCAAAGTGAGAAGGTAATGACTCCTACTGAGGTGTGGCCAGATGTGCTTGATCTGATTTGCATCCATATTCACATGCATTTCTCACTTCCTGACAAGATTAGCAAGCAAAATGGAACAGAAGTAATTACATTAAAGGGTCTTTCTAACAAACCAAATGAGTTTTATTTACAAAACAAAATGTGTTTCTAAAAGATAAACTATTCACTATATTAATGTAATCAATCATAATCAATATTTTCCTGTGGGGGTCTGGTCTCAGGTAGAAATCACAGTAATTTCCACAAAGACAGATTGAGAGAAATCTTTCCACAATCTGAATTACTATCACAAAAACAAAACAAGAAAATCAAAGCAGCACCAGGGAAAGTCTAACTGTCAGACGAGGACATCTTCAAGAAGGTTAAAGAGAACACCTTTGATTTTTCTGGCCCATCTTATCAGGTCTGGGCACAGTGGTGCTTGGTGTCGCCGTTTTCATTGGAATGGTAGTTTTAAAAGCACACTAGGCTGGGGAAGAGTCTCAGATCAAGGCAATCTAAAGATCCCATGGTTCCAACCATAATAAATGTTCTATTCTAAAGATTATGCCATGTTTTTTCTCTTATATTTGCATATCTGATAATAATTAATAAGCAAAATTTAAAGTATAGTAAGTGTAACACATTTCTGTAAATATCAAATTCATTTGTTGCGTGGACAAACTTTGGGATTCCAGCTTGTATGTTTTTGTTGCTTTGTGCATTAGTCAGATAAATGACTTTTGTTGGAAATGAAAACAAACATCAAAGAAGTCATGAAAGTAGTTCTGCAAATCAAGGTTCTGGAGGAATTTTAGATATTGTTGTGTTTTATGCTTAAATAATAAAAATATTGTTGGAATAATATTTTTTTTGTATTATTTTTAATACACAAATGTTTGCAAGTATAGTCATATTCTTTTGTTGTATTTTATTTTATTTATTTTATTTTATTGGAATGCCCTTTGAGATGCAGGGTTACATTCATAAATAGATTCTTTAAAATGTCTTTGACAGAAATGCTTTAAAAATCCCTGTTTTGGACAAAGGTAGGCCTACAACTGGAGGATTTGGCTATCATTTTGAAAATTAGTAGCCTAAGTCCGTATTTTCCGTTATAATTGTTGACAAAAAATCTAAAACATAATTAGGATGTCACAGGAGATTACAATCACATATCACGCATACATATGATTGTTTTGCTATGTCTGATTATAGCTTCTTGGGAAGAGGAGGCGACAGAATATACAGGACCAGTACAACGTAGGCGTAGCCATGCGACGTGCTCTGACTATAACACGCCCACTTCCCGTAAAACAGAAGTGAAAGCAAAAAGAGCCCGATCTCAGAGCCAGGAGACGCCCGACGCACGACCACCTATCTGGGTACAGACACTTCCGTAAAGATTCTACAAACATGGAGGGTAAGTCCTCTGATCTATCCAAAACCGATTTATAGCTGCAGTGTTTTGTTCCTAACTTCAAGAATAGTTTACATACAGTAGCCTATCATATCTACCCACGTAGCTCGAGTCGATCCTCACTGCAAAGTTTAATTAATTGGAGTGGATTAATTAGTAGGCTAAGTAGCTGGTTCATTGCACAGAGCGTTTTTTAGGCCTGTATTTTAGCACGTTTTGCGGGCTTCTCGATGCGCTTTTTACAATCCTATCCCGTGTGGCTATAGCCTCTAGTGCACAACTGTTTTGTGTTGTTCGTACTCCCCCTAATGTTCATAATAATGACACATAATAACCTCATCTCTTATGTAATGCGCATTTACCAGAGGTGGTAGTCAAATCTTGTACTCAGTAAGAGTAACGCTACTTTCAAAATAATGTTACTAAAGAAGAAGTACAAAGTCGTGGTCCAAGAAATGACTCAGGTAAGAGTAAAATATATTTGGGATAACTTCTAGGCCTTCTCTTACCTACAACTGAAGGAGTAAGGAGTAACTGTAACATTGATTGATTTCTGATTTGAAGTTAATACATAACTACATTTTATCGAAGAAGTGGCGCAAGAAACTTTTGTCACTTGTAGACAAGAGTCACCAAAACCTTTACTCAAGTAGGAGTACTGTGACTTCAATGAAAATATTACTCAATTAGGAGTAAATGTATACTACCATAAGTGCTCTGAAAAGTAATTGAGTACTACCACTTTTGTGGCAGTAAAACCGCAGACTTCATATTTAGTGATTCAAATTGAGAAATCGTGTCTTGTGATTTTACTTTTACTAGATTATAGTGTAATATAAAGTACAGTCTTTGTATTGTTGCTTATTCCTTATTTTTATAGGTATAACATTTTCCATGTTTGGGGCTGTGCAATTTTGTACTTCAGTAAAAGTACGGTTAATTGGCTAATAATGTACTCAGTTACAAGTCGCCCATTGTTTCCGAAACTGTATTTAAGTAAAAGTTAAAAGTACGCATGAAAAATAGTCTACTTTATAATTCAATTTTAGATCAGGCTTTCAAACAAAACTTAATGCAGTCCTTTTAAAACAGAGTCTGCATATTCTCTGATCTCTGCCCTATCAGAGCAGGAGATCCACTGTGGTTGTGTGTGTTTGTGGGTACAGAAAGGAACAGAGACAGATGTGGCCTGGAAAATGTTACTAATTACAATTACTTGGCTATAATTATATACTCCTTTACAAGTACAGGTTTAAAGGTCCTATATTGCACAAAATTGACTCTTGTGAGCTTTAAGTCATGTTATAATGATGTTACCTCATCACAAACATACCTGGAGTTGTGTTTTGTTTCTTTCATTCATGTTTAACACACAAACCCTGCGTGTTTGTGCTTAGCTCTTCTTTCAAACAGAAAACTCTCTGTTCCTTCCACCTTGTGATGTCATGTGGCAATACAAGAAGTACTCCACTGTGTTTTTAAACCCCATACCCCCTCATTGGAATCATTTAGATGATTTCAGCCCTGGAATTGCCAATCTCGTTTAAGATAAAGTTAAAAGGTATATGTTAACCTGAAACTACCACTTCACGACATCACAAGATGGAACAGAGCATTTTGAACTTTGGAGATATAGACAGATTAATAATAAATATTACTCAGACATGTGTGAATGAAACAAAATACAACTCCAGGTATGTTTTTGAGAAGATAACGACATTATAACATGATTTAAAGCTCACAAGAGTCAATTTTGTGCAATATGGGAGACACGGCCTACATTAAACTAAAATCAGTTTGTTTTTCTGGTAGTCCTAATACACATTTTTAATATCTATTTTTTAGACTCAAATACTCGAAGAATTGTCCTGATTGGCAAAAGTGGCAGTGGAAAAAGCAGCCTGGCCAACACCATTTTCGGAGCTCAAACTTTCGACGTGAACCACAGCAGTGACTCTAGATCTAAATTCTCCCAGGCCCAAACTAGAACTGTGAACGGACTGAAGTTGACATTGATTGACACCCCTGGTATTTTCAACACCGACCGCTCCAGTGACGAAATTCAGTGTGAGATATTTAGCTGTTTGATCCAATGCTCGCCCGGACCCCACGCCTTTATTTTCGTACTTTTGGTGGAGAAGTTTACAGAGCAAGAACAAGCCATCGTCGATCAAATTCAGACGCATTTCGGTGATGAGGTTTTCAAATACACCACGGTAGTCTTCACTCACGGAGACCAGCTGCCCGAAACGATGAAAATTGGTGAGTTCGTGGCTCAGAGCAAAGGGCTGAGCGAATTGGTCCGGAAATGTGGTAAACGCTGCCATGTGATTGACAACAAGTACTGGAAAAACACCAAGCAAAATGAATATCGAAGCAACACGTTTCAAAGGAGAGAGATCCTCAGTTCAATCGATATGACGTGTCAACAAAACAACAATGGCTTCTTCATTAATTCGAAGTTACAGCAAGTGGAAGCCGATATTCGAAAAGAGCAAGAACGTATTCGCAAGTTGAGAGGCAATTTCTGCGGAGGAGAGCAGAGATGAAGCAAAGCAAATAGTCCTTCAAAAATTCATACAAACACAGCAACGAACGCGCTATCTGAAATATATATTAATTGGTGCTGGTTTTTCCGTTGTCTCGTATATTCTGATGGCTCAAATGGTAAGTTTTTTCAGAGGGGGTAAAGTGATGTCAGGGTCAGGCCCAGGTGCAAATGAGGCGCTGGTTCCTTCAGTGGTGGAGGTGGTACAGGAAGTAGTGACACCGATAAAAACTACTTTAGATTACATCATAGAAACCATAGAAGCAGTGCTCAAAAGTAGCATGTGGTCTAACTCCAACAAGACGCAGCCCATGTAAGACAGACAAGAGTTATCGTGATCAAAAATACAACTTAAAATTATTTAAAGGACCCATATTTTTCTGTGTACTGATATATGTTACCAAAAGCATACCCAGAGTTGTATTTTGTTTCATTCACACAGGTTTAACACACAAACCCTGTATATTTATGATGTCATGTGGTAATATAATAAGAGCTCCACTGTGTTTTTAAACTCCAGACTCCTTTACTTGAATCATCTGGATGATTTCAGGCCTGGAATTGCCAATCTCTACTGAGCTAAAGGTAAAAGGAGCTATTAACTTGAAAACTACCACTACATGACATCACAAGGTGGAACACAGCATCTTGAGCTCTGGAGATGTAGACAGACTAAATAATAAAGAGTTACTCAAACACATGTGAATGAAACAAAACACAACTCCAGGTATGTTTTTGAGGAGGTAAAAGCATTATAACATGTCTTAAACATCACAAGAGTCGATCTGTAGCTCTTCAAACAAATAAAATACAAAAAAAAAAAACAGCTAATCTTGTAGTTTAGACCTCTACAAACGTGTTCTGCAATGCACAAGAGTCATCTGTTAATTCACCAGTTCATATTTCAGTCTTATGTCATTGTTATTGCTTCCCAAAAAAGTATATAAATTACAAATGGAATCACAGTGTCATTTTTATCAAACCGACTGAGGGGATAAAACACCACATTGTAAAGAGATTCATTATGGTTTGTAAAATTCAGTTTTATTCTGTCTGTGTAATTGATATGTCTCAGATAAGTTGTCAATGTGATTATTTGATGTTCCATTAATCATTTAAGGTTTTTCAGTATGTTTTTTTTTTTTTTTTTTTTTTTTTAACCTGATCACAAAAAAAAAACAACAGTGATTTTATTTCCTCTGAATAAAATAAATGAATAAATGACCAAATAAAAGAACCAGTGAACTTTGCATGTGTTCTATGATTAATGTCTCACAAAAAACATTGGTGAAAATTAGCATGGGGGATCTGTCACCATAGAGACTTAATTGCTTTGCCTGTAATGTTTCTTAGTGTGGCATTAAACCTGTCTTGCATTTATTCAAATTTATGTTTTTTATTGCATGTGGTGCACCTAAGAAGCTTTATTACTTGATATAGCCTTCAGTTTAAAGGTGTAATGGGAAAATACCACTATTGCTACTACGTGCAGTTATTCACAGTTTTCATTGTGTGTTTTAAATCCTGTTTTAAAGAGAGCTGCTCTCCTCATATTAGGGAGTAACTGTCCTTGCGTATCCTTTGGGGCATCATAACCCAGCACAGATGTTTCCTTTTCTTTTGGTAATACTTGCTTAGATACTCCTATATATATGTTTTGTGAGTCTGACGCTGGTTCAGACAGAGTTACAACCCTGCATTGAACCGACTTGTCCTCTGCCTCTCTTTGCAAAGATATTAAATAAACTTTTATTTTTTTGCTTCAACGGATGTCTATTATTTAAAAAGAACATTTTCCACAACAAAGGGCCCTTATTATTGTATTTTCTGATGTATGTTATAATGTGTTGTTTCCTCATCACAAATATACCTGGAGTTTTGTGTGTGTGTGTGTGTGTGCGCGCGTGTATTTATTTATTTATTTTTTTAAATCTATACAGAAACAAAAGGTCAAATGTAGCTGTTAACTTGAGAACTACCTCTTTCACAAGCTGGAACTGAGTATTTTGGAGGTGTAGACAGACTGACAATAAAGGATTTACTCAACCATGTGTGAATGAAACAAAACACAACTCCAGATATAATTTGAAAAGGTAACAACATTCTAACATGGCTTAAAGCTCACAAGAGTGTGTAATATAGGGCCGGTAATGCCATACTGTGGAATTCAAATAGTTTTTTACCTTATATAATGGGGAAAACAACATTGAGACAACATTGGCATGGCACATTCAGTTCTATTTCACATGCACATAAATAAAGCTATACCAGAAAATCCGGTTTGAAGGGTAATTTTTCTTGTTAGACCAGTTTTCAAACGTTAACAAGACAACAGAGTATTTTAGAGCGACCTTATATTTCAGACTGTAGCTTATTTGGTTGTCTCATGGTTACTCAGACAAAGCAGTTGAAAAACAAACAAACAAACAAAAAAACAAACTTAAATTAACTTGAATCTTTTAGCAAACGTAACCGCAGCGTGCAGGAGGTGAAGAGAAAGAAAGAAAGAGAGAAAGAGAGAGAGAGAGTCATGGACGGTGAGTTTTCTTTCTTTTTTTTTCACTTTTTGCATATAAGATTCTTGTTTTTACTGTTACATTTATTTTACGTAGATTACATTCATCACATTACATGAATTAGCCTAATATGTCAACACTGTAAACAACACGCGAACGTAATCTTGCTGGCTTTTTTTACTTTCGATTTCTGCGTGGAGAGGATATAATAAAAAACAAACAAACAAACAAACAAATAAATAAATAAATAAATATACATGTAAAGTATACTCAAGAGTAACGTTACTTCAACATAATGAAAAATCAAATATATTTTTTACTTTTACTTGAGTCATTTCTTGGATCGCTGTTTTGTAGTTCTACTTGAGTTATTATTATTTTTTAAAGAACGTTACTCTTGGGTAAATTTTTTTTGGCTCCTCTGCACATCACTGGCAATTGCTAACTGCGAAACATTAATTTACAACTTTTTTCTCGTGAAAAATAGAACGTCTCCCGCATTCTGTCTAACTTATGAAAAGTGATGTTTATTTACAGTGGAGTATCAGGAAAATGGTTTGAATAATCAAATCTGGTTGAATAATCAAAATGGTTTGAATAATCAAATCTGAACTAGGTGTGGCTGGAATGAAATCCAACTGGAGCACCCAGAATGCATAGTGAAAAAAAATGCATAAGTTATACAAGATCTAATGAAGGCTGATCACATTACACACAAGCAGTTCGACCTACAGTAGTTGACTTCAGGCACACAGACATGTCATGAATGTAGCAGGTAAAAGGACAAACCTGCAGAGGTATATTCGAATAATATTTGTACCTGTGACATGTGAACGCAAGTAAAACAGGTCTAAAGGTGCGTTGTGTAACTTTTCTGGTGGAGGGTCAGACAAATGCTTTTCTGAGATGTTATTGCTTTGTCTGGAATGTTTCACAGTATGACATTAACCTTTCTATCTTCATGGAGACCAAACCAGACCAAGTTCCAGGGCAGATGGGTGTTTTTCTAAATATCTTTGAGCTATAAAACCACCTGTAATAGAGTAAATGTAAGGTAGAGCTGTATAATTATAATTATTGCATTTATACAGTTCCTTTCAACACCCCCAAAGCACTTTATAGAGCATTAGTCATTCACTTCACACTCACTGGTGGTAAGTTACTGATGTTACTTCTGTTAGTCTGTCCCAGCTGCCCTGGGGCAGACTAACAGAAGTGAGGCTGCCAATCTGCGCTATCAACCCCTCTGACCATCACCAACACTTACACACATACACTCCACTTTCATAGTAGGCAATGTGGGTGAAGTGTCTTGCCTAAGGATACAACAACAGTTTTTTGCTGAGATCTGATGAGATCAAGCTTTGACCTGGTTTTGCAGAAGACGTGGTTTAATGTCATACAGTGGAACATTCCAATTAGAACAGAGACATAGCCATAGAAATAAGCACGGACGGACCCCCAACCAAAAAGTTACATAGTGCACCTTTAAATTGAATTCATCTTGTTTTTTTTTTCTAGCGCAAACTTCCACTCGGATTGTGGTGCTTGGGAAAACTGGCAGTGGGAAGAGTAGTAGCCTGGCCAACACCATTCTGGGAGAAAAGCTTTTCCACATCGGCCACGCTGCAGTTTCAGACCAGAACTTCTGTCGTGCAGAATCCAGGATCATCAACGGAAAACCAGTGACTTTGATTGACACTCCAGGCTTCTTCGACACCTGCTCTTCCGAAGATCTATTTAAAAGAGAATTAGTCCGATGCTTCACGCAGACTGCGCCAGGACCCCACGCTTTTCTAATCGTGCTCAAAGTAGAGAGGTACACCACCCAGGAGCAGGAGCTGATCAGCAAAATCACCCAATATTTTTCAAAGGAGGCGTTTAAATTTGCCATAGTTGTATTCACGCACGGCGATCAGCTGGAGCCAGACCAAACCATTGAAGATTTTGTCCAACCGAATCTGGCGCTAAGAAATTTGGTTGAAAAATGTGGAGGAAGATGCCACGTAGTTGATAACAAACACTGGAACAACCCTGGTCAAGATAAGATGAGAAGTAACTGCTTTCAGGTTGCAAACATACTTAGTACAGTTGAGAGCGTTGTTAAAGAGAATAAAAATGGCTACTACACAAACAATTTATTTCAAAAAGTAATGCAAGAGGTAGAGAGAGAGGAGGAAAGGATCAGGCAAACTGCATCAAACAGCGAAATGTCCCCAATTGAAATCAGATCACGAGCCAGAACTAGCATCGCCAATGTGCTGATGATCAAATTAGCAGGAGTAGCAACAGGGGCACTAATAGGGGCCTTCTTGGGGCTAGTGGATATGGTGAGGACCACTCTGGAGAACCTGGATAGTAGTGCTGGTTCATCTGGGATTTCAAGGGATATAGTGGTGTCTACGGTCCAGGGAGGAGTACTGCAAGGGGGAATGGCGGGCTATCAGGCAGCCCGTGGAGCAACCAGCGTGAATGAAGCAGTGCAGCAGACTTTTGAAGAACTCACTAGAAATATCAGGCAGTAAGAGCAGGGTTAATGTTCGTTAGTAGGGTTCGGAAAGATGGAACGTATAGCTCTGGTTTTGACAGTTTATTTTTTATTTGTTTTTGTTTTTTTAACATTAGAAGGTGGCAAATCAGTTTTTAAAGTTACTGAAACATGTTAAAGGTCCAATATTATGTGAAATTTACTCTTGTGAGCTTTAAGCCATATTAAAATGTTGTCACCTCATCAAAAACATACCTGAAGTTGTATTTGGCTTCATTCACACATGTTTGAGTAACCCTTTATTATTTGTCTGTCTACATCTCCAAAGCTCAAAATGCTCTGCTCCACCTTGTGATGTCATCTAGCAGTAGTTTTCACATTAACAGCTACCTTTTATATGCAAGACTGGTGTGTTAAATATAAAACAAAACACAGCTCCAGGTATGTTTTTGATGAGGAAACGACATTACACAATATGGGCCCTTTAACTAACCTTAAAACATGATTCTTTTTTTTACCTGTTTCAAGTACTTTCTGTAGCCTTCCTCAGAGGGAGTGTTCACCTAATCACACACAGAATGGACTCTTGGAGAAGGCATGCAAAACTAAGCAGCCTACAAGACATGTTCCTACACCATCTGTCACTTATGAGGAACGCTACAAGAAGTAATGTAGATGACCTGTTTCTCTTTATCTTCAAATTCTAAATCATTGTGTTTTGTTGTTATTAAATTATAATTAAACTTACTTGGGATATGTCTCAGTGTGTCTCAGAACTGGATCTGCATGTTTTTGAATGGAAAACCTGGAACATTTTGAATAAGGAAAAAGCTGTTATTGCCATTGGCCTCACAAAATCAGCAAGATCAACATGCACATAGTATTAAGGTTTTCAAACATATTGAAAATAAGATATTAAGCCATACTAAAATAATAACTAAATAATTTCCCTTGTGGATCAATAAAGTTTGTCATTCCCATGCACAGACTTCATGTTTTACACATATGCAATGACTTTTATATGCAAACTATAGTGGGAGGACACCGTGGTTTAGACTTAGTGCCTCTTCGTTGGTGCTCTGGCCAGCCGGGCCTCTTGGCACATTGCACAGTTCAACCAGGGCTGTTATCTGGCTAACAAGTCATGACTTCATCCCTATCAGTAGTTCTTGTCCCATTGAGTTAGTTTGCTATTAGATAGATTGGTATATCATGCATTTGTCTTGACATATATCTATGAGTCTCACAGCTGTGATCAGAGTCCTTATCCTCAAATGACCTTGGTACAATAATTAACTATAGAAATGATTATAACAGCTAAGCTTAATTATTTATCCTAACATAACACTGAATTGCATAGACGCTGACAAAAGTCC